GATACGCGGGTTGTTAGTGACGGGCCCAGCCTCTTTGCGGATGGAAGAGCGCAGTCTGTTGCTGGGCATTCGGGTGTGACAGAGCGAGGACGAGGACGGTGAGGTTTGCGGCCTCGTCACAAGTGGTGGCTTGGAGGCGGCTGGAGGTTTCTCCTCGTGGTGCGACAAAGTGAAAGTCGTTGATATGGAAGCCAGGGCGTATCCGGCCAGCAGCTAAGACTTGCGGACGCAGTCCGCAGTGGCGTTACTTGGAAGCCTCTTGACGGGTGCTCTTGGCAGTTGGTCTAGGTAGGTTTTCGGGACAAGACGGCGTCGGCAGTGGCTGGGGATCACACTGTAGACTTCTTGCGTAGATTTCTAGAGTAGGATGGGCGAGTGAACTGGAGTTGAACGTCTGTGTCAGCATATACAGTCAGCAAAGCCTCTTTGGACAACTGGAAGTTGAGCTGCAGTTACTGACTGGCTGCTACTCAGCTTGGTCCCGGGGGCCTGAAGGAAGGATGCGTGCGAAATGAGGGGAAACACAGCGCAAATACGCGCAGAGCAGAACAACCTATCCGTAGAAGGTTAATGTGACGAAGAGGGGCGGCAGCAGGTAAATAGCACCAAAGCAGAGAGTACTGTGTAATTATGGCATTGAAGGACAGACAGATAGACAGACAGCTGCGAGATGCATGGATGGCAGCAGCAGGACTGGAGAATCAACAGCAGGAGCAGTAAGAGACTCGAAGACTTCCTTCCAGGTTGGTGGATCTGAGAATTGGAGGATGAATTGAGTGAAGGGATACGTACTTTGTGCAGATGGACACTAAACTATGAACGGCACAAGTGGAACCTGCCTCCCGCTTCAAGCGTCTTCGACACCAGGGTGACCAGGGCAGGTCCAGGAGCACGGAGCCCAGATGAACCAATCAGACAGCAAGCAAAGTGACATGGAGATTCCCGCTAGTGGAGTGGTTTTTTGTGAAAAAAAGAAAGAAGCCAGTCCCAAAAACGGCAGCGCAGATGGAACCCAGAACCCACTTTTGCCAATCAAGGGAAGCCAGGACCGGGGGCGCTTTCCATAGCGCGAACCAACCCACCGCCATCCCACTACTGCAACCTTCTTCCCCAAGTGCGAGGCAAGAGGCACGGTGGCACGGTGGGCAGGGAGGGTGGTGTCACTGGCAGGTGCAAGTCGTCTCTGGCTCTTGCTCTTCTCGATGTGTTGGTATTCCTACCATCTTTCGCGAGCAGCAAACAACCTAACTTCCAGATTGACCAAGTCGATCAGTGCAAACAGGTTGACTCATCACGGGCCATCGATAACTCAATGGCTGACCGCCATGGTCGCGTGGCTGGCTTCCTGCTCCTGCTCTCCTCTGGATCGTTGCACTTTTGTCCTCTCCCGGCTGGCTGCCGCTGCGATGGCCAGATGCAATTGGGTTTAACCTTTTGACGATTACTTCAGGTGGTTCAGTCATCGCCAATCAACCTTTGGGACTCGTACATCTGCCGAGGACGAAGAAGGACATTGATTCACCGTTTGTTTGCTTCCACCAACAAGTAACAGCTTTTTTTTTTTTTTGCCCCTCTGACAGTCCACCAGGCTTATGATTGATGACAGGCACAGACACAATACAACATTGAACACAGGCACAGGCCGCCGCAAGAATGGAGAAGAAGACGAAGAACCTTGGAAGTAGTTCCCCCGCAAGCACACGGTTAAGAGTAACCTGTTTCGGCCCTAGCTACGGCGCATGGCGGGGGGCATACGCAGTATGGCCCAGATCGTCCAAGTTGGTTTCTTGTTCACTCCCACGGCCACGCCTACGATGCCACAGAGCGGCAGCCAGAGACAGAGACACACGGACGTCCCACATGCGCAATGGTCGCGCTGGTCAGACCTGTCAACCGCTGGCTCCCTTCTTTCATCCCGTCTACGGCGCGTGTGTGCGCGTGTGTGTGTCTGTCTCTCTCTCTCTGCTGTGCGGCTGGTCTCGTGAGCCGTCTTGCAGGTCGGCAACCCCAGTAGCCCTACTAGCCATGCCAGCTTAGGACAGAAAGAGGGCAAGACTTGATCTGGTTGCAGGCCTGAAGCGTGGTCTGGACTGGCCCGAGGTAGCACGGTAGAGGTTGCAACAATGAAGTCAGTCTCTGAATCTACTACGGAATACACTAGTAGAGAGTCTACAGACTCTACTGTGTACGCAGCAAAGGGCCAGGCACGGGGGCTGCGAATCTGTTTGTGACCCCGGTTCAGCTGGCTCGAAATTCCTTTCTTTTCCCCTCGTCCTCGCCCTCGCCCTTGTGGGGACTGGAGCCGTCGAGGTACGTATCTTGTCCGATTTACGGGCTTTGCAGTCGGTGTATTAGGTAAGAAACATGCGAGGCACATCGCTCTAGAGGAACCTTAGCACCCGGTTGCCAAAAAAAAGGACACACCTTAAGGCACTCACTACGATCTCTACCAATTCTCACTCTATTTCAGATTATAATGATAAGCTAAATGAAATAAATAAAAATCATAATCGTGTTTTTCAGATATAAATTAGTATATTAGTATTTTATTTATATTTATTATAATAATTCTTGTTGTAAAAATACTACTTTGACGAGAGACGTGTGTTAAGTGTGTCCTTTTTTTTTGGCAGCTGGGTGCTTAGGTAAGGACAAAGTCAAGGGAGACCCATGGCAAGGCTCAAAAACCTAGAATGAAGAATAGAAGCAGACAAAAGGCAAAAAAAGAAATAGGGCAAGAGTACACGAACGGATACTTTCCATCGCATCGCATCGCCTCACCTCGCATCGCTTCGACATTCAACGGCATCAATGCGCGATTCCGATTTCCTTCTCGACGAGTTCCTCGCCGCTGTCGGTGCCGCCGTCCAGTGTCAGTGTCAAGGTCAGTGTGGTGTGTCTGTCTCCCTGTCTCCTAAACCCCAAGTGTCCCAAGCTCCAGCATTGGGCCCTGCACAAGAAACAAAATCAACAAGAGAAAGAGGGAGAGAGAGAGAAGAGCAAACCAGTCTGTGATGCCGGATGCTGGTGTTGGTGCAGGTTTTTGGCGCTGGTGCTGGCGTCAGAGCTAGACTGACAGTGACAGCCCTTGTTTGGCTGGTGGACCTGTCTGGCCCGGTCAATTTAGCCCCCCCAGCAGAAAGTGGCATGGCATAATAACGTACAGTTATTCGTAGTCGTGCAGATATTGATAGTGCAGACCGCAGACTGAAGGGTAAAGGAAAAAAGGCGAGGGAAAACACGCTGCTGCAAGAGAAAATAGCAGCTGGGCCTGGGTCCCCATGGTGCCCCTGCCCGGCGCAATCTTGGCTCCATTCGACTCTTTCCACTCCCATTGACACCCCAATGGCACACCCCGGCTTATTCCATTGCTCCATTTGCTCCAGGGCTCCAGTGCCTCCATTTGCCTCCTCCTCCTTCCCCCCCAGGTCCAAGAGGGTCCTCGAAAGATACGTACTCTTAGTGTGCAGGATACGTACCGGTACGTACTCTGGTGTTCTCTGCGCGATGCACATCCACAATCTCGTCTCGCTCGTCCATCCCATGTCTGTCACTCACCAATTTGCTCTTTTCCACTCTCGTCTCTCTCTCTCTGGCCCTCTGCCGCTCTCTGTCTGTTGCTCTTTCTCAGTTTCTCTGCTCTTTCTCTGTGTGTCTTGGGCTGTCTCGCACACACCCGTCGGCCACTAACCATTGAGTACGTACTTTACAGGTGGATACCTACCTACCTACCTTGCCTTGCACCTGCCCGCTCTCCTTCTGTACGGAGCATTCGTACACGCACACCTCTGTCGTCGTAACATTCACTCCCCCCCAGTCTGCCTCTCTTCTCTCTATCCCCTACTCACTGCGTCTCTGGCTGATCCAGGTCCAGAATCCACGGTCCACACCCAAAGAACCAAACGACAAGACTCAAGAGTACTGGGCTGCGTACTTGTACACACAATATGCCATACTCACCATCCCCAATAAAACCATCGTGACAGCTCCCTCCCCGTGCACGTTCGCTCTCCTTCTCAGGCCCTTCTCTTCTTCTGCCGAGTGTCGTCTCTTTGATCGAGGGTTCAACTTTGCAACATCTGCCAAGTCAAAGGTCGTCCCAAATACGCTGTTAAACGGGTCTTGGGGTTTCTGGTTTCAACGTCTCGTCCCTCGCCATTCGCCATCCTCGTCTCGTCTCGTCTCTTCTCTACAGAGTCCTCGGCCGTCTACCGTTTACCATCTGTCGTCCTCAAAATCCAAATCCAAATCCAAATCCTGATCCTCCCACCACCCGTTGGATCGAGCTTTCTCTACTTCTACCACCAGCTTAGCTCCTCCTACCTACTTCTCGGACCCTTCATCTACGCCGCACTCCCCTTCCTTCTCCCTTCAGTCAACTCGCCTCTGTCGACCTCACTCCCACACTCTCAATTTCAACGCCAATCCTCACTCTCCCTTTCCGCGCCCCGTGTCTCGCTACCTCTCCGATCTGCCCATCAACCCCCCCGGTTGACATCACCAGACCCTTCCGCAGGGCTCGACTTCGAAACCGTCTGTCAGTGGAAAGACATTTGGCTTGGGACTTGCACCGACCGCCCACCTGCTCCGCTTCCTCACCTGCTGGCTGGAACCATTCGAGTGGATTGATATCAGGCCACTGCTGCTCGTCTACAGGGCATTCGGCTTCGCCTATCATTCTTCATTCCTTTTACACTAGGTCGCTTCTTGGGTGAGCTTCCCTCTGATGTACGTCACCCCCGTCCTTCTCCCCGTCTGTCTACCATTGATCTCAATTCCTACCCTACTTCACCCACGTCTCCTCCAGCCTCTGCACCAATTCACTCTGGTACCTCGTCAATGCCGTTGACTAACCCACCTCTCGCAGCAGTCTTTGGCAATTGCATCTGCTCCCTTTTGGACAGACATCCACAGCAATTGGACATTGATCCTTCAATACGACACTCCCGCCACACACATCGTTAGCAAGCTAGCCTTGCCAACCCCCCACTTCCGCAACAATGGCCGTTCCTCAAGAAAAGGTGGCCGTTCACACCACGGTCGCCAGCATTGCTCTCCCCGAGAAGGCGGCATACTCGAAGCTGTCTGACACCATTGCCACGACCCCGGGCACACTTACTCCTGTTGCTTCAACCCCCGAAAAGAGCCTGGAGATGCCCCGCGACAGCAACCTTTCTACCCCGCGATCGTACCGCAATGAGAACCCCTTCGATACCGACATCGAGGCTATGATCACCACGACATCCTCCTCCGACCCGTACGCCATGAAGAGCATCTCAACTACAAAAGACTGCCCAACGATATGGCCGGGCAAGCAGGATTGGAAGGCCAAGGCGAAGGCCGCGAAGCGTGACAGGGGTTCCTGCGCCTGCATGGCCCGCATGAGCAAGAAGAACCGCATCATCATGAAGGTTGCCATTGGCCTCCTCGTCATTGGCGTCGGTGTTGGTGTTGGCTTCGGCGTCAGCAAGCCTTTGGGCGCACCCATCTGGGGCACCCCTGATGGAAACAAGTGAACATGAAAAGTCTTTCGGCGACATTTACACTTCAACAATGGACTACAAAACGTCAATTTGGCCATCCAGCCGACTATCACACCGAACATAGCCGCATAGACGCTCTACTACCACCACACTCGAGCCGCTTTCCCTTCAGCTTGTATTATATACAACGAACCAGTGTTACTGTCTCCCGATGGTCACCTCGGGCGGCTATTCTTCCATTGTCTCTTTTTACATCGAGCCTTGTCATCAACAAAGGGAAGGGGCCACCATAATTACGATCAGGCGTTTTTAGGAGTTCAATGCATGGACATTCCATCAGCGAGCGAGCAGCGGCACTTTGCGATTCAGTATCCTACAGAAAGGGCCTCGATAACCCACCGGGCTGTGAGAAGTTCGAGGGCATCGGCGCTACGCGACACGAAGTAATCCACTTTGATGTCTACGTTTACGGAGAGACCAGGGCTTTTTCTACTTTTCGATTCTTCAAATGGGGAGAACAGCACCAGCACTTTTTGTACAAGGGTATTGGAGGCACGCTTATTGCGTCAAGGAGAGACGCGTGCGGTTTCGCCATAGCTGCGGTTTGTGGTATAAAAGGATTATCGGGGCGGGATTATTATTGTCAGGCTTCTCTATTAGACGGCCTCTATACGCATTAGGGTATCAGGCGAGAGCAATCAAAGAGTTTATCAGGGAGCCCGCAGTCGAGAAGCGCTCTGGCTGACGGGTATCCTGCATTTTCTGGTTACACATATTCTCATCTTCCCTCTCTGCGTCTCCCGTTGTTTCGAGTCTCCTTCCAACTGCTGGACATGGATCATCCCTTCTTTTTACGTGTTTTGGCCAAAGTGATTGCCATGAAACGACGCACGTTTGTTGGGGTAGACCCTTCTTTTCTACAGACCGAAAGACGAGCTGACAAAGGACACACAGGCCGACCACCTCGGCAATCACGTTCATGTTTGGAAGGATCATCACCGAATAGTACAGACTGCAAGTGTGCCGGATTCCCGATCCGATCCAGCAAAGTTCGAAGAGGTGTTCCTCGTTTATCCTGGTGCCTATACATACAATATCCTTACACACGCACAATCTTCTCGCACCACATGCAGATTTCAAAAAAAGAAAGAAAAGAAAGTAAAAGAAAGTTCCGCGGGGTTTTTGCCCATCTCAAATCCAGGATGTCGGCTAGGATGGGATGCTATAGTAAGCGAAGGAGAGGGAACTAAAGCAAAGGCTCAAAAGTGTTAGAAGAGTTGTTGAGCGCGAAAGACAGGAGCAAATGAGAGAGGAAGAGGAAGAAGAAGATGGAGGGGGAAGGGAACGGGGATATCACCTTGTCCTGAGTTGTGGCTGAAGAAGCAACAAGAGTGCGGAAGAAAAGGTTCAAGAGAGTTTTGAACTGAACCATCCATCCATCCCACTCTGTCGATCCCCCCCCCCCCCCCCCCATGGTGAACTGAAAAGGATGGACTTCCATCTTTGGCATGGTATTCGGCTCCGCGGGGTGCCAAGCGAGTACGGACTTTTTGAAGTATGAACGATAATGGTGGGATTTCTTCAGATGAGATGGGAATGGTGGTGGTATTGGTCCGGATGGATCTTGGGTTCGGAAGGGAAGTTGCGTTCGTCGTGGATGGCACCGCCGTTCGTCGTTGGGTTGGTTTCTTCTCATCCCCTTTTGCGAACACCTCGGCCGCCCACTCTATTGCCGCCCTTTTCCTTTCCTTTTCCACCTGTCCCCCTCCCTCCACGTCTCCCGAAAAAAAGTATCAGTTGGATCTTGTAACTGTACCGTTTCGCCTCGTTCACTTGACAGCAGACGGAATCGATGGGACAGGGGGGGGATTTGTGTCGCTGGGGAGAGACTTCTTATCCCACCTGGCCGCAGCCGGAGCAGACGCGGGGCCACTCTGTAATCGATCTGCGATGGGCCTTGTTCTTGGTCTTGCTCGCCGGGTCTCGGATGTCCGGTGCCGCGGGGGTGGACTGGGATGCCTCGACGACGACGGAGTTGTGACTCGGGTGCCGAGGGCAGAATGACGATGACAAGGGTGCGGACGCGGACGCGGACGCGGAGGTGGATGATTCAGCACCGCCACTTGCGACTGTGGCTTTGCCTTTGCCTTTGCCTTTGCCTTTGCCTGTACAGGTGCATTTGGGTTTGGTCTTGGCGGTGATGTTGTCGGTCTTGGCTACGGGGGATCTGGGTTGGGATTTCGCCTTGCCTTTGCCTTTGTCTTTGGGCTTCGTCGCCTCTTTGGCCTTGCCTTTGGACTTAGTCTTGGCCTTGATCGCGATCTCGTCGGTTCCAGCGGGAAGGGTTGCAGAAGCAGCAGAAGCAGCAGCGGAAGAAGAAGAAGAAGAGGTTTCGCTGTTCTAGGGCTTGGCATTCTTCTTCTTTCTTCCCGTCTTGTTGTTGTGGCTGCTGCCTTGGTCTTCTTCCTCGTCAGAATCGAAGACGGGAGCGCAACGCCACTCGACGGTGCCGAAGCGGGTTGGGGAACCTTCCTCCGTCGGGGAGCCTGTCGGGGAGCCCGGCTCGGATCCGATGCTGGATACGGTGTTAGCTGTTCGGCGGCGGGCGTCGGTGACGGTTATGGTGGAGGATCGCACGCTGGAGAGCGGGGAGACGCCGTCTGAGTTTGCGGCGGAGGCTCGAGATGCTGCGGCGTGAGCGTGAGCGTGGGCTTGGGCTCGGCGGGACAGGGCTGCGGCGCCGGCGGCTGCTGCTGCGGTTTGAGTTGGGGTTGCCGAGGTGGACGCGCTCGAAGACGGATGTTGCTGGCGGATCTGCGTATACGCCGGGGATGGAGAGAAGCCGTAGTAGGAGGGGATGTGGCCTGCTGCCCAGATACCTGTGCCGCTGCTGCTTGAGGCGGTATTGGTGGTGCTCTTTGGAGTACCTGCGGCAGTAGAGGAAGAGATGCCCTTGAAGCGGCCGAAGGAGGGAATATCAGTTGGGGGACGGAGGGGCATCTGTGTGGTGATGGAGTCTGCGTCCGAGTGGTTGCCTTCATCGTTGTCAGAGGAGTCGCGATTGTCCCCTTCATCTGACGCGTCTGCCTGGCTCAGGCTGGAGCTGGAGCTCTGGCCCTCACGGGGATGGTCATCCTCGTGGCCCCAGTGGCGACGGCGGCCGCTTCTTCCGTAGATCTGGGATGGGTGTGGGTTAGTATCTCGTCCTGGACCGGGTTCGCGTTCGGGTTCGGCGATTCGGGTGGTGGGTTCTGCGAATCGGGGCCGCCTCGGGGCAGCGGTGGTGGCGTCGCCTTCGCCGGATTCTGGTTCGGCGATTACAGGTAGACCGCCGGGGGTTCGCGGGGGAGCGGCGACGATTCGAGGGGAGAGGAGTCTCAGGGGAGAGGCGTTCGGGCTCGGAGGGGAGGAGTAGGAGGAAGAGGAGGAGGTATCGTCGGCGGGATCGGGCTTGGTGGGGGGTTTGTTTCGACGACGGATGAGGCCTGGATTCAGGAGGGATGGGTACGCCATGACTTCGGACCAGAGATGTCGTCGGCCCCAGGAGGGGGGATTCTCGTAGAGGGTTATGGGGGGGATCTGGGTTCCGTCACTTGGGTGCCACGCGGCCCATCGACGCTTCTTGCGACGGAGGTGTTCTCCGAGGATGAGGATGCCTGGGGATGTGCTGCCGCCGGTAGCTGGAGCTGAAGTTGAAGCAACAGCAGCCGCATCGCCAGGAACAGCACCACCATCTTGGGCACCAGGGGGAAGGGGTGTACTTTGGGAAGAGGACGGGCTGGCTTTGCTTTTACTTACCTCGTTGGGGACCTCGTTCTTATCGAGCTCGCGCCAGGGGAACCAGAACTTATGAAAGGTCTGCATCTCGATGTCGGGGTTCTTCTTCATGTTTTTGATGGCGCGGCGGCGTTCCTGGTAGCAGGTGAAGATGAAGAAGACGAGGACGATGACGGGAACGCAGGGGACGACGATGAAGGTCCAAGTGAGGTTGCCGGAGACTGGGTCCTTGAGCTTTGGTGCGTCTGGCGTCGCAGAGGCCGAGGGGTGGCTCTGGGTGATAAAGACGGAGACTGTCGTGGCAGTTCGAGGGATGAGTTTTGCGACTGTCGTGATGAGGGTCGATGGGGTTACTGTTGGCGGCTGTGTGAATGCTGCTAAGATGGGCTTGAGGGTTATGGTTGGTGAGGGGAGGGAGTGAAGGGCTGAGGGCGCCATCTTGGAGGATGCCCGCAATAGGAGCTCGAGGTACGGTATGTATGTAGCAGTATGAGTCTTGTAGGTGCGTATGACGCTGCCCCGTTCGCTTGTGTATAGGGATATACGGTCGGCAGAAGGTATCGTGAGCTATGAGCTATGAGTCGAGTCAAGTCGAGTCAAATGTGTTGGTATCGTGCGTATAGCTGCAGGCTGCTAGATGCTGGGCAAACAACAAGAAGCAAACCTAGCAGAAATGCCAAAACGATATCGCAAAATGAGCTCCGTCTAGACGCTGGTGAGTTGTTGCTATTTTTGAGATGGAGGGAGAAGTGAGTGGTGAGAAGGAGAAGTCACCTACTGGGTACGATCGCACGTAGTATTTTGTGATGTTTTTTGTTCAGGGTAAGAGCGAAGGTCGTGAAAGGATGAATCGGATCTCTTTCTACTGCACACAATGGAAATGATTTTGTATTGTTGTTATGGTTGTTGAGTGATCGGTGGGCAAGTGGGATGAGAAATACGTGATCGGGTGAGGCGTATTGAGGGAAAAGGGGGGAAGGAACGCGGTCTCCCTCGTGAGCAATATTCTTTTCCCCCGACTTTGCCGAATATTATTGTGCGTCGTCTTGGTGTTTGTTTTGTGCGAAAAATTTGAGAGATGGGGTGAATAAGGAAAAGTTCACCTCTGCTCAAGGAAAAGTGTGGATGTATGTGGGAGGTCAAAGTAAACAATGGCTTTGTGTGGGAGGTGAGTGTCTGTGAAGAGGGGAGGTGCGGGAGAGCAGCCCTACTTGGTCGAGGCCAAGACCAAGGATCAAGACGAGGCAGACAGTCTGCTGTTGACTGAAAGGCGCGTGATCAAAATGCGTGTGGGATTTATTTTTGGTCAACAGGAGAGAGTGAGTGACTCGTGATGGTGAACAGGGTCAACACCTCACTGGCCAGAACACATCTTGTTGTGTCGTACTTGCCAAAGAGAGAAGAGCGAAAGAGTCCGCTGAAGAAGCGTAAAGAACAGGAACAGTCTGGATGAGTGGAGAATTGCCGGGGGTAAATGAGAAGTCAGAGGATGATTGCACAGGTGATTTTGCTTCCTTTGTGGGTGGTGTTTCTCTTGGCCTGGGGGCGACGCTGTTCTGTGGACAGTAGATGCTTTGTTGTGATGGGATGATATATATGTGAGAGATGACCTCGACCGGATGGAATACTCGGGCGAGGAGATACATCAACTGTCATTCGGATGAATATACTACCAGAAAACGCATACACACGAACTCGGGAAGTTCAAGACACATCGCGCCGGCGCTGGGAATTTGACGCCAGGTGATATTGCACTTCAAACTTCATATTTGGTATTACGCAGACCTCTCCCCGAGTAGTGTCGTTGATGATGGATCTAACTCGTTTCACCCCATAAAGATACGTTTTGAATGAACATATAGCCAGACTTCATATACGAACTCGGGAAGTTCAAGACACACCACGCCGACGCTAGAAATACTTTGAAGCAAGGTGATATTACACCTCAGACTTTTCAGTACCCTTAGTTTTTGGTAATATTCGCACTTCTCACTGAGTGATAACATCGGTTTTTGGACCTGACTCGCTTCAGCTTTGAAAGATACATTTTCCACCTCAAGACGACTGTTTAAACATGGTTCTCACCGACCCACTTGAACCGGGATATATCGATACCTTCAAGTTACTCGAGCAAGAGCGGAATGTCAACGGCAGTGATTTCAGGATACTCGAGGTCATAGCCTTGGTTTATATTAGTGTCATGGGTGCCATCGTTGTAGGTATAACTATACTTTGGGGTGTGATGTGGCGCGCTAAGCATCAAGTAAAGATAGACAAGCTGAGGAAGGAGCTTGCTTGAGCATTTCCTTGGCCTTTCGGTCTCGTCTTCTCTATCTCTCTCTCTCTATATAGATATATCGTGGTGTGTGGCTCGGGTAGACTGCTATAACAGCTCGATTTGAATGTTAGGTTCATCTACGTTCTCGGCGAGAAAAAAACCATGTTGAATCTCTGACCCCTCTCCTAACAACTCATCTGGTCTTCCCTAAGTTTATCTCTCTTCTTACCTAGAAGTCTTGCCCCTTGTCCGAAAAACCAGCATCTTGCTCGTGTTTTGTGTGCAGACAACTCAAAATCAGGAAATATTGAGAGGGAAAACAGAACACGCCTGTAATTTCAAACCGTCATCGCACTTTTAAATTTCTCCAGCCATAGCTTCCGAGGAGGGAAATTTCTCTATACGAAGAATGAAAAGAATCCTATGCCGCTGTTTGAGTTGGGCAGCTTGAAGGTGTGTTTGGAGAGACTATGACGAGCCCGAAATGTCAGCGTAGTCAGGTAATCTCCTCAAACTCGGCGACCCAAGACTTTAGCCTGTGTGCTCTTCACGACACGCTCTTCACGGGAGTTCCGACGCATTATTGTGGCCGCCTGCTGATATAGGTCTGCTGGTATCGAAATCTCATCGAGATTTCCCGAAAAGTCCCTCTAAGCAGCCGTAGATAGTTGATGCTCAAGGCGATTCGCCACCCTCTTCTTGGGAGATGTGTGTCTCAACTCTTCCGATCATCGCCGAATCCACCGGATTGCCTATCTAAACTCATTCTTACAAGGACACGGGCTGCACAGAAAATATCTGTTCTATTCACTGTGTAGCTATGGTGTCACTGGCAACTGGCCAAGATGTGCAGGTATGGGAAGGGCTAGAAGTCTCTTGTGTTTGGGGTGCCTTGAGATACCCAAGCTTACTTGCGGTGTTCTTGATGATTTGAAAAAGAGATAGTCTGCATCAGACACATGGATCAAAGTCGATCAAATCGAGAAGCTCAGATCTTACCGATAACATGTACTTGCAGAATGGTGCTCGAGAAGACCATCCTCATGTGTCCAACCCCTGACCGAAGTGTCGGTGTGAGAGGCCGGGGGCCTTAAACCTGGAAATGCGCAGCACCGAGCTCCCAACTTGCTGGCAACCGAGACATCAAGTTGCAACGGTGCACATAGTACAGCGACACGAGACCTCAACGTGGTTTCTTTCAAGCTTCTTCAGCTGTGTTTCGAGGAAGGTGGTGACGACATCCCGGTCACTCTTGGGTGGCCATGATCGCGTGGTTATCCCCATTCAACTTGCGTAGGGAGGAAGAACAAAGACTCGATATTTCCAAGGAGTGGTACATTCATAGAAAACGGTATGGATCGGTGTAACCTCGCGACGACGCAGAATCGGTCCGGTGAGAGGAAACCGAAACCTCGTCTACCTGCCGCTTGTGCGTTGTGAAAGGTGCTTCTTACCTACCTCAGGCCCTGTGTCGTGGATCAACATCAAAAAACGTCGCTGCTCAAAAGCGTGAGCTGTTTCTGCTGTCCTCCTTCTTTCGGAAAAGATGCTCCTGCCGCTAATGTCGTGTAGAGCAAACGGTTGCCTGACTTAGTTGGGTATGTGTGACGTGATGGACGACTTCCACCTGGATTGGGACGGTTCCAATGACAGGGGTAAGGGAGGTCGAGGAGTACGATGCAACTTCCGCAGATGACCTCGGCGGTGACGATGGGAAGGAAAGATGCCTTCACGGTCTTCAGGGGCAGACACAGCAGTCGCTCCCAGTGAGCTTCCCATCGAAGAAGGCAACTTCCACCTTTCCTGGAAGCTCCAAGCTGTCGGCAGCCCAAGGGCCAGCGTGTCTGTCTTCTACCATATAAGCCTCCCCAACCCAATGTCCACTCTCTTTTCCATCTCTTCTTCATCCTTCATCTGCCAACGACACCACAGCATCCCTCTACTTTTTTGGACCAACACACATTCTGCTAGCATTGCTTTCAAGTCACTTCTTCCACTCAAACGTACGCCACTCGGCAACATCAACCGGCCGACCACCCAGATGTTCTCTCTGTCTATTGTCACTCTGACACTGGCTTCTCTTGGCATCGCTAGCCCCATTGACGTCAAGCCTCGTCACCACGAGGAAGTTAAACCTCGGCATCACGAAGAGATCCAACCCAGGTCTCACAATGTCCCTAGTTTCGAGACACTGAAAAGCGAAATGACCACCAACGCGGGCTCTGCCATCTCCAAGATGATCCCTGGCGTTGGAAATGATTGGGGATGCAATCATGTAAGCTTCTTCTTCCTCCTGTCTGCCCGTTCCATCTCTTCTAGATCACGCTTCCTGTCACCTCTCCACGCATGTATCTGGATTTACGGCTGCATCATCAGCGGTAGACCTATAGGAAATACGTCGCATCGATGTCACAGAGCTGATGGATACTTAGATCACTGCCCCAGATCCCCTTGACTGCCCAGCCCTTTTCGCAAAGATACAATCCGGGCAAAAGGATGGAGTCACCGTATCGACCGACAACACATGCTTCACCCAGACTCATGGCTCATGCAAGGCCACCGTCTGCTCAGCTGGTGGAGTTGACAATGTGGACTATGCTTTGACAACGGCACGGATGATGAACCCAATTCAAACAACGTGCATTGTCAATGGGAAAAGTGGCTACTGGTGGAACGAGAACCACACAGTCTACGTCTCGGTTACGCGTGGCAACTAGGATCGTCGCGACCTTCGCTTGAGACAGTTTGAAGAGGATCCGACTGATGAAGTCCCCGAGGAAGAGGCGGAGGAGCCGCAGGATGAAGATCCCGAGGACGAAGAAGACTCTGATGATGACGAAAAATCTGACGACGAGGAAGAGGACTCTGATGATGATGACGACTCTGACGATGACGAGGACTCTGATGACGATGACGAGGATGATGAAGAAGAATATGGTGATGATGACGAGGAAGAGGTTGATGAGGACAACGAAAGTGACGAAGATGACGAGGGCCCTGAAGACGAAGAAGTCCCCGAGGACAACGAGCCTGACGAAGAGGAGCCTACCGAGGGAGAATTTGTTCGGAGACGGAGACGAGTCTGTTGAAGACGAAGCTTTCGATGATTCCATAGGCCCGAGATGATCATTCTTCCGTGGCATTACTTGGCACTCAGTCACCAAAGCTACCTAGACACTTGTAGCATGGCTTAACAATAAACTTAGAACATCGCATCAAGAAGACGAAGAGGGTGTTGCATTGACAGGGCTTCTTTCCGCGTCATCTGCTTCTCCCAAGTGAAATCACAACCAAGCAAAACCATTCCCATTTTGAACTAACACTTATGGTCGCAGACAAGGTCAATCTGGGCGTTTGAAAGTCAAGTATTGGTGAAGTCGTCGATGGATGTGCAGTGATGCAGGGTCAAGTGGATCCTTTCCCAGGAAGCTGCCATAGTACAAGGTGATCCCTGCTCGGGATCTGCCGAATGGTGGGGAGCTTGAGATCCATCATCAACATCAACATCAACATCAACATTCATTGATTCAACACCCAACACCACGAACACGACCTGCATCCTACATTACGAAACCGGAAGCCACCACTCTACTCAACCTTGAATCGTTGGCGCCGCGAAAAGAAAAAAACGGAGGACACCAAACAAACACGCAGTAATGGGTCTGGTACGTCCCTCTTCACCCTCGCGCCCACATCCCACCCTAGACATCAATCGTACTGACAATCTGCGTGTCCCGGACAGAACAAGGACGCCAGCCACACGTACGTGCACATGCACCGCGCGCGCGACGCCGACCTCTTTGAGGATTTCTGCAAGGAGAAGCTGCCGGACGACGAGGTCTACGTGCCGCCGCAGCATCAGCCGATCAACCCGGAGGACGAGGATGACGTGGTGCCGGACCAGCACGCGGCGTTTGGCATCACCAAGGCGACGCAGCGGTCGCGGGAGGCGGCGTGGAAGGATTTGGGGCTGTCTGGGTTGATGAATCGGGGGCCGCCGCCTGCGGGTGGGTGGGAGAGGGGGCAGGCTGGGGCTGGGGGGAGTGCTGGGGGTGGGAGTGGTGGTGGGAAGAGGTTGCCTCGGTGAGGTGGAGGGATGGCATTGAAAGAACAGACAGAGACAGATTCTGGGCTGAGGTGACGGGAGAGATTGGCGTTATGGGATACCCGGGTATTGATTTTGAGGACGCAAGTCTTGTCTAGGACGGCATGGAGGCGGTATCGTGGGTTTGTTTGGGTGTGCCAAGCAGCTTCAAACTATAGCCAAAGGCGAAAATTGCTGGCTACAATGGAGATCATGGGCCGCGGTTCTGTGACCGTGTTGACAGTGGAATGATACTATCAATGTATTTTTGGGCTTCATGACTGTTGTGCCATTGAGTCTTCCTACAATTCCACTTCAAATGTCATGGGCCCACGAGCAAGTATCTGCGAGGCACCAGAAAAGATTTCCCATCGCCCAAACGCCGCCCATGCTCTTCCCGTAAACGCCGTGAATCAACATTACCCCCGTCGTCTCCTCGCCCCACAACCACCATCAAGCCAAACCTCTTCTCAGGGGCCTCAATCAGCTCAGCTCAGCTCTTCCCAAGATACCCCTCCCTCTCCAACACCTCGGGCCTAAACTTTACCAAAAACACCGTCTTGCCAGGCCACATCTCGTGCTCATCTTTCGCGGCAATATTATGCGCGCTCACCCTTGCAGGAAAGCCCGCGCCATCGCATATGCCTTCGACGATGCCCGCGACGTAGGCGGCGCAGTTGAGCTGGGACATTTCGCGCGGCACGGAGATGTAGGCGTTGACGAGGGGCTCGTTGTCGATAATCATGTACTCGTCTGGCTTGGCCGGGTCGGCGGATTTCTCGAGGCGGTCGGCTTGTCGGCCAAAGAGGTGCTGCCAGCAGGGCTGCTTGATGAAGTGAAGGAGGGTGATGATTGTGAGGGGCCGGGTCTGGGTGCGCGGGGGTTCGCGGAAGAGGAGGAGGTCGAGGAGTTTGAGGCCTATTGAATGGCCTTGGACGTTTAGTCTGGGGGGAGGAGGAGTTAGTTTGATAGGGGGTCTTGGGGATAGCTAGATAGAGAGAGAGACAGAGAGAAAGTATGTAGTAGGGAGATGGGACGGGAAGGGCGCACCGTTGTTCGAGCTCGGAAATGTCCTTTACGTTGCGCTGGGCGTACGAGACCATTTCGCTAAAGAGGTAGGCGAAGCTGGACTGGCTCAGCTCGGCCGTCTTTGTGCGGTTCAGGGGCCGGTGGTAGATTGTCTTGCCGTTGGAGGGGTATCGCAGGCCGGGCGTCTCCTTGCCCGGGATGCTCTTTGTCGTTGGTAGGTTGGCCATTGTCGTCGCGTGTGTGGTTATGTGTATCTAAAGCCCTAGTGAGCTGTTCGGTGGTCGTGTTGAGATAAAAGGCGGTGGTGCATCTGGTTTGTAAGGTTGATTGGAGCTGTTCTGCAGGTTGTGAATCGGTGTGCGGCAGCAGCTTGGTGTTGCGCTTGCGCCGAGAAAAGGTGACGTTTGGGGGTGGGAAGGCTGCAGCGTTGGCTGGAGCTGTGGGTTTGGTGTTTGAGTTGCGCGATTGGTGTGCAGCCTTATCGGCGATAACGATAAGAGCTTCCGCAGGGACAACCGGGCACTTCACCCCACGGAAGCTTCAGCTATCACATCCCAAAAGATATCAACAGGAAATTGAAGTGGAAAATATGTATGTGAGAAGGTCTGCGCAAGAGGGAACACTGAGAAAGGTTCCATCCGTCTCAATGTCTCCGTGGAGCACCCAGAAATGTCTACCTTTTTGCCCCTCTATCCTGCCATTAGTTCGAGCGCCTTTTGCTCTGTCTATGAATGTGTAATGGTTCAAATCAACCTCTAAGCTTCCCGCTCAACATTTACCAAGTCAAGAATTCTATGCAGTGGGCTTAACCTCGACAGGTGTCTCGGCCGCAGCTGGGACGGGAGCAGCTTCAGCAGCAGCTTCAGCAGCAGCAGCAGCAGCAGCCGGGGCAGCAGCCTCCGCGCCGACGCCCTTCTCGACGGCACCGCCGAGGTAGTCTTCCGACTCACCAATCTGCTTTCCCCCAGCGACCCAGCGGGCCGTCCGGGCGTCGTGCTTCTCCTTACACATGCCGTTTAGGGCGGGCCAGTAGACGGAGTGGTCGTACTCGAACTCGAGCTTGCCGTCGCTAAACTCGGTCCACAGCTGCTCCTCGGGCACGTACTGGCGCATGTCCTCGTTGAACTTGAGCTTGTCACGGGTCATGGGGTCAATGAAGGGGGTGATGAGCTTGAAGAAGCCGTTGACCATCCAGGGGACTGTCATGACGTGTCAGCATGGCCGGGGAACTGAACTAGATGAAATACGGGTGAGATGGGATTAAGTATTCATACCATTGATAATGAGGGCCTTGCCCAGACGCTCGGGGTAATGCGTCTGGAGAATATGCAGCACCTCGCGGGCGAGTCCGAGACCGGGCGCCGTGTTGCCGCGGCTCTTTGACGTCTTGAAGTTGATGAGGAGGGCAATCTTCTCCTGGCCGGCGGGCATGATGTCGATGACGCGCTCGAGCATGAAGACGAGGTGCTGGACCTGGCGCGGGCTCGGGTCGGTGTTTTGGCGTCCCGGGTTCAGGTAGTGGCAGGGGCGGCGCTCCTTATCGAAGCCGAGAATGATTTGCTTGCCCGTCTCGTTCTCGGGCGAGATGTGGTCGGCGGTGAGGGCCTCGACGCCGTACTCGCGGCGCCAGGCCAGGGTCTCGAGGAGACGCTTCTCGGCGTCCTTGAGGGACCATTTGGTGGCGCGGAGGTAGCGGAGGAGACACTCGCGCGTGAGCCACTGGCGCTCCGAGTCGGTTAGGGGGCCCGATTTGGCGACGTGGGCGGCGGTGGTGCATTTGACTTCCGTCCAGGCGCGGGCTTGGGCGAGAAGGCCGTCGTATTTGGTCTGTTGGTCTGCGGTGAGGGTCGGGACGGCCGGGGTGGAGGAGGCCGGGACTGGGAGGGCGATGGGCGTCTTGAGCGGGCCGGATGCGGTGGCCTTTTCTTGCAGACCGGCGGCGGCGGCGGCGGTGGAGGCCGGTGTTTGATCGGCGACGGAGGCCATGGCGGGCGTTGGCTGGTGACTGGTTACTGGTGGACCGTGGAACGTTTTCTTCCTTCGGAGGGGAGCAGATCCGGAGAAAGGTAGGTTGAATTGTTTGACTTTTGCCCTTGCAATACGGATGGGATCGTGGCCGTAAGGGGTATGGTGAGGTGGGATGAGATGTGCGCGGGGTGGAGGGGGGTGTGCGTTCGTTCGTTCGTCCGCGTCTGTGGTCTAACAGAGATGGAAAAGATAACCAGTGTCTGCTTTTCGAACTTGTGTGCTTGTGTCTCGGAACTTGGAAGGGAGGTTGGGTGAATCACGATGAGTTTGTTTCCCTCACGCAAAAAAGTCACACCGCTAGAATTTGCAGTTGCGGCCACGATGAGCTTACGCGGTATTGATTGACGGTGAGATTGGAGTCTGGAGAGGAAAGGAGATGAGCCCATGCCGGGAAGCTCAGTTCCGGCCGTTAGTGTCCGCCCCAAGAGACCCAAAAGGGGACCCCAAAGGTGCGCTTTCCTGTGTACTCGGTAGGCCCGCCATTGATCGACCGGGTTGCGCGCATGTTAGGTTGAGTTTATTCTGTCTATCTGAGGGATATTGGGGATGTGTTTGAGTCTATGGTTCTCTATGCGGCCTAGGGTATCACGAACTATTCCAAGATTTACATATTATGAAGACGTGCGGTTGGCAGGTTACATTAAACGCCGTTGAGATGGATGGTTAACATGTTGCGCTTTTTCCGAGGTGGCAGGGTGATGGCAGGCCTTGTCACGCGCAGGTCTGCAGCGCTGCTCGGTAAACCTCGCGCTAGGCCGGATCAAGTGGGTCCCGGTTCCAACGTTCCGTACTGCGTAAAGTACCTCCCTTACCTAATAAAGATACGTACTCTTCAGTTCAGGACGGGAGCAGTTCTCTCCTCGACTCCCGTCCTTTTGGGCTGCTGCGTCCAGTACGTATTCTTAGCTCCAATGACGCCGGCGGCGATGTGAAACTCGGATCTTCACTCAACCTTCAGGCTTCAAGACAACCCGCACACGCCGCCGTCGCAGTCGTCCCCTTCTAACAACGGACCACAGCCCTTCCTGTCTCCATCGAGTCATGGGTGCCACTTTTGCGCTGTCAACCAACTTCGAACCCTTTGGCAACCCAAGGAATGCCAGCGTACCGGCGTGTCAGTGGCCACCATCAGGTGTCACTTTTGGATGCTTCGTACGGAATCCTCTCATCTCGTCTGATCCCATGGGTTGGAAAATCCCCCGTGGCATTTTGAGAACGACGAACCCACCAAACCACCACTACAATGTGTAGAGACTAGAGGGCACAATCCACACAAGTCGCCGATGATGGCTGAAGAGGAGGCTTTTCCAAAAAAAAAAAAAAAAAGCCCGCTGGCTAACTCTGCGTGGAACGAATCGAACGATCAATAACTTCTATCGTTTCCAGGCTAACAATCATCCGCTGCATATGTCGCGTGGTCAACATTAGGCCGCCCCAAAGTCGAGACGGCCCTCCAATCAACTCCATTCCTCCCTCGGCCGGTCCCTCGGCCTTCCGTGTCCGTGGCTGATCACGCTGGTCTTCTTGGGGACGTTGGAGACTTTGGAGCCATTCCCAGCTGCCCGGAACTCCAGCCATCCGAGCTGTGGCTGCAGCCGAGCGCCTGGCTTCTCTCCCTCCCGAACTCCAAAGGCCCGGCACTGGCCCTGTCACCGTGTCACTCTCTCTCAGAAGCGGCACTTTGTGTGTGTGCTCTCTCCACCCCATCCGTCCACCTTTCCATCACTCGGTTCTTCGTTTCCGAGCCATGGTCCATCCCTCGAGAATCGCCCTCGTCCAATCCAAACACACACACACCCAAAACCACGGATACGTCGCTTGCTGGCTCGACTAAACCATGAACACATCTCATCCGTGCGGGGATGCGCCGTCGTCCCAGATGTCTCTTCGGTTGGATGCAGCTCCCTCCCGCCCACACCGTCTATCCAATATCACACTTTCTGCAACCCGCTGCTGCTCTTATCCCAGCAGCTGGCCCCATTCCAGACAACCTAGACATCTCGGGAGAGCCCTGCCTGTTCAAACTTCTCACTCCGGCTTCTGGACGGATCGTCGTCACATCAGCACGCCCCCCACGAACTCCGCCCAGTGCCGCCGGGAACTCGAATGTCCATCACTGATCGTCGCGGCTCCCGGTCTTGAAAAAGGCTGCGTGGTATCCGTACCGGTAAACCTTCAAAAGAAGAAAACCTCCGGATCGACCGCCAGGATCAGAGCTCAAAAAAACCACTGATGTTTCACTGGCATTCCTCCTTCCTTTTTGCAGCTCTTCACCCTCAGAGCTCTTAAAAGATGGTCACCATCCTCCCTTCCCTCTGGCCTTGCCCAGATTTGAAGAAGATCTCTCTTCCCTCACGCGATAATCTATCTTCTTGGCTCAACATGCCGCTCTCCAACTACCTCGTTCAGGCGTCCATCGCGGTCTTATTGGTCATCTTTGGGATCCAGATGCAGACGACTGCCGCCCAGGCTACTCCGCTCACTTGCACCAATGTCGACCAGCCGAACCCCATCTTCAGTCAGTACCCGAATAACGCCACCGGCCTCTTGAACGTCACCATGGTCATCATCCCGATCCCCATGACGACCGCGCGCCAAATCATTCCGCAGCAGTATGGCATTCTCGAGGGCGCATACCGGGCTCTCATGCCAAATTTCCCCGCCGACATGTATCCTGTTGTCGTCCAGGCCGGTCATGATCACGATATTCGGTTTCAGGACTTTGGAATTCCCGACTTTAGTGTAAGTCCTGCCGCAACACGTTTCCACCCGGGGACACCTTACTAACACTTGGAAATAGAAATCTGGCTTCGAGTTCCCCTTCCTGGACCTCTTAGGCGACGGCAAATCATCCTTCCGATGGGCACCCGAGCAACTGATCTCGGCCTCCAACCCCGCCGCCGTCACCGGCTCCCAAGCGTACGGCACCGAAGTCCACGCCGCTACCTTTGCCCCCGAATGCAACGCATACTCGGCTACCGCTGGAGGCGGCACTTCATTCAACGGCACTGCGGGTGCCAAGTACATGTCCCTTGAGATGAAGAAGTCGTCATGCGGAGGCAAGGCACCACCTTACACGCTGGCCATGTTCGACACCATCATCAACCAGCCTATTTTTGCCAACGGCTCGACCTGCGATCAGCAGATCCGCCTCTTCAACACCTCCGTTACTACCGGGGCTTTCGAGCCCGTTCCCGTACGCGGGACGCTCAAGTCGAATCTCGGACCTTTCCAGACCGACGCTTCATTCTCCGACGTGGCTGGCTTCCAGGCTGCCACGCCCTTTATCGAAAATAACTACCTTCCTTGCGAAATGTTTAGAGGATACAACCCTGTTAAGACTACTTGATACCCCCTTTCTCCATCGTGGAGAGAGGACTTTTTTTTACAACTTAATTTCTATTTACCCCCTTTTTCGGCGGTGGTTTTTGGGCCTTTGGCCTCGGCTGGAGCCGATGGGAGGACATTTTTACGAACTTGATGACAGCATGACGTACATAGTCTCTACATGGATGTGGGAAGATGACTAGGATCTCTTCCCCTTTGTGTCAATACACATGGCGGGTGCCGCATGGCGCCGCGATATCTGAATACCTCGTTTCCCAAAGATTCGGTGATATAGACGGATGCAAGACGTGATCAATTTGCAATGTCCCTTCTCAGCATTGCAAACCGAGACTGAGACGCATGGGGGTTAGCAACTAGCGGCTTTGGATGCGATTGCGTCCGGTATTTAGCGTTGTAAATCTGCCACCGCTCTTCGGTCCTAGCAGGCCTAGCAGGAGCGCCTCCGGATTCCGGCTGCGCTGGTTACTCACATTGCCGAAATCCGGGGCTATTTTGGCTGTTTTCCGGCTTGCAGCTCGCCCGGCAGATTTATCCCCAATTGCTCAACACGGGCGCTTCCGCTTGTATCCACTTTTCTCCCGCCTCCGTGCCCGCACAGGGGCTTCTCCACTTTCCGGGGAGTCACGGCAGAGTGAGGTAAAGCAAGATAGGTGAGGTATTTCAGACTAGCGATGTGGCTATTTTTAATGGAAAGAAGATGAACATCTCGAAATGGGTTAAGAATGCAGTGTAGACGAAGGATTGCGTACTTTGACCAATAGCCTGCATTCTCTATTTAAAGACGCAGGCTGCTGAGATTTGACTCTTGGTTGGGTGAATACGCGTTTTGGTTTGCCTGTCATCTCCCCACGTCTCCTCCCCTTAGGATATCCTCAGGATGGGTTGAAAATGCAGTGAGAGACTGACCTCTGCCCCAGAAAGGATTAGGACCACTCCTATTTCGCACTAACACATAACGTCAACTCCCCTCAGGATATCCTCGGAATGGGTTAAGAATGCAGTGAAATGCCCTGGTCAAACGCCCTGCAGGTTGCAGGTGCATACACAGCAATTCGTACACTAGTATTTCGCATCAACAAATAGGGCGATACCGTAGCAAAGACTACCATCTTAGCAAAGCCATTAATTTCACGTTGTTTTTAGATCGCAGTCCGTTTACTGAAATGGATGCAACCAGAGCTCGGCCGTTAACTTGGGGTCTTGACGATAGTTCTCGCTGCAGAGAGGTTCAACTCTGAATCACGCAATGGGACAAGGCTTACTGTGCACCTCAAAGAAGTAAATCCCTTGTTAGGCGTGATTCTCAGCCGGGGATTTCGAGATGCCGTGTACAGCGAAGGCCTGATTGTAGCTCATCGCCCGGTTTCGCTGCTGAAGCGTTCTCGATTGCTGACTTTTGATCTTTCATTGGATGGTAGAGCTACGTCGCTTCCCTTTGGATGGGTTACAATAAAGGTTTCCAACGCAACACAACTTGCAACCGCACCTTGTGATATGTCAAAGACTGCAGTGAAGGCCCAATGGGGAAGTAGGGTTCGTACTCAGTTATGACGTTGCATTAGATGACAAAACTGTGTTGCTTCACTTGGGATGGGCTAAAATTGCAGTGAATGTCGCCTCAAGTTTGCTTCCCAACCCCTCATTCTCGGCTGGGTTGCGAGGTGCGAAATGTAGCGGGGAAGATTTCAAAAGCAAGCCACGAAGGCGACTGATCATCGCCTTGTTGTATCTCTTTGACTGAATTATTCTTGGGATCTTGGAGTCCGCCAATGCCGATGCTTGAATCTAAAGGGATATGGCTCAATAAACTATCGCTTCGACTTGCATCTCGACATGATGTGCGGCTTGGCGACGAGCTTGATCATGCTTGGTGTAGATCACCTCGGGGAGGCACCACGAATTGACGACATCACATCATTTGGGTACTTTAAACCTAAATCTCACAGAAAGCGCTGTCATTAAAACCAATGTGCTCTTAAACATGAGATAGGTTCATGCAATAATGAGGTATCAGAGCGGGAAGATAGAAAGTAGATGCAGAACAAGAGGCTAATTCAAGCGGCTGAGAGAACTCACTGCCTACCATCCGTAAGTCAATTGGATTTACATTGCATCACCCATTACAGATCTGGCGTATTCCAGCAACAGAAAGGGAAGCGTCTTTCGTCCTACCTAAATGCGAAGACAAGGCCAGAGAAGTTAGAACCAAGGGGAGGGATAAGACGGCAACTAGAGACGAAGGATCGACGAATGGCGCGCCTCAGAATGTGACTTTGGACGGAATTCAAAACGCGACTGGAAACACTGCAGGGCCTCCGTCCGGGGAGGGGGACTCGAATATTGTGTGAGCTACGGGGGCCGCTTGGCGGCTTTAGGATCGCTGAAACGGGTGTTGTACTGCTTAGTCACACGCTGTTCTCACTATTACTAACTCTGTTAAGCTGGAAAAAGGTGCACTAACAGTTAACAATTAGGACTGAAAAAGAGAGTCTGGGGCTTGACGGCTTGTTGGGGGTAACGTCGACGACCCCTGTCCTGAAACTTCAGCCTCAGACTCTGGTGGTATCTGGACATGAGACGACGGGGAACCGAAAACAGGACGGCGTAACGAATCGAGGAGGGCGGTTATTGTAGGCGAGGGATGAAGGAGAAACAGGGGCAATCAATGGGGGCAAGGTTGAACAAAAGAACGATATGGCCCGCATGGAAGTGCCTCACGTACCTCTTTTGGTTTTGCCTCCTCTTCTTACGTCTTCTTCTCTTCTTGGCGCTGGCGCAATTGTCTCTAGTATCCAGTCCCTCATTGCTCATGCCAGGACTTCAGTCTTTCTAATTCGATTCGATAATCCTCTCTTTCACTGACTTGCCTGCCGCCGGTTGATCCGCTTTGTCTATTTCACTATACATAACAAAGACACTCATTCGAGAACACAAAGACAACTCGCCCAACATGGATATGTCGGACGCAAAGTACGCCAACATCAAGTTCGAGGACCACGATGACCGGAGCAGCACCGAGGTCGAGGAGTCGCTCCTCGGCACCGACGACAAGGCGTGCCGCCGCTGCATGGCCAAGGACTACCACGACCAGCCGGCGAGGAGGAAGAACAGGTGCCTGGCGATGCTCAACTCGTCGCGGTGGTTTGTCGATACGATACTTCTGGTTGTGATCTTGGGTCTGCTGGTGAGGGAGCAGATGCAGAAGCCGCCGGTGAATACGTGGGACTTTGGTGGAGATTTGACCGGCGTTAGCGGTCATTGTGAGTTCATCTCTTTCGTCGGGAAGACTGTGAGAGCATGTAAATGTGGAATCTGACATGGCTGACTTGATGAATGTGTAGTCTCACAGCAGATCAAGACGTTCACACCAGATTACGAGGGCAAGTATGCGCCCAACGACACGTCAAAGTTCTTCACCGACGAGACGTTGAACAACTGGAATGAGTTGATGCCTTGTGAGTAACTCAGTCTTCAGAATGATGAGAAGATCGTGATCGCTGACACGAACACAACAGATGGCATGGGCTTCCAGTGGGTGAATGACACGCACAAGTACCACGACCTGCCCACTCCCATCGTCTGGCCCGAGAAGACCGTCTTCACCACCTCCATCACCCATCAGCTGCACTGCTTGGTACGCCATCCAATCTCATCCCACCCTTTACTTGTAAATGGTTACTAACATCCCATCCAGTTCGCTGTCGTCCAGACCTACTCCGGTATCAAGTCCGGTCACGAGATCCCGGACGACCATCACTGGCACATGATTCACTGCTTCTCCTACCTTAGACAAACCATCATGTGCAGCGCCGACATGGCTCTCGAGGGTCTCGAGACGACCTTCCCGGATCACAACGGTGGCTCTGACGGATGGGACTCGAAGCATGGTAAGTCACCACTCATCTGGATTGAGATTAAGCAAAGCAACCAAAAGCTAACAAAAGGCTCTAGTGTGCAAGGATTACAACCAGGTCAAGAACTACTTGGAGAGCGTCAGGGCGTACGACGACAGAGAGATCTTTTAAAAAGCAGAATAATTAGCACCAGCATCATAGGCATTTCATTTCAAAAAACATATAAATTTTTCACTCAAAACTAAATTGAAGCATGCCACAATAAGTTAGGTTTCTAATGTTCCTATTCACCGACTCTCACACGTTGCTAGGTAGCCTCCCCATATCCAACACGATAAAGGCTTCTCCCAAAGACCTCTTTCACAGCTGGCTCTAGATCGGGGAGCTTACTCCAAGGCTGCCGCATAAACCTCGAAACGTGAGATTCTTCCAGGACCTCAGCCGGCGTCATCAGCTCCCACTCGGGCAACTCAGCCTCGGGCAGCGGCACACAGATGCCGCACCCACCGGACCCCCAGCGACAATAACAATCGTTCCCATCCACACGGCCGGGGTCCCCGTACCCTTCCCACACCTCCCGGTCCATCATCCGCCCTGTCCAGACCTGCCGCTCAAACTCGCGATTCGAACGCCAGATCTGCGCCCACTGGACGTCGTCCATGCGGAAGACCTTATTGATCTTGGTCGTAAAGGGCGACATTTCCCAGTGCAGTTCGGTCCAGGCTTTGGCCGGGAGGCGGTCGTCGTCCCACTTCCACTTCCACCAGCCGCCTTGTGACTCCGGGCGTGAGGGCAACCGCCAGCCGACGCATTCGTTTTCGATGAACTCGTACGTCTTGGACACGCAGGCGATGGAGGCGGCGCGGACGGACATCTCGGGGAGTAAGCGGGGGTGCGGTCCCAAGACCGGATTGCCGTCCCTGTCGTACACGATGTTGGGGTTACTGCACCAGGCGCGCATCTCGCCTGACAGAAACGACGGACACCTCGAGGCCCTGACGCGGGCGACGGCCCAGTACGCTGACTTGAGGAAGCGGGCCTTTTTGTACGACTCCATAGCGAGGAACTCCCCCATGAACGACAACGGCAGGCTGCACATGACGGTCAGGAATCGCGACATGGCGTGCATGGGCTGCGCTTCTATCGCAGGCTTCCTCAGCGAGGGGTCGTCTCTCTCACGCCTATTCCGCGGCGCGAAGCGTATGCGTTCGGACCGGTATATCGTGGCGTGCCGCGCGTCGAACTCGGCGCGCGCGAGGGGCGCGGGGAGACACTCGTCCATCTGCCTGCCCAGATCGGCGCGGTCGTCGAGCAGCTGCGCGCGGAGGGTGAAGAAGTCGTCCGAGTGCGGGATCTCCCACGCGGGGAGGAATGGTTCGCGAAGGTCGTAGGGGTTCCATTCCCACTGGAGGCCGACGGCGTCGCCGTTCCAGACGGTCTCTTGGTGTCGCTTCCTACACGCCGCTTCGGCGCGGCGGACTCCGTCCGTCTTGAGGTAGCGTTCGATGGTATCACTAAACGCTCCGAGGAGACCGCTCACGGGGATGGCGTACTCGTTCAGGGTGGCTTTGAAGGCGCAAATGACCTCGACAAACTCGTCCTTGCTGGCCCAGTGCTTGAAGATTTTCTCGGCACGCGCGAGGCGGGCTGCGTAGGTTTCGCCCGCGGGGCCGCGGACCACGCCTTCCACCATCGTATCGTTGCGGGTTTGCCATTCTGCGTCGCGGGGGTAGAAGGGCTGTTGGTAGTACGCTCGCCGGATGAACTCGAGGCGGAAGAAGGCGCGCTGGAGTTTTGCGCGGTTCGTCTTAGTCATTAGGACGCCCTCCGATACGGGTCCTCTTTCTTCATTATGGGCCGTGTGTCGTTCAAAGGCGTAGATCATGTTGTTGGGGTTTTCGGTGCCGTCGTCCCTGCACAAGGCGGAGAATTTGGGCTTGAGGACCGCGACGTCGGGGCCCCATCGTTCGTCGGGGAGTTCGTCTGGGCGGCGATCCTGCCAGCTCTCTTCCCACTCTTCAAAGGAGGCGTAGACCTTGTGCGCCTGCGAGACCCTGTCGAGTAGCTGGTCGATGATCTTAACGAGCTGGCAGAGGCCGGTTAGGTCCCATTGTCCGCGTTTTGTACATGGAGACTTACTCAATTGAGGGCCGGCGCTTGCGAATGCTTCGAGGTAATAGGACATGGCTCGTCTGGCTCTACCAGAGATAGACCCTACAATACTTTCTGGGGGCGGAGGCCAGTCCACCACGGTGCCGTTAGCATAGTCTTCGTCAAAGGCGCTTCTGGCCGTCTTGCCTGGGTGTTTCAGGCGGCGATCGACGCAGCAGATCGCATCGTACCAGGCCTCTGGGGCGATGTGTTTTCGAAGGATCTGTACCATGTTGTCTTTGAAGACCTTGCGGAGTGTGGGGTTCTCTTCGCAGAGGTCCTCGACGTCTTCTATAGACTCTTGCGCTAGTAGCTCTTCAAGTAGGATTTCGACGTTCGTCGTGGCGTCCGATTTGGTGTCGGAGGGGAGAAGTGGAGGGAGTGGCCGCGTAAGTTGTGGCAGAGTGTCCCAGAGGGGGATCTCATGGTTAGAGACGGCATTTCTGAATGGCCCGAATAGGATGTCTGCTGGCCTTTGGAAGAAAGAGTGACGTTGGACGTGAGGCTCACTGGGTGGTTCCTCCACAGGCCAGTCCTCCTCGATGGGAATGTTGTCATTGACAGGCTGGTCCTCCTCGGCGGAATGATGTTCGTCGATGGAGTGTTTCTCACTGGAGGACTGATCTTCACTGCCGGTGTACTCACTAACGGAGTTGCGCTCGTCATGAGAGTGGTCGTCGCTTGAGCTATCCATGATAATTCTTTCACAGTTCCGTGCCTGCTTTTTGATTCTGATAGGCAATTATACAGAGTGAGACACGTTGGATTCGACCTTGACTGAAGATATAGCCAGTAGCCAGACTAGATGCCAACACAAGGCATTGTCGGCACCGGATCTTGTTCTCGTATTGTTTGTTTGTATGTCTTTGTCTACAAAACATTCGGTAGTCAAAGAGAGATTGGTCTGTTGCATTCCCATGCCTCAAAAAGAAGAACGATTGTTTTTGGTGGCATGAGACGTGCAACGCATTGCTGTCAGAACAATCCCTTGTTCAATCAGTATGGAACTTGAATCTTGTCAGAACTCAACCGCTAGCTATGTCTGAGCTCATCGCTCGTGAAGGAAAGACTCTTTCTCACAAAGGCAGTCGAGCATGGTGATGCTCAGTCTTTGTCTTGACTAGGCATGGCCCGAAATTTGCCCAACGAAGGCTCATCTCGCGATGCTCAGGGAAGAGAAGTCACTTGAACTGAACGATGGAAGTCCTTCATCTTGATATCCTTGAACTCATTGACCACAAAGCACGAGACGCGTCGTGGTTAGGAGGAATAATCTCCTTCAATCAAAGTACAAGAGATCTCTATTATTTATTAAGTCAAAGTAGTGTTTCTATAAATCATTCATTCCGCTTCGATGAAGGACAGCGCGTGCTTTGATCCACGTCGCAGCGAGGAGCGGGATGCAATACGTCCACTCCTTACTCCCAAGTAATGTCATCCAACGACACATCAAAAACGTCATCATAGTTGACATCATCCTGGTAAGCAAACAGCTCATCAGAAGGCAGCAGCAAGTCGCCATCGGTGTCAAAGAGCGTGTCCTCGAACTCGACGTCGAGCGGGTCGCTCTCGTAGGCGGCCGAGACATCGTCGCCGTAGTCGGCCCACTCGCCAAGCTCACGGTTGGTAATGCCGAGGAAGAGGAGGTAGCACTCGTCGACCTCGCCGTTGGTGACGGTGTAGGTGAGGTCCGGGGACTTGAGCATCTCGATGCCGGCGTCGACATCTTCGCCGACGAGGTAGATTTTGGCCGTCTGGTCGCCCTTGTAGGTGCAGACGGCGGGGAAGAAAATGTTGTCTTCGGGGTCGATGGCGGCGAGGATGCTGGCGGTGCTGTCGTTATCGTCGTAGTAGAAGGGGGTGAGTGCGCTTGTGTAAGTGTTAGCAAGACTGAGTTCGACGAAATGAGACCCCTGAGTCAAGGGAACTTACACATAGACTGAGGTTCCGGGGAGGTTGGCCTCATCTCCGGCGCGGAGACGGCTGACGCCGATCTTGTCCATGGTGTTGTTGTAGTAGTGCAGCACCTCGCCAGTGGGCGTGGACAGAGCGGCGTCGCCGTATCCGGCCCACAGGGTGTTGCAGGTGACATAGTAGGGGAGGTCGTTCTGGGTCGTGTTCTTCTGGAGGTAGACGTTGCCATCGCTGCAGGCGGCGAGCACGTAGCTGTTGTCACTCTCGAGGGCCAGAGTGCTGAACCAGTATCCGTCAAAGGCCGCCTCATCGAGGTCGTAGGGGATGGCGGCGAGGTCGGTGCCGTTGAAGTCGAGGTACTCAATCTCCTCGACGACATACTTGGTCAGGTCGGCGAGCTGCGTCGAGTTGGTGGTGGAGTTCGTGGGAACGGAGACGTTGTTCGCGTCGCGGCGGTACTCGTATCTGTTGTAGGGAGTGGAAGGCAGGGAACGCTTGTCATCGTGGAGGCCGAGCTTGCCCTTGCTTGTGCCGTCCGTCTTGTTGCTGTTCAGTTGTTAGCATGACACTTGCTTTGGGCGCCTCGAAATTTCTAGATAATGTATTCACTTACCCGATGCAGTACGAGGCAATGATGTAGTCCTTGGTCTCGTGGATGGGCCAGTCCTTGTCAAGGAGTCCAAAACCCTTGAACTTAGCCGTGACATCATTGCGAACACTAAGCGTAGTGCTGATGCCGGAGCAGTTGTTGAGGGGCTTCAGTCCAGCCTCAATACCGTCGGTGCTGTTGTCCCACTTGGCTTGGACAGCAATGGCTGCAGCAGCCTTGATGGACGGCATGGTCTCAATACCAATTGATCCCTTGCACTTAGAGCATCCGTTAAAAGTGGTGACGCCAAAGTCGAGGCCGACAGGGATGCCGAACTGAGCGGCGATCTCAACCTGGCCCTCGGCCTCGAAGCTGGGCTTGAACTGGGGCTTGAAGCCGATGGACTTGGAGCCACCCTTCTTCCAGTCATAGACGAACTTCGCGCGGGCGATGCTGACGTCGGCGCGAGCGACGGCGGTACCGGTCATGTTGAGACTGAACTTGATCTCGGTACCGATGGAGAGCATGGGACCGACGGTGACGAAGCCGAGGGTGAAGGGCGAGAGGGGGATGTCGTACAGGTTGTTGCGGAACTTGTGCTCCTGGTAGTACTGAGCGTAGATGCCGATGCCGAGACCGACAGACAGGTCGATATCGCTCTCGATGTAGCCATCGGTGATACCCTTGATGTTCTCGATGGTGATGTTGCCCTTCGTCTTGAGGGATCCTGAGAGACCGCACTTGACACAGTAGAGGTTGATGAAGTTACCCTTGGTCACGGTAGTCTGCTTCTTGGATCCCTTGGGACGCAGATCCTTGGGAGAAGGAATGGTGCCGAACGACTTGAGCAGGAGAGCATCGTCACCCCAAGGGGTCTTGACGGCTTTGGCCTCGCTGTCCTTGTCCTTGTCCTGCTTCTTGGGCTTACAGGCGTTCTTGAGCTTCTCCTTCTTGTCCTTGTCATTCTCGGCCTCCTTGCACTCCTTGGCAGGCCAGGGGAGGAGGAGCTTGTCAAAGTCCTTTTCGAAGCGGTTGGGCTTGCCCGTCAGGATGTTGCCGCCGACTTCGACGACAGCCTTTCCGACCTCGACGACCTTGACGCCAATCTTGACAACCTTTTCGCCCGTCTTGACGACGTTGTTCTTGGCGGCCTTGGCTCCGGTCTCGATCTTGTTGCCGAGGTTGACGACGCCGCTCTTAATCGCCGGGCCGATCTTCTTGAAGCCGTTACCGATGTCCTGGAAAACGGTACGTCTGGCGAGGGTCGAGTCGGTCAGCTCGCCATCGATGTCAACCTCGGAAAGGGTCTCGTTGAAGCTGAAGACGTCAGACTCGAAGTAGCCAAGCTCTGTGTCGAGATCATCGTCGAAGTAGGGTCCCAAGCACGCCGTTGGGAGACCGTACTTCTCATCCACGGGAGCTACACAAGCAGCCGTCATAGTAGGAGCAACGGAGTAGGCCGGTGTCACGTCGGTCTCAGTTGCAGTGGGCTCGGCGGTGGCTGCAGGGTTACCGTAGTTGACATTCTGGCTGCCATAGTTTCCCCAGATGACATTGATATCTTTTGTGACATCGCCAATATCCTTAGCCTGTCCTGCAGCAGTGGCAGAGAGGGAATTGCGGTCAAAGGTGACGGAGTTGGCCTGGAAGTAGCACCTCTGGCCCAAGTCGTAATCACCGCACTCAGGCGTGTAAGTGACGAAGATGATGTTGTTGGCCTTCCAGTTGGACGCACTGTGGTCGAAAGCATTCTGGTCACCAAAGGTCATGACCAGGCTGCCTTGGCCTGAGAGTTTGACGTCGGTGATGAGACCAGAGTGGTCGAGAACGATGGACGGGGCAGTCCACTTGGGGGTAGCAACAGCATAGATGCCACCTCCGTTCGAGCCGGTGTCTTGCGCGTAGTGGATCGGAGCACCAGCGCCACTAGGCTGAGGAGTAAGGTTGTTGACATCGTGGAGATCGTGGTTATATGGGATGGCAGGCTTCAGGGTCGCAATGGGCCCAAGCTTGGAGGTAGGGAACTCGTACTCCGTGCTGGAGGAAGCGGCTGTTGCGGCGACGACGTCTCCAGAGGCAGATGCCGTCCCGGTGGCCAATGTGAGTGTGCGGGTGGAGTTGGCTGGAGGGTGGAAAGTAACACCGGTGCTGAGGGGCACAGACACAGATGCAGTCTGGGTAAGAGAGTTGCCAGACTGACCCGAGACAAGAGTCTCGTTCCTCTGGTTGAGATATTTGCGCTGGCCTGGGTGTGCGAGGACGCCAGATAGCCCAAGCAGGGGAAGGGCGAAAGACCACTTCATGATGAAACGAGTGTGAGTGATGATTCAGATCAAAAGACTGTAGGGATGAAACTAATCCTGAATGAGGAACGAGTGTGGTCAGCTAGGTATAGCTGGTAATAATTCAAAGAGTGACAGGGACAGAAAGAGAAACAACTCAAGCCATGAAAGAGTGAATGGCAGAGAGGAGATGGATGAAGCACAGGAGTCACATCCGGAAACTGAGGACGACGATCTCTGGATTTTATGGCAATTCGCCTTTCACGAAGAAATCCCATCCTTCAACCTGCCGAAATTTCGAGTCAGACTTTCCTTGGCAGAAGGCCATTGTCTAACACCGCGACAAGTCGACGTTGACGGCCGCATCGGGGGACCATCTCGTTCGGGCCTAAGCGAGGCTTCTAAGTTCCAGGCGAGGCTCAATCGAACGATAAGAAGCACCATCTCATGCAGTAGCCAGGGGGAAGTTCTTCAGTGATTCAGGAAAGGGTATCGTGTTTCGTTGTTGCCGCGAGCACTAGTCTACTTACTTCGTTAGCGGCCGGAACCTAACCAAATAGTCGGTACTGTGGCCCAAAATCGCGTGGGATGTCAAAGGCGCCGGCCGAATAGATCGACGTTTGGTTGGTCGCTCAACGATATGTGGCGGCCAAGCCTCTCAGCCGCACAGCCCCTGAGTAACGATTTTGCGCACGCCACGAACGGTGGCCGCAACAAATAGTTGCAAACATGGTGTTCTTCGTTCTTGAGCCTCTCATTGGGATCAGTGCGGCACGGCAACCGGGGACTTTGAATTGTCCTAGCTTGCGCTGTCAACGAGTGTCAACTCGATCCATCGGGTTGGTAATCGAGTGGAGCGAGGAGTCTAAGCTTTAATGGATTAAGGTAAGAAGCCACGTGGGGTCTCTGAACCTTGGGCGTCGGATTCTCACGGTAGTAAGACGGGGGAGGCATACGCGGCAAGGGAATGTCGGTTGAATAATTCAGGCGCCGAGTGTCCGAGGACTTCGCGAAATTATCTGATGCTGTTGGGCACTATGTCAGGATGTGTTGATTCTACTGATAGACTCGGTCGTTTTGCTCAAGCCAGTGAAGAGACAAGTCGGAAAACATGAAGACTTCAACCGGAAACCTGGGCCTGTCGATATAGCAAGAAACCTCCCTGCATGGATTGTTCGCCTCTCCTGGACACTCGCCTACTTTTCTTATGCTTTCACCGAATCTGTTGCTGGGACCAGAGCGGCCGTGCTGTCCAAGTCGCCCAAACATGGCTTAACTTGGGAACCAAATTATTTTCAAGTAAGGTTAGGGAAGGGAAAGTCTGGCTTGGAACAATTGGGTTGCTCTTAATTCCCTTGTTGATATACCATTCGATCCCCGCAATGTTAATGCTATTTCCAGCTTTCTGCCCTGAAATTGAGTTGCTGCCTGCGTAAAATGGGACCAGGATTGGAATCCTACAACTGCTTGGGCGGCGATCGCTTATGAATCGCACTATGGTAGCAGTCCCCAACTATTGCAGAGCTGGCTCAGTACGTCCGGAAATAAGCTTCTCTTCCGAAGGGGCCCAGGAAAGCAACTAACATACCGACAATATACGGACTCCGGTCTAAAATTACTCACAATACCTGCCATGTACATCTGCCGATCTATGTCCTTCGTTTTGGCCAAGATGTTCTCAATTGAAGGCCCTAAAAGCAAATCTGTCAAATATGAATAGCATCGAAGTGTCTCACACGTATAGACAGTGGCGTCATAGTACAACGTCCACTCCCGTCCCGTAAGCAGTGGCACGGGGTGGTGGCGCTGTGCCGCATACCAAAGTCCCAAAACGCACGCCGACAGGGCTGCATGATACTGGACCTGGCAAGCTGGCAGCAAATTTCGGACTCTGGGACAAGGTGGAGGCCATCTAGGGCAGCAACACAGCGGCTGAGTGGTTGAGCTTCCAAGATCGACAACTACTCCAGAGCCTGCTTCAACTTGCCTAGGTTCTTAACGACTCAACGTAAGCAGGGCCATCAACGCGGCGCGTCTAGCTGCATCTTCCCTGGTATTGACACTACGCGCTCGTCCTGAAATGTCACTTCTGCAGCCAGCCAGCTCCTGCGGCGGTGTTCGAAGCAGCCGAAATGACATCAATCCTCCGGACAGCGAGGCAGGCTGGCGGCCGACCTCAACCCCTGTCACACCCCGTCAGGCTGCACGACTTGATGCAGGCTGACCGGATGTGAGATCTCTGATAAACACCCAATGGCGCCGCAATTGTGGAATTTCAGTTGTTGAACGATCTACTCAGTGCTTCCTGACCATCAGTACGTAATGTCTTGAGTATTGGACTTGACCGAGCCACGATCGCATATGTTGCTCTAGACCGAAATACACCGAAGCCAACGACCATGGACTCGCCAAAAGAGAATAGAGAAGATGCTCCATCGGCATCGACGAGATCCTTTGCCCCACTGCTCGTCGAAGACAGAAAGCCACTCAAGCAGGCCACCCAGTTCAAGTTGAGCAAGTTCCGGCAGCGGCTGTGGGACAGGAGACAATGGAAGAAAGCGTCCCTCACTGCGTGGGAAGATTTTCGCCAGCGACTATGGAATCGCAGGCAATGGATGGAAGCCTTTATCGCTGCATTCAGAGACATTCGAGCTGTTCACTGGTACGCAGTCCTAGCATGGATATTGGCTCTGACATGGATCGGGGGACTCTGCACTGTGCTGGCCTTCATTAGCAATGCTGAGTTGTACGGAGACTCGGCTTGCAAACCGGACGGCAGTTTCGACGTGGAGATGAACCAATATAACCTCTGGTCTTCTTCTGGATTCTTTCAGATCACCCTAGCATGGGGAAGATTCTCCTTTGCGGATGCTAAAGTTATTGATGTCGCTTGGGATGTGGTAAGATGAAGAATAACTTAACCCGCATTATCTCTGTCGTTCATCGACTGACCAGTCGCTCGCAGATCTTCGGTCGAGGGGGACAGGCTCTGTTGACCTGGATCACTTGGAGAGTGTTTGCCGACTATACGACTACCTCGATACAAGTCAAGCCCGTGACGTACGACTTTTTCCGAAACATATTCCTTCAGGACCAGCCCAACTTCTGGTCAACGTGGCACATGATACGAGACTTTGCTCGTTCGCGAGGGCTGCGGTCGAAATTAATGATGATTATCATGGTCTTGATCACCATCTTCATCTTATGCTTCCCCACCCTGGGTAGTGCAATGACGGGATACGTAGCGAACAACGACGCATATGTTCAGGGCTCCGATGGCATGTTAATACCCTTTGATGGATTCGAGGTTGTTGGTTATGTAATTCACGATGGCTGGAGGATCGGTATGGAGGGCAACACCACGCTCACTTTCCCTGGTCGTAAGTGCTCTCTCTCCGGGGACTTTCACGTGAACGCTAGGCCAGCACTGAATCCAGACAAGACTCTAGCTACAAGACCTACAGTAGCGCAAGCTCATGGTCACGCCTTCTCGGTTGCATAGAAGATGATAGGAGCTACTCTGATTACTCTGCTACCTGGTGGGATTTCGACGAATCTACGCCCCAAACCCAGAGATGTTCATTGCATCGAAACGTTTCAGATTGTACGTATAATTGTCCCACGACAATAAACCGAGGTGTCAACAATTCGCAAGACCTTGCAGTATTAACATGTTCACTTTGGTAGATGTCCAAGAGTATGGATTTTACGGGCTGGGAAACACGAACACAACTTGGATGAACAAGACTATGCCTGCTCCGGCCCTCAACATATCAGCTTCTGGGCTTCCTTCATACAGGAATTTGATATACGGCTGGAACTGGACTGACCCTCGCACGGGATTGATGCCCTTCAAAGACGAAAAGAACTTGACATACACGGCTGGGAACGAGACCTATTCCAAGGAGTACATGAAGGCGTACGGAAGTTGCCAACCCATGAGCGATCACGCACTCGGCGCCGATGCCGGGCGAGAGAGCTACCAATGGGGCTTCTCGTATCTGCAACTTTACATCCTCGTTGTCTTGCTCGTGCTGTGGACGTTGAGTCTTGCTTACATGTGGTTAAAGGCGCGATTGACGATGAGGATGCGCCGGCGGTACGACGTGCCGAGGGGCTACAAGGGCGTCTTGGAGCTATCGGACGCTATACGCAAGGAGCTTCAGGAGACCGACCCTGACGAACTCTCTCACGACCAGCTCTCGGAAGAAATCAACAAGACCCTAAAGGGCGGAAGAATCCAGTTGGAGTTGGCAGACTCACCCGCGACATATGGCTTCTGGAGGGCGCTTTGGATGTGGTTCAAGGAGGAAAAGTGGTGGATAGGCCCCGTCTTGTTGATGTTGGGGCCATCGGTGCCGCTCATGCTCATCAATAACTCGTTTGGATGGTGGCTGTTGGTACCGATGAGCTCCCTCCTGCTTGCGTTGATGGTAGGCCGGTCGAAGCAGAGCAGGATGGTCATCGCCCTGGTTAGTTCCATTGTTGGAACAATCGTATTCTTGGGAGTTTGGTATGGGACTGAAAGACACGGATGCAGCATGTACGACTCCTATTATCATTATTGTTGACGAGATACCCCATAGAATGACTCGCAATCTGAGCTATTATTCTGAATCTCAAGCTTGCGCGATGTTGTCGACTATCACAGCCTTCGTAATGTACAAGAGATGATCTAAGGGAGTGACTGCGCCATCATGGCCCCCTTATCATCCCCAGACACAAGAAGGGGGTAGGGTGATCGATCATCAGTGCCCACACATGTCACAGAATAACGACGATCCGCCCACAAACTCCAATCAGAAACTCATTCTGTACATTTGCATAGGTAACCAGGGTCATGTGTTTCATGCCTCAAGAAGTGAATTATCATTACTCATCTATCCTCAAATACGCTAAACAGGAGAAATATGTGGATTAACCCTTGTGCTGTTCGCACGTGTACTCGTTGGTGAGACAGCCTCGCTGAATCCCGACAACTGCTTCTTCAACGTCGCAGGACTCGGCACCCAGTCGCTCAAGCCGGTATCCTTGCGTTTAATAGGAGGTGGATTCGTCGGTGGGATTACGATCTGGGGGTGTGGAGGTTGCTGAAGTTCTTGAGGAGACTGAGAAAGTTGAGAGTGCGGTGACGTGTCCGCGAGCTCGTAACTCTCGCCTGGCTCTTCGAATTGTTGGTAATACGCGGCGCTCTCGCCTTGAATAGAGTTCTGCCGGGGCCACTCCGACTTGTATGCCGGCGCAGGTTCCGCTAGTTCGGCTCGTTGTTGTTGATGTCCTACGGCGTGACCTAGGTCGCCTTCGAGTTCCATATGGCCGTCGGGATTCGCATGATTGACGTTATGGTAGCCGGCGAAATTGGTGGTAGAGGACTTGGAGTCCGGAGCATCGCGCTTCTCCGATCGTGGGATGGAGCGAGATGCGCCTGCGAATTGTCCGTTTTGCTTGGGTTTGCGGTTCTTCAACCAGAACCACATTGCGACAAAGAAGATTAGGGCAGCGCCGATGGCTACTGGGACGCCTACTTTGACACCCAGGGCGGCTTTGTTACCGCCACTGGAGGATGAGGTGCCGTTGCATGAAGATGTGATGTGGTCTGGTAGAGTGCCGTTGGCGACTTGCGGGCTAAGCCAGAATTTGCCTGCGTCATAGTCGACGTGAAGGTAGTTCTGCGACAGGAAGACGCCTCCGAGGATGGGGATGTTGTCACCTAGATCGCTCATACCTGAGGCGACCGAGGTGCTGATCCTGCTGTTGTTGAGCACAGCATATCTACCACGGGCGTCTGTGCCGCGTACATGGCTGACCAGCTCGTAGTGAGGGATGACGCTCGTGTAGCCGTTGGACAGCTTGATGGTTAGGGAGCCGAGGAGGGACTCACGGTCTTTGGGGAAGTCGGATTCGCCAAAGGCCATTCCGTCGGTTGCGGTGTGGTTGCCGAGGCTCTGAAACTTGGCAAACATATTCTGCGTAAGGGTGAAGCTATTCTGCACTGTGTCGATGCAGGCGGCCACCTTGACGCCTGGGTCAAAGAGAGAGTGATCGCCGTCCGTATTGGTGAGGACGATGTCGGACACGAGAACCTGGAGAGGGCACGGGACCGGGGCATTCGCTCCCCACATGCTGAATTCGGCGACCTGGGACTCGTTATATCGCGCTTCGTTGTAGCCGCCGATGACGAGCTGGCCGTCGCGAGGGTGAAGCTCGGATGTTGAGCCGTAATCCAGACTGAAGCTAGTCGTGGGCGCCAAGTCGTTCCTCACGAAGCTATCGAGGGTAGACGAGTTTGGACCAAATGCAATGGCGCTTTTGTTCATGGAGTCATAGTCGGCCCATACCTCGAAGGGATATCCGTAGGCTACGGCTGGAGCATCGGTAAAGTTTGCGACATCGTATCCATGGAGTACAGTCGTTTCACCATCTTCTGGCTGAGCGTCGATTGTTCTAGTAAGGGGGTCAGTTATGTGTTTGAAGACGGCTCGGTCAGGCATAGACCATACGTTACGTTCCAGTCCTTGATGTTGACGACTTGGCTGAATGTGCCTCCAGTGGTGTCGTATACACTGCCCGAGGCTCCTTGACAGCCGACGAATGCGTATGTTGAGTTGTCTGGGCAGTCCAGACTATTCCTTACTCGCGTGTTGTTTAAGATGGTGGACATGCGCATGCCTTGAACCTGGCCACCAAGCGTGAGCTTGAGGCCTCGATTGGCACCGATGCCATTGGGAAAGGTAACGTTCTGGAGAGAAAGGATGTAAGTCAATAGGAGCTACAGTCGCACACGGCAACACACACACACAGACACTCGAAACACACATAGACACACACCCAAAGAAAGTAAGACGTGATGAAAAGTGACTGAATGACTCGTGAAGTTGTTCCTTACTTTTATGGGTAATACTAATGGGTCAATAGAACTTGAACAAGAATCGTCCGCGAGCGCGGAGTAAGAAAGGACGCTGGCCAGCAGGAGCGCCGCCCAAGGCGACGAGGTCAACATCACGAAAGTTCGCGATATAGGATGCTGCTAAATCGAAGCATGACGGGCAGATGAGCGAGCTCGATCCAGGAAGGGGTTCAACGATGGACCTCATTGTGGTTTTGACGGGCAGGACGAGCCCCCTTTTGAAAGCTCTTGTCTGCCCACCTGCCATCACCCCGGGCACGTTGCAATATCGAGATAGTTGACACCCTGGAGTCGTGCCAGGTTACCTAGCCGGAAGTGGAAGACGAAACCCACCCGTGAAGTCCCTGGTTATTAGAAGGGGCTCATGATAGTCCACTTTTGCCAACTCTATCCCCGCTTCAGCCCGCCTTGGGGCGGTTGCGAGATGCTTCGGAATGGACTCCGTAGACAATATGCTGATGTCTTGGACTTACACCAGTCTTCCACTCCAGTGCTTTGCGAACATGTTTGCCCAAGTAAAGTCTAAATAAATCAGAAGCCATGAGCACGTACCGCAACTCAAGATCTTATCTCGACCAAGAAAAAGTTCAGACGACTGAAACGTAGTTGCGTGGCCGATTCTCGCTGTTGAAGGGGTACACTAGTCATGAACCATGTTCGAAGCCTCCACGACGCCTGCACTCTGAATTTCTTGGCGCACGAGCCCCATGGTAAGATTAGGGTCGTATTTTCGAGCGTTCGGAACAAGCCACGAAGCGTGCCTGGCGTGCCTGGCAAGGCGTGGGAGCCGTGGTGGTGGTGGTGGTCTCCCCAGCAATAGCTCATTCCCGCGATCCGGCGCCTCCAGCGAATCGCTCTGCCCGAACCGCAGACCTGGACAACCCTGACAAGATCTGCGCCAGCTGCCCTCGCAAATGCCGCGCGATCAGCGTGGCTGCCAGCAGGAAAGATAGATGAATAGCGTCTCACTTATGTTGAGTCCGGCTGGTTCAACCCCGGGAAGTGAATGTTCATAGGGCTACAACTCTCCGTGACGAGACTCTGTTTGTTTATGGATTCATGTTCGGTAGGAGAATTCCAAGACGCGTATCGTATAAGCGACACCTGCACAGATGGAGAAAGAGAAAGAGGAGAGACGACCCATCAACTGAGAGAGATACAGGGATATGCTTTGCCTCGCATTCGGGATCCCCTTGCCTCATGGCATGTGGGAGGTTGTTGTTCCGCATTCCGTGCTCCGGAACAGACCTCGTCCTGATCCTCGCGCCCGTCAGTGTCAATTGTCGAGGAGAGATATCCACCGGACCAAATGACTGGAAGAGGGAAGTCGAACAATTTGGACTTTATTAGGCGCGAGTTGTCAATTTGCCACTGCCAACTTTGGACGACAAGCGCCTGGACCGTTGTGCTAGCAAGGATCTATGGTGGCTCTTCCCCCCAGCCCCCGGATCGTTCCATGGAGGTGAAGACAATACTAGTGTAGCAGCGAATAACCATGACGAGATTACGTTTGCAATGAGAAGACATCATCAATCGCATTGTCCGAGCGTTGGCAGTTGAGCACGTGGTCATGGCTTGAGCCTTGAGGAGTTATGCTGCCAAACATATCGCTGAATTCATCGGGCAAAACGAATCAGAGACTGCTTTCAAGGAACGAGATCGAAGCATATCTGCACCAGCCTTGCCGGCCCACCTTTCCACAACGTTCAGAGGCAAACCGACTTTCTCGGACTAAGGATTTGGCTGACCGCAAGACAACAACATAAGTAAACATTAATCTTCGGACTTCTTGTACAAGAATACGAGACTGTTGATTTTCGGTCTCTTCACGACAGACCCATACGCCCATCCAGTAATTTGGTACGTAACAAGCTTGGTCCATAGTCTATCCCGTCTGTGTGGAAACGCTGGGGAAGGATATGGAGCAAAGATGCGCGTGGTCGGTCTCGGGGCCCATTGTCTGTCAGTTTGGTAGCGAGATCATTTCGAGTTTCCATCTTTTCGGCTTCAAGTTGCGGGCCATCTCAAGAATCTGTCTCGTAATGAATAGCTTGGGTATGATTTTGCCCCGTCAATTCGTTCCTGGCCAGTGCTGTCTCGGGGGCACTCCTTTGGGGCTTGTAGAGTGCAACCAACCCGTCGACGGAGCTCCGCATGCGACTGAGTTTGACCCCGCGCTGGGGGTTGCATAAGACTTTTTCAGCATTAATCAAGTTGGGGAATAACCAACTTTAAGTCGGCTTTCACAATCATATCTCAATGCCTCGAAATATGCTGCAAAAGTGGAAAAGAACGACTTCTCACTACCAACATAGGCCCCAAAATTTGCCCGCATGCCAACCATTGGCCTCCGATTAACGGAGGTCGCTCCGGCTCAATGGTCTAGTGGTATGATTCGCCCTTCGGGTTCTGTGTCAACCCTTGCGCACAGCGTGAATGGGCGAGGTCTCGGGTTCGAATCCCGATTGAGCCCTTGCTATTCCTTTTGATGTTTTTGCACTATGGTCAAACAAATTATTTGATGGACGGTTGAAATAGAGGAATTGAGTTCTGTATGTCGTTGGAGTCGCCAGGCTCATTTCTCCGCATGCAATTGGATAGGTATATCTTACCCAATCAGCTGTTGGGACGAATGTGGTGGCTTGAAGCTTCGAGCCCCTCCTCAACCATACGGGTTTTCAGACATTCCGCTTGGTCTTCATCTTCCGATACTACCATGGCAGCAGGCAGTATATTGCCGTCATCGAGTCCAGCAGTATTGTGTAGTGAGTGCTCGGGTATCGTTTTCGATGACGTTGAAGGAGATGCTCCTGATGCTATGCACTGGGAGAGAAAGGACACCTACCCAGATCTCCCACTATTTCGCAAGTCGGCTGCAGCGGGTTGTACTTTCTGCGAGTATCTTTGCTTTGTACTCGAAGAGAAGCTCCCGAAGCCTCTTCAAATAGCGTTGCAAAAGTCTACGGCGGCAGATGTGGTAGTCAAGCTCTCCTCGCCCGCTTACGTGATGCGGTCCGACATCATCGACGTCACACGCGATTGGATGCCCGACGATTATGGAATTGAACAAGACGGGATATACTGGCTTGATTTCCGATTCGAGTCTGAGGCTTGGCGCAAAGGACCATGGTCCGATGGGTGGAAAGCGCGGGCTATTGCGTATCAAGGAGATGATGGTGTGTGTCCCTTAGCCGTCTCAACGACTTCTTGCAAGGCCAAAAGGCCAGGGGGCATCTGCTAACATCATGAAAACTAACAGAAGATGTTGCAAATGCCCTCGGTATTGGATTGAAGCTCCCCATTGCAAATGCTCTCGATTTGTCTTGTATCAAACGTTTCAAGGAGTGGGTTTGGGGCTGCGCGAGCAATCACCCGGAATGTTGCTCTCCAGGGCCAAGAAGTCTCCCGACTCGGCTGATAAAAGTGGGAGATGTAGTCGACGGAATAGCTCGCTTGGTCATGAGTGGCAACCTTCCTTCAACAACGTCGTACATTGCTCTGAGCTACTGCTGGGGCCCTCCATCCGTCGGTAAGCCACAACTTATCACCACAGCGGCCACTCTGGCAGACCGCCAGACGAAGATTCCACTTGCAGAGATGCCAGATACAATCAGAGATGCGGTCGTGTTTGCGCGCTATATGGGGATCGAGTACATCTGGATCGATGCGCTTTGCATTATCCAAGACGACGCCGAAGACTGGGCCACAGAGGCCGCGCTCATGTTTGCCGTATATCGGTATGCTACCCTCACACTTGTAGCAGCCGCAGGCGACACTTCTCACTCGGGATTCCTTCAAAGAACTAGTGCTGGACCGTCGGTTCTGGTTCCGTTCGAGTCTAAAAAGGGAGAAAGTAAGGTCTCCGGCACGTACGTCCTGTCAGGTCTCAACGAACACCGGACCTGGGATGCCGATTATCCAAGCCATATGCATACCCGAGCATGGGCTACGCGGGCTTGGACATATCAAGAAGATCTCATGTCTACTCGAGTGCTGTACTTTGACAACCATACGTCCTACTTTCGTTGTCAGTCGCAACGACGTCTCGAACATAGCAGCAAGGTTTACGACAACGTCCAAAGCTGGAATCATCTGCTCTCACCAGTACCGAAGGACATATCACCTGATGAGTTAAAAGAGAGAAGGGAAAGCCTCTATGAGAGATGGAAAGATCTCATCATCGAATACACTAGACGCAAGCTCACGGTTTCCAATGACAAGTTTTTGGCTTTGTCTGGTTTAGCCCGCACGTTTAGCTCGGCGCTCGCAGATCAATATGTAGCTGGACTTTGGAGAGATGATCTGGTACGGGGAATGCTTTGGAACACTGTCATGCAGCCTTCAAATCCGAAAGAGTGGAGGGCGCCATCCTGGAGCTGGGCATCTAGTGACGCCGAAATCGCATGGGATTTTAGATTCTCACTGCCGCTCATTCAGAAGTGCAGTATTGAGAATATCCACATCGAGGCCGCGGGCTCAGATCCATTTGGAAGACTGGAGAGCGCTTGGATCGAGCTCTGCGCTGCCTGTGTTCCGGTGGTTCTGAGATCAGTACAACAGGCCGAGAGTGATCAGGACACATATCTTGCGGAGGTCCTCTTTCACGAAGGCGGGAAGATCATGGCCCACGGATCTTTGGATTCTGTAGCACCCTCGGGGTTAAGGAACGACGGCACTTTCAAGCTGGCTGATTTTGGACAGGCTGCTGATATTACCGACGTATCTGCGGTCGTTCTCGCTTCGCGCTGCATCATCTTTGGTTTTGATGGGAGGTCAGGCGAGCGAAAGTTTTCATCACCATCATTCCCAACTGGGCTTTTGGTGAAGAGCGCTCCAGAACAAGGAGAGAGCGTTGAATCACTTCCGATCTACAAACGACTTGGGACCTTCAGAACAGAGACAAAGGAACAAGCCGAAGCGTGGCTGGCGCCAACTCAGTCTCGCCTAAGACTGATATGAGTCCTCGAAGGGATTTTACAACGAGATTTTAGCCATTGCATTTTCTTCTGAGTAATAAGATCTCACAGAAGAGAAAGCTACTTAGTATTGACATTAGCTATCGATGTTGATCCCCAGCGATAGGAGAAATAAGTTGGTATATATGAAACGTAGGTCGGCTGGGTATTCAAGTGTGATTGTCTTCCATTCAATGGGAACGAAATCGAGAAAACTGGATCGACTTTTCTCATCTTGAACAGGCATCTCAAAATAGGGGGGCATATTCAGTACTCGTAAACATCTTAGCCTCCTTTGATGACCTTTACCAGGGGCTCAAACCAGCTGTCTGCTAGCTTTTCGTCGCCCTTGCCGTTGGGATGTACACCATCTCGCGTCATTCCCTTCACATCAAAATCTTGGTGGCAGTCAACCACAGTAATACGGCTCTTGTCATTTGATTTCTTGCTCGCCCAATCTGGTATGGCTTTGTTGAAATCCTCGACGCCTCGCATACAAGTTGGACAGCCAGCTGGGCCCAAGGGTATCACCTGAGCCAACTGAAGGGAATATTCAGATATCAGAGTGATGTCTTGTGGTGAAGTTGCATTGAAAAGCTCGTAAGGGATTACGCACCATTATATTTATGCCTTCTTTGCTAGCCCGCATTTGGTCAACCAACTTGTCAAGAGCACCGAGGATCTCTTCGGGCTTCTTAGTACTCCATACGTCGTTTGAGCCGAGGTGCATCATAACGATATCAGGCTTCGTATCCCCAAGCCAACGCTCGAGTCTACTGTCCCGAGCAAGGTCTGTCGCGAGAAGGCCACCGTGGCCCTCGTTATCTCCGTCGTAGTCAAAACCACATCCCTGCGGTGGCAAAGTTCCGACAAAATTGATATTCTTGATATTGTTATCCTGAAGCTTTTTCCACAGTAGAGCTCGCCAGCAACCCTAAGTCATTGTGATTCGTCAACATCTTACTTTTCAAAGAAACACACAGGCGGGGCTAGGGCAATATAGAGCCAGAGAGCAGAAAACTTACTGGGCTGCCGGTGATCGAGTCTCCAAGAGGCATGATCTTAACCTTGTCTTCAGCTGAGGCGGACCATATTGAGTAGAAACAGACTAGAATCAAAACAGATCGGCCGAGAAATATCATGACTCGATGAATGGTAGTCAGTGAGGCAACTCACGGGTCGAGAATAGTTACTGATGATATTTGTTTCCTAAAGTCAACGCTGAGTTTAGAGCGCTCGCAGCCCCCTACTTATCCTTCATAGCAGTACAATCAACTGCATTTTCGATTAAATCCTACAGGATTCATGTTCAAACGCAGTGTGTTAATACAATGCAAGTATTTCACGTGGTCCTTTGTCAAAGGCGTGATCCCTATTAAGGATTCATCAAGCTTCCAGCGTTGAAACCCCTCCATGGCGTACCTATGGGTGCTGGTGCCATGCTGTGACCCCGGCTATTCCTCTTCAGGACTTAATGTCGTCGGAAAGATGGCTCCCGGCCCCCATTGAATCAGGTATTTGAGCCTCATCATCGATATTTCGGATGATTCGGGCGATCCACGCTGATCTTGGGAATGAAACAGGATCCATGAGGATCTGGTCAGGTGTGATTGACTGTAATTGAATGCCCTTCCCTGTAGTCGCAAACTCTAGCTATCTAGCGCGCGTCAAATTTTCACCCGTTGATTGCCTTCACATGGTCGACAACCAGGCACTGATAATCGCTGCTGCCCTTGTAGATCGTGAACCCATCGTTGTGAGTCTGCCCTGAGCTCAGCTGATCTCCCCACTGCCAGAACAGATCGGCGCCTAGTCCCGGCGCCGTCCGTGAGACCTGCTGCCAGGGACCCTCGATGCCGCAATGGTCACTCAGAGAACCGTCTTCTTAGGTGTGAGCTTACTAGTATTAAGTTTAAACATCAGACACGAAAAAACAAACTCACATTCTTCAAAGAGGCAGGGTTTGCCGGCCTTGGCGCAAGCCTCGCCGTGTGATTTGATCCAGCCTGGAGACCAGGTTTTCAGATCAACGCTCCCTATTTTCCCGTGTTAATTGATTATCTCCGGTCACGGTCATTGGTACGAGACTGGTATGAGAAAGCTTGTCTCTTTTAGGTGACTTACAGTGATCGGGGTACATGTGGAAAGTGCCAAAGTCGAGCGTCTTGATGCCGAGGTTCTTGACAAAATCTGTGCCTTCGCCGTACTGGTAGGGGTAGCTTCCGTCGCCGGGAAGTCCCATGCCCTCGTCGCCGAGAGTGACCATGTGGTTCGCATCTAACGACTTCACGAATTGGGAAGTCGCTTGCGCCCACTGGAAGATCACATCGGTGCTGCAACCCTTACAGCGGGGTTCGTTGGCCAGTTCCCAAGCAAGGATGGCGGGAGAGTTCTTGTAACGGCTGATAACGGCCTGAATGTACGCCTTGTACTGAGTTTGGGCCTGGGTGTTGGTGTACCAAGTCTCCTTGGAGCCGCCAAAAGCTTTCACATAGGCGTTCATGCCGCCGTAGTCATCCCAGTGATTCACAAAAGGGATGATGAGCTTGACGCCCTTCTTCTCCGCGGCAGAGACGACTGCATCGAGTCGCTGAAGTCCATTGGCGCCAGTGTTGATTTGTGATCCAGAGGCTGAGAGGTGCTGGTACCAGACCTGGTTTCCGCTGGGGACAGCGTTCACGTCGTTGAAGCCCCATACGCGAAAGATCTTGAGTCCGGCTTTCGCGACATTGTCCATGACGAGATCGACGTGGGCATTATTCGTCAGGAACGAGATCCAGTATGAGTTGCTGCCGGCAAAGTACTTTGTCTGGCCGTCAATGGTGAACTTTGTTCCACTTGCCGAAGGGAAAGTCGAAGCCTGTCTAGGCTCTGGAACAGCCAGAGCTTGGATGCTGACCAAATTGGCCAAGATCGACACAAGGGCAAGCTTCATGATGGGCCGTTGATCTCTTGATACGGCTGGATGAGAAGATGAGATGAAGGGTTGATCAGATAATCAATTCCCCAAGGAGTCTTTATACTCTTGTTAAGAATGAGTTGAATATTATGTTGCCACAAGAGCGTCGGCTTTCCACGTTAGAAAACAACATGGACCAAAGCCAATGAGAACCCAACGGCACTTCAGTTAGACTGGCCAAGACTACTCAAGTTGACGACCAATACGAACACCTCGCACCTATTCCGGAGGCGATCGGCTCGTCGCCTGAGCGAGTTCTCCGTATCCAAAAAGCGCCGAGGCGGTGTAATACCGATTGGGGTGCGGAAGGAGGACTCCCTCTGCACCCTTTCGGAAATGATGTGGGGCCCAAGGCGTGAAATCCCCGGCCGCCTCGTCTCGAAGAAAGTGCCGAGAGACTAGCGGCAGCTCCGGGGCTTTCCCATGGATCCTCGGCCGATCGGAACCGGGCTCTAGGTAACATTGCAGTTACACCAGTCATACGGGTGAGATGAAGGATATTGCCAAGTCGAATGGCAAATCATCCTCAGACACTTGCAGTCAACAGTCTCACTTGACACCTGATAGGGATGCAAGTAAGATGCACTCGGCAGGACATGGGGCACGTGCGAGGCAAACATTTAGTCCTCATACATATATCTATGTTGAGACAAGGTCAAGTGTTTAAAAGCCGTTGCAATGGCAATTCAGATCAACGAAGCAGACGCAATGGGAAAGGCTATTCGATCCATCCTGCAGGAACCAGGTTTCCAAAGTGGAAGGCAAAGAATTTGGATGCGCAGACCGAGATGAGTTTCTTCATGTTCATGGGGCCATCTGACTTCCAGCTGCGTAATTCCTATTCTGCAGCCAAAGGTGTTAAGAGAAGGTTCACGCCAGCCTCGTTGGCCACATAGGCTCTAGTGCAAAGTATAAAAGAGACCTCGGGTATTTGGAAATTGTAATGTACTTAGACGAATGATAGTGGTCTCTAAGGCACCGGCACATTGTGAATAGTTAACTTGTAGAACCGATACAGGGCCACACTACGAGCACTCTGATGAGATTGAACAACCAACTCGATTGTCATTAAGCCCCTGAGATGCTCATGCTTGATTCGAACTCAGTAACACAGAAAGTTGAAAACCAGTTTCGAATCGGCCACATCGGAAATCCCTCGCGAAGAAAGGAAAGCTCCGCGAGCCTTCGGTCCCTATGCATTACCGTTAGATACCCGCACCTTATTCAACATAAAGGTGCATTGGCAACCTCACTTGTGGAAGCCGTGGAAGTCAAATCTTTAGCTTCAGTGAGCCAGAAGCGGCACTTTAATAGGTTGCGCCTGCACTGAACTAATGCATTGAGGAACCTAGTGAACAGGTGTGTTGCGAGCTCACGATGTTGCTGGTATGTGCAGTGACCGATGGTGAGCAGATGGAACTTACTATCTCGGCCATCGAGGAGATTACTGAACCAAGTTACTCTGTCTCTCTCTCTCTCTGGATAAGGCGCTAGGTGTTTTGACCTGGGCGTTTGCAACCCTCGAAATTCTATTCTCAAACCCGGGGTTGCCACCATTATCCTTCACTTAAGCGATGGGGATTTGGTACGCAGACATATAGACTTGCCGTCAGCCATCAGGCGATTGCTTGTTTACATAAGCTTCAACTCCGAATAATTTACAAGAAATGTCTGTCGATAGTGCTGAGCAAGTGCACATGGCTAAGGACTTGATGTGTTCGAGCTCACGAAGGGATTGGTGTCGTCATTGTTCTAGTGGTTTCGGGATTCATTAGCCAAGTTTGATAAAGCTGTTGATCCATATGCTAGGCTAGTCAGTGGGCAGAGAAAGCAGATGGGTGAAACGAAACAATCTACCTACATATCTTTCGAGGAGGAAAAAGAAAAGACGTTGGCCGGCGAATAGAGTCTGAACAGCCTCCAGTCTGGGTCGTCTCACCTGACTGGCAGGACTTCCGAGAGATGGCCCAGGCTTTTGTTGAGTTTTGGTGCCTTGCAGATGATTTGAAATCTTCCAGAGTCAGACAGCTAGAAGTCATACCAATGTCAACGACAGAGTCTAGCGCCACACGATACACTTTACGCCAGTGAAGCTTTGATTGCCGGCCGTTCTGTACAGTTGGCCGCCTGCCTGCTCCATCGAGTCGGCTCCGGACTAGCGGGACGAAAGTCCAGACGATGCGATGCTGGGGCCAGCATTGCCGAGAATTTGGCCGGCGTAGTACGCGGCCGGAGCTTCGTAGGTTGCCGAAAGTCATGCGCTGCGGGTTCCAAGGAACTGGAAGTAGACGAGTTGCTTGGCTTTTCGGACATCGGCACAGGAGGGGATTCATAGATGTTCGTGGATCCTTTCCCACGTGAATGAGAGTTCATGGGCGCGCGATCTTCAACTGGAAGCGAGCTCTCGCTTCCCATCTCTCTCAAGCAAACCTAAAAGTAAGTGAGAAGAGACTCAAGCTTCGAGGGGTAACGGTCCAGAGGCTCTTGGCATCTCATTAATGGTTGCGGCCGTTACGACGACTTGTTCGGCTTCGTGAACCGATTGGTTTCTTGATACCCCGCAGCGGGAGATGTACGTGGCCCGCGAAGATCAGGCCCGCGCTCTGTTACCATTTCAAGCTAGCCGTGCTCAACGTTGAGTCTAAAGTTGCCCTACCCCGCGGCGGTCGACTCGAATTCAGACACAGTCGACAGGGTCCCTGAATCAGGGACTATTCCGCCCCGTCTCCTGGAGCTCCGCGGAAGGAATAAACGCTGTCACTGTTGAACGACATGCGGACGGACTTTGTCGCTCTCGGGTCCGCTTCTAGGCATCTACTGCGTCGCCCTACTTTTTGTGTATGGAGACGAAGCTTTTCCGTCCCAAGTCTTTTGGAACACGCGTTGAAGGCATGGTACTCACCCTCACAGCTCGTTCCTACCTACTGGACCGCAGCTAAGCTTGAGTGCCGTGAGTGCTGCGCCCGCAAGATCGAATTGGGCTTCCGAAATTGTGAGAGACAGCCTCGTTTTCCTCACACCCTTGAGGCCATTATCAGGTCACTACTGACAACGGATCAAGATCAAGGCTAAGATATCGGCCGTCTCAGACCACTAACTTAACCTTAACAGAGAATTTTAGACTTATTCACTAGTACGACAAACAAAACATGTAGTCTCAAGGATTAAACAAAATAATTGGTAGTAATGAGAGACCTATTAAAGACAACAAAACCTCCCGCCCTGAAGTCCACAAGAGATGTTGCAAGACAGGTTGCAGACTTCACAGTTTACAAGCCTAGCTTCCCCTTAGCAGATCAGCCTTCTGTGTTCATCATCAGTCTCTGTTACCTACCCGCTCACATCATGCCTTCTGTCAAAGCTTTGTTTGTTTCCCTCCTCGTTTCGAGCACTCTTGCGGCTCCGCTCAGCACCCGTTTCGAGAACAAAGAAAATGCCGCAAGTGTCTTTGATGAGAACCCTCGGACTTCTCTAGAGACTCGCGACATTAAAGCCAGTGAGGACTCCGCTGATATCGAGGCACGCGATGAGGACGAGTATGAGTATGTTGAGGCCACCACTGTTGCCGTCATCTCTGCTCGAGGTCTGGAGGACATTGAGGAGTCCGGTGACCTCGAGGCACGGGATTTGAGGGAAGTCAGCGAGGTCTACTCCACCTTCCAGTCTCGTGACTTGGAGGCGGATGATGACCAGCATGGCATCCTCGAGTCTCGTGACAACAAGAAATCTTCAAGCCGCACCTCCTCATCCCGGACTTCTTCGTCGCGGGGCAACAACAATAACAACAGGGTCGACAAGGGCAGAGTCCAGAAGGAGAAGAACGAAGTTAAGGACATCCAGTCAGACCAGAGAAAGCAACATGCCAGCGCTAAGGCGAAGGAAGACAAGGAGCGCGCGGAAATTCAGGAGGCCCGCGAGAGACAGAAGGGCGCTACGAATAACCGAGACAAGGAGGCTGCTAGGCGAAAGAAGAACGAAGAGCAAGCATCCCTCGACAGAGTGAAGAATCAGAATCAGCGAGACAAGGCCCGCCTCCAAGCACAGAAGGAGAAAGAGAAGCAGGAGCTGGCGGACGCCAAGAGGGGCGGACGCGGTGGCCGATTCGTTGAGACGCCTGAGACGTCAACAAATTTCAACTCTAAATCCTATGGTGGCAAGTCGGGAACGTACAACGACTACAAGAACCCCAACTATCAGAATAAGGACAGCAACTACTACTCGAACCAGCGTAATAAGGATGATGAGAGAATTCGTCAACTGGAGAAAGATCGTGCGCGCGAGGACTCCCGCATCAACAAGGCCGAGTACAACAAGAACAAGAGCGGCGACAAGATTAAGAATGGAGAGTACAGCAAGGACAAGGAGGATGAGCGCATTCGCAAAGCAGAATATGAGAAGCAACGCAGCGGCGAGCGTATCCAGGATGCGGAGCGAGCCAAGGACAGGTACGGCAACAATGGAAACAAAAAGAACAACTACGACCAAGAGATCCGTGCCGAAGAAGCCAGACGCCAGCGTGCGGACCAACAGATCCGCGAGTCTCAGTACGACAAGAACAAGCAGGACCAACTGATCAGAGCCGAGGAGGACCGTCGCACTAGGTACGACGAGCAGATCCGAAAAGCCCAGAACGACAAGGACAAGTACGGCGACCGCATTCAAGATTACGAGCAGCAACGCAGGGAAGATGAGAGACGCCGCAATGGCGGGTACTAAGCTTCCTGATGCCTGGAACTACGCGTGGCCTTTGGGCCACAGACTGACTGTATGCGAAATATGATGGATGACGGCCGGAAGGGTGGTGTCTGGCGTTACGAGGCGGGGCTACTTGTCATTAATTACTAAATCTTACTATCCTTACGACTTCAAGGCAATGACATGGAGTTAATGAATGGTACTCTTCCCGTGACTTAAGGACTGTATGTTTTCAAACGACGATAAAGCGGTGCAGCTGTAGGTCACTGCCAGCGTTGACTTTTCTCTGTAGACATCAGCTGGAGATGGACGACGTCGTAAGAAATAACTGAGACCAGTAGAGTGGTGTTCATGAGAACAGAGAATAATGCTAATCAGGACGACGGTTGAATGCTGGTAATTGCTTTTTGACAAGCGATGGATTCATTCGGTATGCCTTGGATGGCTGTGTGGGATAGATACTTCGGGGAAGAGACATTTGCTAGCTAGAAGTGGACTTGTTGAAAAATGATTGAATCAAAAGGAGGCAGAATGGGTCTCGGGGAAGGTTTTTAGGCTGAGCGGGCATGTAATGAGGCATGCATTGAGTCGCCGTGTTGGAAATTCAAAGCCCGACCGACATGGCTCATGACCGATTGAAACTTTTTTCGCCTCCTATTCAATAAGGGCACCATGCCGACTCGCTGTTGTTTGTTAGAACTCTGGAAGCTCATTACCATGCCTGCATCTTGACAACAGTCATAAGCTGCTGGTTTATGATTTCTTGAACTTTGCAAGTGCTTGATTTAAGACTCCGACTACACTCCGTCGTTATCAGACTTGATTTGAAATGTCTGCCGAAACTACATGTAAAGTCGACATCGAGTCGATCAGGCCACCCACGAGCCCTCAAGAACGCCTCGCTAACTCGGTATGGTCACTTTGTTGTTTCTTCTTGTCAAATTCGAGCTGCACCCTCCAACAGTCCTCAAACATCTAGCTAACAATGTCGTCCTACAGAGTCCCTTTGGCTACGGTTCATTTGCGACTACATTGATGACTCTATCACTGGCCAATCTGGGTATTCGAAACATTGAAAATCAAGCTGTATTCATCGCCAACCTCTGCTTCCTCGCTGGTCTGGGCTTGCTCATCTCAGCTCAGTGGGAAATGGTCAGGGGTAACACGTTTGCCTATACGACACTCATTTCTTTTGGTAAGCTTGTCACTCCATTGTTCTAATTTTATGGCTGCAGAAAGGACTGATACTCCTAGCATTTTACTATGGTGGTTATGGCTTTCTGTTGATACCTTCGGTTGGAATTGTCGACAGCTATGGCGGAAAGACGGAGCAATATTATAACGCCTTTGGGCTCTATCTCGCCGGTGTGTGAAGAATCTCCTCAATAATCTTGGGTTTACAGACATTGCAGCTTGTGACTAACTCCAAGTGCTTTAACAAGTCTGGTCGCTTTTCAACCTTTTGTTCTTCATTGCCGCTTTTGCGACGTAAGTGCTTACATATCTATTCTCGCGGGCCCGGCTGACCAGTGACAACGTGTAACAACAGGAACGTCGCAAACATCATCGTCTACGGAGGACTTGAAATTTCTTACATCTTGAATTGTTCAGCAAACTTGTCATTCGCAAGAGGACATGCCTCGGCCGGTGGGACTTTGACCAAGATCGCCGGTGGGTTTGGGCTTATTGCTGCATTGGCTGGTTTCTATGTGATGGCCGCTGAGTTTTGCCATGACGTATTGCCGTTTTCTGTACCCCTGGGCGACATGTCACGAGCATTTGGTAGGAAGAAGAATGATCGGTATCGGAAATGATCTGCATATATTGTATGCAGAGTGCTGTTAAAAGTCTGGTCTGTATTAGCACCATAATAACCAACCACTAACCCTTCCCACTGTGATAGTCGTGTCCCGTCTGGGTTTGTTATTGATATCAGGAGAAGGAGAAGAACGTAGGCAAGCAAATTGTCATTCAGAGCGCTTCTGCTGCCTCTCAAAAAAGGGCTCAAAGCAACTTGACCATGTGAACCCACGGAAGACAAGGAGACCGTTACACATAGCCGAGTGGGTCAAACGCCGTCTGCTGGTGCTGCGAGGGCGAAGTTTTAGACTTCCAAGTGGCCTGACTTCGAAGAAACCCATGGTTCGAGGACGATCGAACATAATACAACTGCTAGAATTATTCACCGGGATTGCTATTACGTGCCTTTGACTAGTTTAGAACTTTATAAAATGTGAAGTTCAGTTCTTGGTTCGGTATTGGCCGGACATCCGGCGACGGGTATCCACTTTTCCGGGTTCTACTAGATTTGAGCCGGGATTTAGCATTTCACGGGGATCTTTCGGATGATTCAGCATGCAATTTTGCCAGGGGAGGACTGACAACATCGTACGACCTGCAGACTCTAGATTTAGCGCGGTCAGCATTGATTAGAACTATGTACTTGCTACTCAGGTAGTGTCGTCATGACAATGACCACACATATGCATGTGTTCTTCAGGTAGACCGAGTACCTCAGGTACTTAAGTAAGCAGGTGGCCACTGGAATTCCATACTAGACTCGCACGTGGGAATCATTGCTCAGGGTAAGAGCTTTTACTTGGTACTGTAGTCTATATTGAGCTTCTGATCCTTCCGAATTCAAATCAATACGCGTCCACGGGTCTAGGAGCTTTTCGAAAAGCTGGCTGGAGTAGGCGTTTCCACCACCTGGCCATTGTGGATCAGCATATTACCGTCATCATAGTCCGAAACTATGTCGTCAATGTACTCATAATCAAGGCCTCGCAACTCCTCTTCCTCAGTAGCACGCAAATGCATGCCCGGAATCTTGTTGATGAGAAACAACAAGATACAAGAGACGAAAAACGACCAGGCGGCACAAGTCGTTGCGCCTGCCAACTGCAGACCAAGCTGCCTGAAGTTGCCATTCCACCAGCCGCCCTCATACGTGTCGCCGCTGACTCCATCGAGAGCTGGTACCATTTTGTGGGCAAAGAGACCGGTCAGAATGTCGCCAACATATCCACCGACACCGTGGATTGCAAAGATATCGAGGCCGTCGTCGACGCGGAGGATGTGCTGGTATCGAACGGTGTAGAAACAGCAGGTGGCGGTGATGATCCCGACAAGTGGTGAGACGTAGACAAGAACTATAGAAAGCTGTCGTTAGCTACAATGTGTGAGTGCAGGAAGACTGATATGCTTACCGAAGCCAGCTGCCGGGGTGATACCGACGAGACCGGAAATGATACCCGAGCAGAAGCCAACCAAGCTGAACTTTTTCATGTACAAGTAGTCCAATAGGGCCCATGTAACGCCACCACCACAAGCAGCAAAGTTGGTGTTCACAACGACGTAGATGGACCGCAAGCTGAGGTTAGCCGTGCTGGCTCCGTTGAACGCAAACCATCCAAACCAGATGAGAACGGTACCCAGAGTCATCAACAAAGGGTTGTGGCCCCGAAACTGGGGAACGTGCCTCTTCTTCGTGGACGTGCTGCTGTCGTCAATACGGGGGCCCAACATCATTGACCAGGCGAGGGCTCCGAAACCACTGGCGATATGGACCGGGCCGGAGCCTGCAAAGTCGTAGAGGCCGAGGTTGTAGAGCCAACCGCTGGGGTTCCACTCCCAATATGCCAAGCTGCAGGGCAAGTCAGCATTGGCCTTAAACACGTGTGCTGGAGATAGACGGTCTTGGACTTACATGTAGTAGACGAACGTGTTCCAGCAGAGGAGGAAAAGCATACTGGGCCAGAGGCGGCCGCGCTCGAGCATGGCACCAGCCAGAATCATTGCCGTGGCCGTAACGAAGGTGAAGCCAAAGGCAGCATCTGTCCAACAGGCTGATGTGAGTATCCCCATCCATACTATCCTCGAACTTCTCAGAAGATACTTGACTTACACAAGATGTCTGGGATATCACTGTTGGCAAAAGATGGAGAAGCCAGGAGGTTATGGAATGCCGCGTGGGACAGGTCGCCGAGGATAGGGTTCGTCGTGCGCGACTGGTACAGCGATGCACCGTATATCCAGTATTGGAGGCCACAGGCGCATGCACAGAAGAGTGACTGGAGAACCATTGTCATGGCGGATTTCCTACGATGCATTCCGGCGTAGAGAAAGCCGATGGCCGGCGTAATCTGCCAGCATAGGATCGTGCATACCAGAACCCAGCAGAGATCACCCTACGAGTTGTTGGCACGAGTTAGCGGGCTTTGAACCCAATTGAGAATTTTTCCAAGGTCTCCAGAAGATTTTCTGTCAAGTTGTTTCCTTACCTTGTCATAAGGCGCGTTGAGGTCATGAGTGATTGGGTTGCCTCCCGTTGGGTCGGTGGCATAGTCCGGGAACTCGGTCACAGGGATGACTTCCGCCATGATGTATCACGATAATATCTCCAACAGAGAAGATATTATGATGCAATGACTGAGACTGCGGGAACGAGAAGGCAATGTTGCTTTTTTCTTGTTAAAGAACCAAAGCCTCGGAACTTCAGCTAGCGAGTTTGACGGGACATTAGGGAGCCACTTAAAGCTTTTGCCAGTCTTCAGATGTTGGCCAAGCTGCCATGCTGTCGGTACTGCTATCACTTGGCACCAGTCCGAACCCCAGATAAGGTTGGCTCTGTAACAAAATTAAGCATGTTCACGATTGTCTTGGGCACCGGATGCCAGATAACACCAACCTCCCTGATTGGCCTATCCCTGATAGACGAGCTTCACCGGGGACACGAAAAGACCTATCTTTCTACTCAATCCAGGAAGCTCTCGAGCTGGTTTCTAGGCACCAAAAGTCTGGGCATTGCTAGGGGTGACTGGAAAGGGATGAGGATCAGTGGGTTCAACTGTCTTGCACTGTGAACCACGACCGGTCTAAACTGCTGGAAACGGATGCGGGAGCCTATCCAATTAGATTCAAGTAGAGCGGGAGGGAGACGGTTTGAAGGGCAGTCATTCGGGTTCAACACGTGAAAAGGGGTAGGGCGCACGGCGTCATAAGCCATGTATGCTAATTCTCACAAACAGCTAGTCATTGGCTTCTGGTAGCACTGAAATACCTAGGCAGCTGAGTGTCGTTTGATAGGAGCTTACATGCAAGGAAACCCTGACAGCATTAGAGATGCACGGGCGCTGCGGCCTCCGCAACTTCGAGCCGCGTGAGGAACGGGCTCACGGGCACAGCCGGGGGAGCGTGGGAGACGTGGGAGACATCCAAGACAGGGTCGCCATCAAGCGGGGTCATCCCGCATCCCATGTTCCTGACCTTATCGCTGCATCGTCAGTGGATGAGAGAGGGTGCCGGGTAGATTTAACAAATTGGGCTAGACTCTGTAACGCGAAATGGATCAAGGCTCAAGCTCACGCCCGTATAATGTTTCCGGTTCCGGTGAGGGTGTGAAAGACGACGTCCTACCCTTCAGACTGTAACGCGCCGCATCATGCCGATGGCCAAGCGGTCGCATACGAGCGACGGCTGGCTAAATCTACCAGATGCATCTACTCGACCCTGTGACTTATGTTTCTGAGCATCTTGATAGTCCATGGTTATGCTCGCGAGTTGCGAATACTTATCCCCTAGCTTCCAGCAACGAAAATGAACCTATCAGTGCCAAGTCATTCTGTATGACAGAGCAAAAGAACTGTCCGCCATGTCCTTTGCGATTGAACTCGGTGACCATTATGCCGTCGCCACAGTGCTTGGCATCGCCGCATTCACCGGTGCCCTACTCTATCTCATAAGCACTCTCATCGACAGCCGCAAGGTTTTCTCGAGGTTCAACCGCGCCCCGTCCTTCAGCCAGCCGGCCGAGAAGCCTTCCGTCACTACGGCCGAGAAGCAGAGCTACGTGAACGCGTTCCCGCCGTCCCAGAGAGCCACAATTGCGGAGCTTGGGCCACAATTCGCGGACGTCAAGGAGGTTGACCTCGCCGTGACGCCGAAGCCTCTGTTGAGAGTGGATGCCGACTACCGATCCGCCGACCCCTCCCTATTCAACTTCAGTGGCTTCAGCATTGATGACATCCAGAAGCTTGGCGACTTTCCCGACTATGCAGTTATCTCAGGTGTTCCGTTGCCGTCGCCATTGGCAAATTTTGACATTGACAAGGCCGTCCCGCGGCCCTACCGACCGTTTAGATGGGCTTACCATCAGACCATGTGTAAGTCCCGTCAGCATTCTAGAATCCAAGCACTCAAACTCATCTCAAGACTACCAGCTTTAACCAAGATGGATACGGATTTCTGGATCGAGCTTGAAAACACATACAGGGAGCGCGTCGCCGAGCGAAAAGATCTGTACGCAAAGAACGGGAGTGATGTTCTTGATAGCATGCCAGGCTCTGAGCTTGCCTGCAAAGAACTTATGGAAATGGGCATCCAGTTTATCTGCGCGAGATATCCCAATCAATTCAGACTCGACGGTAACATCTTGTACAACAGCATTCTTGGGACAACGACGGATCTCTCTGCCACTGAACCACTGATTGTACTCTTGGACAACGTCCCTGAAGACTTTGGAATCATGCTTCGAGATCACGAGACTGGCAAGTATGTCCTGCGGGCCGGAATCATATGCTCTTCGGTTGGCTGGAAACTCAGTGAAAAGGCGGGCTTGGGCCTGCCAGGAATCCACAAAGTTGTCCCAGACTACAAAGAAAAGATGGAATTCAGCATGGATCGGTAAGATCCTGATCCTGATCCTATTGCGGTCGATGGTTCAATGTTCCTCTCACTAACATAACTCTAGATTCTTCACAAAGATGCCCACCAACAAACCCATTCAACGCGGTTCATGGGGCCTTGAGAAAGGCCAGCCGCTGTATCTTCCCTCGGAACACCCCGAATTCTCTCATCGCGAGCATCAAAACCCCAGCCTTCAGCCCGAAGATGTTCACCTACGCGTTGACTGGCAGACCTTGCGCCGGCTCCCATTATCGGGTGGCGTTGTTTTCAATTTCAAAGCGCTTTTCACGCCATTAACTGAGTTCAAGGATGAGCCTTACATTCCTTCTTTGGTTCTCAAAGTTTTGAACGAGGGCAAGGAGAGCCTCTTGAAGTACAAAGGAACATGGCATGTAGAGCACGTGGTTAAGCCAACATTGAAGGAGTATGAGAAGTACCAGATCGAGAGCGGTCTGATTGAGAAGGACTGGGAGCCGCAGACCTTAGCCGAAGCTCCTTTCTTCAAGGGTTGGGAGAAGAAATGGACTATTCAATGATACAAGTAACATGTATTTTTACCACAATGTATAGGCGACATCTTCAAGAGAGTCAATGAACTTTCAAGAGTCTTTAAATCATACGTTCATCTTGCTTTCAATTTCTAACTCATTAGTTCAGTCACAAGAGAAATTGGGCCAGCTTACAGCTAGTTTGGGGCTCGGCGCTTGGAGTACTGTCAAACTTAGTCGTGATATTGCAGCTGGCTTCAATCAGTAGTGCCATACCCCGTGAGCCAAGAGCCATCAGTCTCTAACACGGGAGCGCGTGGTGACGTGGAGGTACATTGAGGTGAGTGGAATTCGTTACTAATGAAAACGACAGCAGATCAGCGGGAGCGAAGCGCGCTCGACGGAACAGGAATAGCAGAATGCGGGGTACATGAAGCATTGAAGTGAGATTGAAACTCCCGTACACGCACTCCAGTCCAAAGACACGCAAAGACATGGGAGATGAAGATTTACGACGTGTTCTTCTCGCACATTGATGAGTTGGCCGGCCTCATAGATATCGTGAGTTTCGGCTAGGGATCAGCCATGCCGGCCGAAGTCGGAGTATCTGAAAGACGCTCATGCAGCCACCCTATCACTCAAACTCAAGCCACCCTGATAGAATGATTGATATGGAATGCGAATAAAAAAATGGCAGGAGTCTCCGAAAGTGCGAAGGCAGCATAGAAACACGAAGAGGCGCTGGCTAGGCTTATCTTGCGCAATTTGGTCCTCCTGCGGCGGCCATCCCGGTACCGGGATAGATAAAGGACAATAGAGCGGCCATGATTGGGCTTTGAGCCTGCATAATGCGGGGTGAACCGAGGACGATCGCCGCGTATCTTGGTCTGGAACCCCTTGAATCCCTGGAGTTCTTCTCCCACCCTTGGTCCCCTAGCCTTCTTATCGCCGCAGCGCCGAAAACCAAAGAGTCTGCGGGAATTCGGGATCAACATGGTCTCCCTTTTCCTTCTTCTTTGGGGCACTCTTGGTCTTGGGATAGAAGGGCAAGTGGCCATATATGTAGCATTTTACGAAGCTATACGAATAGCATGACTCTGACTCACGTTCATAGTGTATTGAGCTGAACCTCTAGCGGACTAACCTTTACCAACTACGGATCACCAAAACGGGACCCTCGGGGCAACGACAGTCGGTGCATATCTCTAATGGCGTCTTCATAAGTTTCATTAGCCTGGTTTGCGTTATCACATAATCCCCAGGATTATTTGGGCTCTTCAATGACAGCTCAAATGATTATTTCAGCATGACCTTACAGAATGCAATACGGCGACGCTCTATGGCCAGTGACAAGCAACCACGATAGATATCAAAGGCGAAACGAACATCAAGCGGCATCGGTCTGCCAGCTGTGCCGCTCTCCCGCTGCAAGGATGGCTGGCGGGTTGCTCCAGCCCGTCTCATTCATCAAACATGCCCCTACCACCAATCATGAACGTCGCTAGCTTATCATGCGCCAGCCAAGATACCTTAAACTACAAATAGCGTCATAAGATGCCCTCCCCCGCGTTAATGGTACTGCCGCGAATGGGCCTGGGCTAACAGTATGAACCCTCATCCGATCACGATGAGCACCGACGACCGGTGACTTTCGGAACAAAAAAGTCCTTGTGGCCTGCTCCCATCCTTCCCTTGCTCATCGAACTCGAACTCGCCTCGAGCGACTTGGATCTCATATTCTATCAACTACCGCATTCAGCAATATTCGCCCGGACTTAGAAACCCCTCACTTATTGGAATAAAGTTCAATGGTACCCCCCAAGAGTTCAAAGTCGGTATCCAAAACTAGAACTGGTCTCAACCCTCGGTCGAGATCGGGTTGCGTCACTTGCAAAGCCAAGCACGTACGTTGCTGTCAACCCGTCTAATGCTTGTTCTCTGAATCCCGATGAACGAGGATCTCACGGAAACGACCCGACCCCACATGCTGGCGCTGACAAAACACTGGGATAGTTGAAATGTGACGAGACGCGACCAGCTTGCCAACAGTGCACACGGAAGGGAATCAAGTGTGGAGGATTTGCGCAGGGCTTGAGATGGTCGTTCAAACACCAGCCCGCCCTTCAGGTTTTGACACTCGACGACTTCAACCCCCCGACTCAAACATCACCGAAACGACCAGCCACCGGCACACCCGAGGGCCAGACACGCGCCAAAAAAGCAAATCTCGGATCAGTGAGCAGCGGTAGTTCCCCGAGAAGTCGACATTCAGTCTCTTCATCATCCTCTAAGAGTTCCGCTCAGGGAGATGAAGCTGCAGAACGGGATGAGGATGCCGCAAGGGCTTATCAGATGAGCGACGGAGGAATGGATGAAATATCTCAACTTTTCGCAGAGGAACCCGTGTCACCTCGTCAGCCATCTTTGGGCGTGGTTATTCAACAACCGGGCGCCTCAAAACCCGCAGAACAGACCCAGTTGGCTCCTTACTCACTATCGCCCAGTCTCGCCGACACCTCATCGGCGTTCATCATCAACTGGTTCGAGCAGGTGTGCCCAGCGTGGTCCGGCTTCGACTCGAACGCGAATCTGAATCGAAAGATCGCCATAGACCTCTGGAGAACGTCCGCCACGGTGTGTAGCTCCCTTGAGAGCATGTCTGCCGCATTCCTGGCGTCCCGTCTCCCGAGCATGAGGCAATCCGCACTCCGGCTCATGCAACGAGCAACGGATTTCATTCAAGCCGAGCTTCAAGTCGTGAAAGCGCAAGGCGAATGCCGTTCCGTTCCAACGGGCCTCATATTTTCCCTTTTCTGCCTGGGAACGACGGTCTGCTGGGTCGACTCTCGCTTGTACGGGCTACCCTTTTTGAGAGAAGTGAGATCTCTCATCCGCCGGCTGAATACGCAGTCGGCGTCATTCTCCAGCGCGAACCAGGACATGCTTTCATTCTTCAATAAGAGCTTGGCGTATTGCGAGATGCTTCTCTCCGTGGTGCGCGATGATGAGCCGCTCGATCAGGGAGACGCGGATTTGGCACTTCAAATTATCGAGGAGCGCTCACCCCACCCGTGGACCGGTGTCTCTACTCTCACAACACGCCTTTTCGCCGAGTCGATTCGGCTGTGTCGCAGCGCACGACATCGACTAAGGCAAGGCATGGATCCGCAAAAGTACTTCTCAAATGCTCTTCAGGACTTGATAGGAGCCCAGCGTCTGGAGGAGCAGCTATTGGAGCTTGAGTTCCCGTCGGAAACTCCGGATGTCGACACGGGTGACAGCTCGACGCCGGTGTCCCACCTCGCCAGAGTTGCCGAAGCCTATCGACTCTCATCGCTGTTACACTTGTACCAGACTTTCCCTGACCTGGTCTCCCTACGACTGCCGGCCGAATCACCAATGACTGAAAGTGGCTCCGTGCCGTGGGACGAGTGGATTATCCCCCTGGCCTTGAGACTCGTCAAGGTCCTCGAACACATCCCGGCAACTTCGGGTACCCGCGTCATCCAACCACTGCTGTACATCTCGGCGAGTACCGGACTTCGCCATGACGCACCAGCTACGTCTGATATGATGGGTGCCTTCGGGTCCCTGCAGCAAGACTTGATGGGAGGGACGGGGTCAAACATGTTCAGCCCTCCACCGCTATTCGATTCGCACAATTTGTCTCAGTACATTAGTCAGATGGCAGAGGCTCCGACGCGGGAGGGTTCAATGTCTAACATGACACTCGACGTTGGAAGTGCTCGCCACTTTGTCATGAGGCGTCTGAGTATCCTGGAGAGCAGCTTACCTCCGACTCCGGTCGTGGTAGCAAAGGATCTTGTCCAGACTATTTGGAGGGCGTACGATAATGATATCGGCTCGCCCACGGTTCACTGGATTGATGTGATGGAAGATAACGACTTACGTTCAATGTTTGGGTGATATAGGAGTTACATCGTAAACTCAGCACGCAGAGTCTGAGAGAACGCTCATTTGGTTCATCTTGCTGGGAAGATTTAGAATGCGTAGGGCACAGGTCCGGTATTTTTGGCGTTGGGGTAGCCATGACACAAACATATTGCAGGCTCTAGGATGAACCGTCGGTTGGAAATCATGTAGATGTGCGATGAAATTTTGTATTCATATTTGTTCATCCTCTATCTCATATTCTCATCGTCCATGCGATATCGCTCTCATTATCTTCACTTCCTCTGCACCACCGATACATCCAATATCTCCTCAGAAGTCGCTCTTCTTGCGTTGGCCAACATAGAACGCCAGACCGTAGTCACTGGTAGTGAAAGTAATCGTTGAGCCCTTAGGAAAGTGGAAGACATCGCCAGGCTTTGCCTCGACCTTCTGGCCGGTCTCATCGGAGATTGTGTAATCACCCTCAAGAATGATCTTCATCTCGTCGTATTTGTAGGTGTATGTGAGGGGTTCGCCCTTCTTCAGGCGGAAGAGGCCGGATGAGATGGGCTTCTCCGGGTTCGACTCGTCGCTTGAGAAGACATCTCCGAGGTAAGCGTTGTCACCCGCGAGGAGGGGGATCTGGAAGGTTGATTGGGCCTTAGCGTAGTGTTGGAAAGCGGCCATTGTGATGATTGATATTTGGTGTGATTTGTTGGGAAAATTGCGGTAAGTTTGATGATGTCAAGTCTTTATTTTGTGTGTGATGCTACCAGGTCCCCAACCTTGCCCATTCACCCAGTATATATAGAGCTCTATCCATCAGTGTAAGAATACTTCTTTAGGCAATACCCCAAGTCTCCCAGAGAGCCTCTTCAATCTGGGCATTGGAGACATCCGGGAACAAGGTTCGGTTTCACTCCCGCGAGTTTGCTAAGAAAGGGTCCCCAAGCACCGACTTGGAAGATAGGACGATAGGGTAAAATTTCCCGTTCCGGCAAAGCGCATCTCCCGTCCAACTCGGAACGGTCGAGTGGAGAATCGGTTCGCAGAGGGAGCCGATCTTGCGGGGACGAGTCTGGAGAAGAGATACGGGCGTGGGACGGGGCGCCGACCGGATAGCGGAACCAAAGTCTTTACTGGAAGGTATTTCCTAATGCGTAGCTGACTCGAAAACTTGGCTGCAGTGATAATGCTCTGCAGTTTCCTTGAATTCACTGGTGAACATCTTAGCCTCTGCAATACTTCCTTCACATGTGCACACGTTTTACCCCCAACTATCCCCAGCATAGATAGGCCTCTACCAAACCTTGGGTGCCCTTTGTCCCCCCTGACTTGATAAACTACCAAACTCCAGGGCGCACAGAGTATCTCGACATGGCGCTATTAGCGTTATCGGAACTCCCCTCAGACGGTTGGAAACTCCTCGTTGGGCTCTTCGCCCTCTTCTCCGCAGCCATACTCTCACGATCGCTCGGCGCGCTGCGACCGCGAAAAGGAACCCTCTTCAACAAGACATCATCTAGAACCCAATCCGAAAAGTCCAAGCAAGCCTCCGAGACATGGCAGATGCCAATTCCCAGTCCTTACCCGGACTGGTCAATAGAGACGACAAAGCCTCTGCCCTATCGTGCATTTCGCTACGGGCCCAAATACAATGTCACCATGGGCCTTCGCTCTGTTCAGCCTGAGGACTGGATTGAACTAGACAACCACTATCCTCGGTATCATGCCGACAAGACTGCTCGAATCGCTGAACGGGGTGAGAAGTGCTTCGGAACAGACCCGGAGGCCTACCCTGCAGCTATGGAGCTTCTAGAAGAATTATGTCAATACCTGCCCGCTCGCTACCCTACGATGTTCAAACGGACCGCCGTCGGCATCGACAATCTCTGGTCTGGAGAATCTTTCAACATTGTCGAAACACCTCTCAAGGAAGACCCAGCCGCCATCGCCGCTAGGCTCGTACAAGACGACCTCGCCATCATGCTCGAACGGCCCGATGGAAAGTACTACTTGCTCAGCGGTTCCATCCTGCTAGCTGGCTTTTGGAGATTGAGCGACAAGTTTGGCATGTCACTCGAGGAGATCCACACGTCCGGCGAGGTCCCCCACTACAAGGAGAAGCTGCACAATGGCATGGCCAGCTTCTTCAAGCGTCTGCGCTGCGACCAGATCTACTCTCGCAACAACTACTTCATCCAGGTCGATGACTCTTTGCCCTGGAGCTGGAGCATTGGTGAAGAGGATAGTCCCGTTGTCAGCTGGAGTACGGCTGAGAAAGATAGAGCGGTTGAGCATCACTACTTTCGTTCCGAGAGACAATCGCTGCGCCGTCTTCCCAAGAGCAAGGCCATTGTCTTCACGATAAGAACGTACTTTCACCCAGTCACTGAATTGGCTGCAGAGGACTACGTGCCTGGAAGACTCGCTAGTGCTGTTCGTAGCTGGGATGAGACAGTTGCAAACTACAAGGGGCGTGAAATGTACGAGAAGGTATTGTTAGAGTACCTTGACAATGAGCATCAGAAACAGCTGGATAGAGGTCTAGACTTGAGCAAAGAAGACGAAGTCCGGAAGTATCCCTGGTGAGCAGATGTTACTCTCAGTAGCTGCTCACGCGCAGTCACTGTAAATAAGGTACTCCGTGATACCTCTCTTGGGTGGAATTTTTCTACATTCATATTCGCTCTATTATACCTCATCTTCTAGCATACAGAAACAAAAAGTAAACGCAGCGTGCATGACCATAATAACTATGTATTCATCCTCATCAGTGTATCTTGCTTGGTTTTATTCGCTCTTCTGTCGAATCTTTCTTTGACCTTTTGATTCATCCAAACTTGATGGGGGAACAGTGATGACCTGAATAGAGACGCTGTGTCCAGGCGCAAATGGGCCTGTAGCTGGGTCCAGGATAAAGCTAGATCTGAGTAGCCGGCCCCTGGAGCCGCTAGAAGCCACCCACCGAAAACTGCACTGTATGATTGTCGACTGAAAACGATTTAAATTTTAACATGATGTTTGTGTTATGAGGCACTGATTCCGGCAGAACGATTACAACCCTCCAACAAGAAGCATGCCTTGCCTGCACCGTTGATGGACTCATACTGAGATCGATTTCATTATCTCCTTTGAATCGGAGTTGTGCCTTTGAAGACCCCTCTTTTCTGCACTTCAGTCTTTAGGACAGCGAATATTGAAGTGATCAAAGTTGACTTGCCGTGATGCACCAACTCTGTTACAGCGCAGAGACCCCACGGAAGTGCGATTGCAATCCCCTCCGGCGAAGAAATTTATAGTGCAATTACAGCCTCCCCCAACAGTTCGATCTGTGACTAACCCACAAGCACCGTTGATTGCCTCGAAGCATTCGCTAACCCCTGGTCGAGACGAATTCCCATAACCCAGATTTTGTCCGGTACAGCTACCAGGTCGTCCTGCTCCAAGATATGCGGACGCGGCGCAGAATGCGGCCAAGGACGTTTGGTTGAGTACCACCGCGACGATGATGACGGCGCTTTTCATGTTTAGAATGGTTATCGCCATTGTATAAATGTCTGGCGGGATCAGAGTCAGTAAACCCAGGACATGTGTTATTCTTTCCCAGTCCGAAGGGCGAGACTTACTTGATTTCTCACGACTGCACGTGCTTCTATCGAATGTTACGAATTGTCTCAGAAAATTTATCCAAAGTAAACTAATTTCGTTGAAGGCTATCACAAACATCAGTTCGCGGGATAGCGTCCTATATAGTGTACAGAATACCTAGATGTATGCCATGCTGTCTCGTCCCACGCGTTGTGTTACAAGAACAGCAGACTTGAGCAAACATCTCTGTAACAAGGCAAACTCTGCGACTCGCCTGTACACTTTCTTTTGGTCGAGGTACTGTCCGAACTTGAAAGTTGACAGTCGTACAACTTGGGCAGCAGACTATGAGCAACCCACTCATTCGTCTCACAGCAGTTGGACAAGTTGACAACTCATCGTTCCTGCCATACCTTCTAGCTTGCTGTGACCGGCGTGTCCGGGTAAGGTAATAGGTACGACGGACCGGAGTGGCGGCGGATTTGTGCACGGCTTATGGCTTTCAAAGGCAACATCAATGGCTTGTATTTGATTACTTTTAATGTGACATGTGCTCCAAGGTTCTTACAATCCACAACCCACATTACGAAACTACATCGCTTGGGAGCTTCTCACACCTTAGCAAGGCGAAATTCTGCTGCTATCAAATGGTCTTAGTATTGCAGTTGACGCGTATTACTGGAGCCGAGAAATGCCTAATCTTCAGGCGCAGGCGCAGCCTCTGGGTCATCAGCTAACAGAGCCTCAACCTTCGCACCCCTTCTGAGTCTTTCTTCCAAGGAGATCTCCTGCTCCGGCGAAGTGGACCAACCAAGACCCAGTTCGGGATATTGAAGAGGAACATCGCCATCGGATGGCAAGCTGTCAAGGTAGATTGGCCACGGAGTACCCATCCAAGCGTTCCTTGTTTCATGGTCTCGACGTTGACTCGATGTCAATGGATGAACAAGGACACTAAGTTTTGAGTATATGTAAGCATCAAGACAACATGAGTACTTGGGGTTTGGCCTTACCTCAAGTTGCCTCGGTTTGCCGCCAAGTAAAAAAAGACGTCAGAAAATGAGGAGTCGGGAACCCAAACTGCACGTAAATGTTTGGTCAGCCGAGCTCATTGTCTTATACATGTAGATGAAATTTGGTACTACTTACTCTCATAAGATCCCGCTGGGTGTGGCCCGATAGGAAACTCGTTGACCCTGAATAGTGGAACAGCAACGAACGCGCCTAAACGTGGATATCAGCAATGGTGCCACCAACCTCGTCCAAGCAAGAATTGTCTTTCAAACCTACCGTCGCGTCGCAATCTCAACACAGCATCGCGAAGAGCAAGGGCAGCAGCAGTCTCAGTCGGGGATTGTAGCAGGAAGTAAATGTGGAAATGCCATTCCCGAGTCCGAGCCTCGACCACCGTCTTCAGATCCGTCTGCGGGGTCGGAGGCGTGGATTGGGTAACCATGGTCATGATGAGGCGCTGCGAGATGTCTTGCTGATGTGCTAATGTTGTTCTTCTAGAAGTTTGACAAGTTCATGATTCAAGCCTAGCCGACGGGATGGCTCGAGGTCAAAGTGCGGAGCAATAGCCGCTTAATCACGCAATCAAATCGGTTCTCACGTGCGCCAACACAATGAGCAGAAAGCGGCTAGAATCGGATGTAAACAAAGCCCGAGTTGGCCACAGCAAACCATACAGCAACAAGACTATCATCACTATGTTTTTTTGGTGTTTTCCTGTCTACCTCTTCATGGTATGTGACTTTGTACAATGATTTTAAAGGTTCCTTGTCGCTTTAAAATCATCACGATGCCGGGCCTGGCTCTGGCATGATTGGCCACCCAGGCGGAGGCGCCTTCATTTCTTGAAAGACTTTCGGATCCATGGAGTTCTCGTTGACCCAGCCTAATAACGCGTCAAAGTCTCGGCACACTTTGTGGTTCATAAAATCTGGAAATGGTTGCTCCCAATTCTCAACCCAATTGAAAGTTATCATGTCCACCGACCCGGTGCACTTGATTGCTTGGGCAAGGATATCGAAACAGTGGCCGATGTGGGCTTGATGTTGAGCCCCCCCTGGCCTAGGTCCCTCTTTTGGCTCATAGTCTCGACTCAGGGGTCAGAACTGCGTACTCACTTCATACAGGGAAACTTACAATGCTCGTATGACACTTCCCTCCGCAACATGTCCAAGCAGTGAAGGTGATGGAAAACTTCGGTCTGCGCAATATATGCATCTGACCCGTAGCCAAGATCTTCTGGAATCTTGACTGCGACTCGTGGATCCTTTCCAAGTTGCTTCACATCCGCTTCACCAATGACCAGAGGCCAGACATGGTCGCCGATTCGATGCCACTCCTTATCGGCTTCTTTGCCAATTCGCTGGCGAAGGACTGACGGCGGATTGGTGTCATACAAAGTGCCGTTTGTCACCCTGCTGATTTTTGGTATATCGAAGCGCTCAAGTATCGGTGCTTGAATGTCTACTTAGCATATCCGGCTGAAAGCCTTTCAACCATTCGGGTACTCACAGTAAAAGGAGGTTTCTTTCCAATAGTCTTGGGTCTTGAAAGGATGCCTCAACGGTGCGGGCCATAGCCACAAAGTGAAAGAGGCGACAAAGAGTGAAACGTTGAGGAAGGTCACTAGAGATGGCCATCTACTGCAGAGCTTCAACCATGAAGTCTCCTTTCCAATATTTCGAGGTCCTGACTTGATGTCCATGTGAGGCAGTAGAGCCTTTTCCACGTCCTCATTCGCTTCGAAACTTCCCGAGAGACCATCTTCTGTGCGTGAGGCCTCTGATGAGTCCGTTGATGATCGATGTGTTTCATTCATCTTAGTTCTGTATTTTGACAACTCATGTGCGAGAAGAGGGCAAATCTAGCAAGTAGTCCACGAAAGTGAATGATGTCTACAATTGAACGAGCTGGAGGTTTTCTCGCTTCGTTCTATGTTGTCAGCATAAGCAAACGATGGAGTAAAATCAGCTTGCCCAATCATTTCGTGTGAGGCAAACACCCTTGCCATTGCGCTCGAAGGCTTGAATGTGTTAGTACCTGCCTGAATGATAAGAGGAGGCGGGCGGTATTGCGACTATCAACTCCTACAGCTCCACTACATGACGCAGAAGGATCCTTCGAATCCGTCGTCTGCCTTGGCACGCCGGTGAAACCTCTAGTTGATCTCAATGTCGTCAACTCCATTGCCCATCTCGAAACATCCAATGCAACCTTCCTCGTTTGTAACAGTCTCTGTCCGGTTGTCAATATCTCTGTGACCTTTTTGCTGCAGCTGCAGAAGACCGATATTCCGGATGTGTAAGTGGCAATCGAGCGACCAGACCGACGTGATCCCGCCCGACTCCTTCGTACTTCCAGACAAGTTTTCGTCGCTGGCGGCTAAAGTCAGTACGAGTAAAGCACAACTTCGGCTTATCACAAATGATGCGACAGTCATTTGAGCGTCAATTGGAGCATAGACGAGTTTTCTTCAAATACCATATACAAGGAACGGCCTCCCAGAATTTCCTTTGAATCAACCATCTCCAAGTCCTACCAACGTCTCTTTCATCAATCACGCCTAGTAAAAAGTCACAATGCGTGCTCAGTACCTCATTCTTGCTGCCATTGGCCTCGTGGCTGCCGCCCCTCTCGGTACGTGATCTTGGAAGACACCAAGTGCTTCAACAAACTACATGACTCGTAAGAAGACGACTGACTTGAACTACCTCTTCAAGATGTCAGAGGAGCAGATGCCGAAGCTGAAGCTATTCCCTTCTACCCAAAGAGGGGAGCTGATGTAGAGGCGGAGGCAATTCCCTTTTACCCCAAGCGCGGAGCCGACGCTGAAGCCGAGGCCATTCCCTTTTACCCTAAGCGAGGAGCGGATGCGGAGGCTGAAGCCATCCCGTTTTATCCCAAGAGAGGCGCAGACGCGGAAGCTGAGGCTATTCCCTTCTACCCCAAACGTGGTGCTGATGCCGAAGCCGAAGCGATCCCTTTCTACCCCAAGAGAGGTGCTGATGCCGAAGCTGAAGCCATTCCATTCTATCCTAAGAGGGGCGCGGAGGCTGAGGCCGAGGCCATCCCTTTCTACCCAAAGCGCTCCGCTGATGCGGGAGCTGAGGCAATTCCCTTCTACCCTTGAGTAGGCGGTCGGTGTGCCGTGCTCTGAGTACCATATTACTGGAAGTGCAGATCTGGAACACGGAGGACATGTAGCAGGTCTTGAGTCAGAAACCTTCATTTATCATGGCTTCGACCTTGAGGAGTGGAGTGGGCCTATAGAGAGAACCTGGAGCTAGGAGGATTAAGCCAGGTTCCTAGAATACACTCATTACTAGTTGCCGCAACTAGAATACTCAACTGGTAACCGCGTCTCAAAAAGTGATGTACCCAGATCAAATCGTTTTCCTATCTGGTGCATGTGCACTCACTCGACAGCAGCCAAAAATGATTGGAATCAGGCGAGTTGATTCTACTAATACGCCGTCGTGCCGGACGCTCGTTTCTCTTCGTTACCTAGGCATCAGATTCCAAGCAAAACTTAAACGCTGTGCCTTTCTGATCACAGTCTTAGTCTAGGTGCTATCATAAAGCATCTTCCAGGTTTGGAATATTACGAGACTCCCATTCAGGTACCATCGTTTGAGTAAAAACATTCTGAAGGAAGCTTGGCAAAATCTTCGATGACGAGTGAAGCAGATTTTGTGTTATGTTCGAACCGTAACTCGCGAGGGAGAAAGCGCATTGCATAGGATGTAAGTAGACAACAACAAAAGTGCCGCATAAGCGCAGCGTCAGCCCGCATCTCGCCCACAGACGGCCCGCCACCGAGCCGTGACATCGTAGATCGCATCGTTCGAGCTTCTATCTTGGGCTTAGGGTGCGAGCGGGGTTTAAGACAAAGTCAAGCACATCAAGCAGCGATTTCGTGGGGTCGATAAGCTGTGCTCTTCCTTCGAATCCTTCGGACTTCCGCTAAATCTTGTTCCCTAGCGTCGATGTAGGATTGCGTCAGATATGCAACACCTTCTGAATGTGTACAGAACATGGAGACATCTAATCTAGGCGCGATACCCTAGCTGTTGTAGACGATTAGAAGGAGTTGCGAGCGGTATTCGTGCCCTTGGCCTTTTGCATCCCTGTCGTTCGATTCGTTTTTCCTTTCCTCCACATGGAAGCAAGAACACACGCCTTTCCTGACAAGTTCGTCAGTGTCTGACATGTCCAGAAGCCAGATTGAGCAGCAACGATATATAACAAAAATGTCTAAAATGTAAGCATATCGCGAGGGTAGAAGCAACCATGCTAACAGTTCTGAACATTAGTCGCCAAGTTTTTACGGTACCATGGGGAAACAGAGACAGAGGAGAGTACGCTTGGCTTCCGGAAGACGCAAATACAGAGCCGCGTGTTGAAGATGGAATCCAAGTCTCGTCAAGAGGCAAAAATTATGTCTTTGGGCAAGCCGTATCATACGCAGGTCGTCTCTTGACAGTGTTATTGGCGGCTTACGGTCTTTACTCCCTCCTCACATCAGACTCCCCATCCAAATTTCAACCGCAGGACATGTCTTGCAATTGTGGTGAAACAATTGCAGAAGCCCGCGCGAACGGCTGCGTATATGACTCACTTGCTGCCGCCTGGCTTCCACCACACTGTCGGTCTCCTGAGTTGACCACAGAGTTTGAGTCTCTAGGCCCAAATGAGCCTGATACCATGGGCAACACCTGGGGCTACTGGCACGACAAGAACCAGACGCACCCCATGACTCTGGAGGAAGTGAGCCAACTACCTGAGGCGGCTCGCCATGGTCAACATGCTCGCTTTTTCACCACGCACCAATGGCATCTTGTGCATTGCGTGTTCTACTGGCGCAAGATGTGGGAGGCAGCGCGTTGTTCCCGAGGAGTCGTGGGCGCATCTTGCGGCAAGGACGGCATGCTTGTCATTGAGAAACGCTACGATACTCTCATGCACATCAATCATTGCATGACCATGTTCTTGAGGAGGGATTCTCTGGATCACATTGCCGCCGAGGCTGGTGTCGCGCTTCATTCAGACGAGCTTCATATCGCAAAGCCTCATAAACACCAAGATCAGGGCATGATAAATGAGAAGATGGGTGCGAATCACACCAGCGAGAGCTCGAGTACTTCCAAAGACCCTTACGATGAGACAAAGGAGAACCATAAGCACGGGAGCGGCGATCCATATGATGAATAAGAAACTGAGTTTCGTGGATGGAGAAAGACACTCAAAACATTCATATCGTCATAAAGTGGGAACTATAACTTTTTCGTGTATCGCCGTGCTCTCAATCTGGTGTTTTTGTCCATCATGGCGCGTGTAATAGAACAAAATGGGCAACAAAATACCTTACCTTGGTATTTTGGCATGCATACTTACCCAGACCCCAGAGAGGGCCATAACATGGGTTTCGTTTCTTTTTCTTCCACTGAAAAGCCGACACCATGCAAATGAATAGAGCAGTCTCGCCAGCTACCTCGTATGCTCTTTAGCCCTAGGCCCCACCTGCGGTCATCAATGGGTTACGAGGCATCTTACCATTGGGCGGCTGCCTAGTACTGTGATGCTAGTTACCTTCAGTAAGCTTGTGATGATACGCGACGATGATCTTCCTATAGAAGCCTAGTTCTTATGTGGGTAAGATTTGAGGCTGAGAATTGGTTTCCTCTCACATTCTCTTTAGATTTCCGCATCGCTCCAGCTTCATTACCTCAGTGCAGCCATCGCCATGAAGCTCCTCAATTGCTCTACCCTACAGATCGAGGAGTTCTCAGGATTATCTATACCCAAGTCTTATGCCATTCTTTCCCATCGATGGGAGGCCGATCATGAAGAGGCTACTTACCAAGATTTTGGGAAACCTGACGTGGTCGCGCGCAAGAAAGGATGGAAAAAGATTCATCATTTTTGTCGACTTGCATTGCAGCAAGGTTACAAATATGCCTGGGTTGACACTTGTTGCATCAACAAACAAGACTTCACAGAGCTGACGGAAGCCATTAATTCCATGTTCAAGTGGTATGCGCGATCTTCAGTCTGCTATGCGTATCTGTCGGATGTGGGCGTTGACGGGGTGTCACTTCAGCATTCTCAGTGGTTCACTCGTGGATGGACTTTGCAGGAGCTAATCGCGCCCTCACGAGTTGAATTCTTTGATAAAGACTGGAATTATATTGGAAGTCGAGCCGACCTATGCGACATTATCCAACAGCGCACAAACATTGACAAGAGCATACTCGTGGCAGGAAGCGGGAGAGTGGAAGGGCTCTTGACAACAATACCTGTTGCGAGAAGAATGTCTTGGGCATCTGGACGCACGACCAAGAGAGAAGAAGACCTGGCGTACTGTCTCTTGGGAGTTTTTGGAGTCAAAATGCCGCTTCTTTATGGAGAGGGTAACAGAGCGTTTATCAGACTTCAGGAAGAGATCATCAAGGAAACCAACGACTTATCCATCTTTGCTTGGTCTGCTCCCACGGAATCTCCGTTGGGCTATTTTGGCATTTTGGCTATGTCTCCTTCCGCTTTTGAGACAGCAAATGACATTGTACTCAGCAGCGAGATCAAGTATAACCCCGAGGTATGTCTGAAGTCCATGCATCCGACGTCCACCTGCATTCAAGCGGTTTGTGTAGCGATAAAAGAACTGACACAAACTTCACAAGTACGCCATCACGAACAAAGGCTTGAAAATCACAACCGAAACCAGTCTTATGCCCGACGGCGCGCATTTCCTAAGTCTCCGTTGCCACAGATCCAGCGATCCAGGAAGTCGTCACCTCGGGATTCTTCTCAGAGATCAAGGCGGAAACGTCTTCCTCCGCTGGAAAACCGGCCGGCTCTGGAGTTTAGAGCACAGCGCGCCGGGCATCGAGCACACGATGTTCATCAGCAAGTTCCTAGAGCCAGACGTGGCGGAGACGCTCGTCGGAGATATGGACTCCATCTACCGCAACGCTTTCTGCTTCCCGCCCACGCCGCCAAAGGTGGAGTTTGTCAAAGCCCGACCCGACGGCATGTGGAGCTCGTCCCGGCGCATGTTTATCACGCAGGGGCTGGACACGTTTGACGGATTCGTTCAGTACCGGACGTCGGGTGCGGCTGACCAAAACTTCATCGTTGCGTGTGGTTTTACCGGCGGTGGTGCCAATCCGTGGGTGTGTCTTGCAGCTGACAATGACGAGACGAGCCACATTTTCAAAACTGCGATGAGTGGTGATTTGGTGAAGTTGCGCAAGCTTGGCAGCGAGCGTGGAGTGATGAAGACTAGAATCGCGTTTGGTTTGAGTAGGCGGGTTGAGGACAGACCGGTGGTGTTGAGCCTCGGGATGGAGACGAGGATGTTGGAAGGGCAGCCTGTGTTTTCCATCTTTGTGAATCAAAGAACTGATTGGGGCGATTTGTGCTCAGTGATGTGAGGTAAGTAAACAGAACTGGAGAACAAGCCATAGAGTAATTACGCATCAGTGATGTGCTTACATAGATGAAAGTAGCATGGCCAGTGGAGATGTTTTTACATTTGGTCAAATATTATCCCATCCTCTTGGCACAAAAGTTCTCTGTTAGCTTCACCTACCAGCATGCTCCTGGTTTCTCCAGGCAGATTAAAAAATATATTACTCGACTTATTGTATACATCTCTGTCGTCTCCCCTTTTCAAATAAAGTATCTGACTCGCGTACTGTAGCCTCTGTTTATGACAGCATGCTCCGTTTGACTGTCTCTGCAAGTTTTCTAAATCGATATTTGTTGCTCACATGAAAGAGAGCAATGCAACTAACCGTAGCCAGCGCAAACGTACTTATGCATCTATTTATCAACCAAATCACAGGCAAGTTCCCTATGAAGAAGCTGCCTCGAAGCAAGCTGAGCAGATGGACCCCACCGTTGCCGAAGAGTCTGCCCCATAACGACAAAATGGAGCGGGTCTAGCCCTCGCCTGAATAGACGAGGCCCATGGCAACTGCCCACTTGAGCTCACCATAATAACCCATGTCTTCATCGGCCCTCTGGCGCAACGGTAGCGCGTTCGACTCCAGTTCGAGATTTCTCGAGATGCTATCGAAAGGTTATCTGTTCAAATCAGGTGGGGGTCAGTTAGGTCATCGTAATCACATGGGTGTACATCTCAGGACATTTCAGGGTGAGAGCGAGTTTCTTTTGATTTTTTCTCGCCCAGACATCTCGTGTCCGACCCAGTTGTCTAGTGTCCTATTGTTTTTTTCTTTTTTTCTGCAACTGGACTCATTATGCTGAGATTAACCATCTTTCAATGATGCTTTTATATCAAGCGCAGGTTTCTTTGAACGGGATTATGGTGTTCTATGTCATTGTCTAACAATCTCGGCAGATGGGCTCGGCTCGGAGTTTCCACACTGAGAACAAAAAAGAAATCCATCTCAAGCGAGCGGCAATCAAATACTGACAATTGTAAACGTGGTGAAACCAACAGACTGGGAACACCTCTGACAACAAGCCCGGCGAAGTTGCTTCAGTTGGAGGGGCTCTTGAGAGCAGAATCACAACCTAATCCGAGTGCACCTCGACCGACCCCATTATGCAGGAACGCAACCGCCTGCACTTCCGCCCCGAGAACAGCCCTGCGGACAGGGCGCACCCGCATTAAACTGCCAACTGAAGAAGGGGTCCGTCTCGTTCGTCAAGACCGGACCAAGCAACCTTGTACGGCGGGGTAAGCCCGAAGACTGCCGGAAGACGTCCCTGGACGTGATTTGGATCTGGCCCCATCCCTCCTCCGTGAGGGTCTCGATGCTCGTGCCAAAGACGTATTCCCTGAAGCCTGCCCAGCGCACCGCCGACGCGCACATGGGGCAGCTCTCGGCGTTGGTGTAGATGGTCAGGTTGGCAAAGGCGGCCAGGGCCTGGGCCGGCGTCATCCGGTATGGACCCTGGGGATCTACAAAGATTGCCGAGCAATTGTCGATGGCCGCCATCTCCCCTGCTTCATGATCAGCAAACTACCCTGGCAGGGAAAAGCTTTGTTGGGTTGTGTGAGATGAGATTCATACCATGCAGAGTCGGATTGCCGGTGCCAGCATTGTTGTTCGCGCCGGTGCAGACCAGCTCCCCCAAGCCGCCCGTAGTGTGGTTCACAATCACTGAGCCAAAGGCCGCGAACGGGCACGGGTTGGGCAGAGCCAGGTTGGCCTGACGCATCCAATACACCCGCGTGGTGAAGTTGATCCCATTGACAATCTTCAGCGGCGGGCATGTTTCCAGGGCCATGTACCGTTGAAGATCACCATCGCCATGTCCCATGACCAAGGCGACCAGTAGCAGGGCCACAAGACCGAGCGGTGCCTTGAACAGGCTCAGAGATGAGAAGGCGCGCATCGTGTCGCGCAAAAGAGCTGTGAGGCGAAGCTGCGACACGGGCGTGTATCCAGATTGGGACAGTCGAAGCTTCGGAGAGCTCCTGATTCGGAATAGTGAGTTGGAGGTGCAAAGCAGCTGCGGGAGGTGGCGAAACTCGGTCAATGCTTGTGCATTGTTTGTGTGTCGATGTCAAAGCAGATGAACGTTGTAGACTTTCCCCCACGAGGTGTCTGTAGTAAACCCATGCAGTGTTCGCATCGTGCATTTCCTGCGGCGTTACTTGGGCTTTAAGAGAATGGAGACCGGGGTAGTGAGGGCTTTCAGCAAGCAGATAGGAATTGAGGCGGAAATCCATGGGCCCTATCTGCTGAGGTTGTAATCATCAATCTGGCCGTGATAAGAAGATTACGATGGATGCGGACCGCATCTTTGAGTATTGTGGCTTGCTTGGGCTGCACGCAAACACAGTGGCTGGCCAGCTGAACATTTCACTGACATGATCGGACCGTTCCGGGCCGCTCCGGGACCACGCCCGGCTGAAATATGGGTCCTTCCGGAAGCATCACCGGGCGAATCACCTAGAGTGAACGAGGCATGATTGTTAACGTGATTGAGAAACAATTTTCATGTCTAAACAAATGGATATCTATGGAACAGACAGAAAGTAATTTTGTTACATGTGACTGCAGCTTTCCCTCCCGCAGAGAGAGCAAAGCTCCTTTTGAGCCACTACCACGTCTCTCCCTTTCCTTTCCAGCATCTCAATATCAATATTATAGTTCGTCTTTCCAATATTTGATTCCAGGTCATCTTTCGGAATCCCATAAGGGTTCATGGACCTCCACGAGAGGTCGTATGGCTGAGGCGACGGCGACGAGGGCTCGAGCACCTTGGGCTTGGAGCCACCGTAGGCGTACATGTCCCGGTACCTACGCGATGGTGGCAGGTCGTCCTTTGGGGGCACCGGGGGACCCTTAGGACTAGTGATGTAATCACGGACGTAGTTATCGCTAAATTGAGGCGGGCTGTTACTCCGTCCGAACCTCTGATATCGCCCAGCAGCCTTTGTCGGCTTGTCGACGCTGCCGTCCGAGGATGGGCTGCTGCCCTTGGATGGCTTCGGGGTAGTCCACCTCGCGAAGAGCGCGAAGCCCGGGAATTTCTTCTCGACTAGGTTGCGAATCATGGGCGCACAGGCGCAGACAACCACGACGCCTAGCTCAATTGTCGTCCACCATACAACGGGCGCGTAGTCCCATGTTGGGTCGATGGAGTTTCCAAACACTGCGAGAACCTGAAGACGGATAATGGTTGAAACGAAGCCGACGGATCCAAGGAGGAACACCATGGCGACCGAGATTTTCTTGTTCCGGTTCATTTGCAAGCCTGGAAGCATCGCTATCGGGAGGGCAAGGATGAGTAGGTCCTGGATGATAGCCAGGGCAGAGTTCGCGTAGGCGAGTTGGTTGACGTCGAGGCAGGCACCGGTGTGGATGTCTTTGTTCCAGAATAACTCTATCGGGTGACATGAGAAGATGGTGAGGAAGCCGATGACTACCTGGCCAACAACAAGGAATCCGATCAGGGTGTATGCGGCGATGCGGAACTTCGGCACGGTGAAGATTCTTAGATAAAAGACGACGAGGGAAAGCTTCGCGAACAAGAGTACAAAGACGTATACAATCTCGGCGGCGTACACTGCGAAAGTCAGCTAAAACTGGTCCGACGTAAGAACTAGATAGACTTACGGAGTCGTAGAATCTGCAGTAGACCACCCGATTTGAGGTCGTAAAGATGCTTCCCAAATCCTAAGCTTGACACTGTTGACAGTAAGTCGCATATCCAAGCATGTACTTGCGATTCAACTCACTCAGAATGATTGCAGATACTGGGGCAATCGCAATGACAATGGCCGCAATAATCAACGCATCGTCTAGACTCCACGTCTTTGCCAAATTTTTCGCAATAAGCCGCAAGACAATCGCAATGACGGCCGTGACATAGACGGTGATGAGAATGGCAAGAATTTTGCCAGTGTCAGATTCGTGAGGGAGATTGCACTGCGTTTGTTGTAGTTTCGCGACGTCTGATTGGCTCGTCAGTATTCCGGTCCCTCTACCCAAACACGTAGCAATGGCCATCATCACGTCTCTGGATGTACTCACCAAGGGAGTCTTGCATGGTGCAGTTTGCAATGAGGCATGGGCCGACGAGCTGACCCAAACCAGTGCTCGCACACGAGCACGTCGTGTTCGTGAGGTCGCATCCGACCCCTGCGATACCCTGTACAAGGCAGTTCAACTGAGGGCCAGAGTGTTAGTCAAAGTGGATTCCATTCCGGAAAAGCAACCGAGCGAAAGGAGCCTCCAACGTCAAATCGGACTTACACCGCATGTTGAGATATTGCTCAGATCAGGTAGCTGTTGCCTCGCGATCAAATGAACGTGTTCTCCCGCAAAGTACTCCTCCCCGGCTGTTCCTACGGCGCCGACAAACGACAGAGCAAATGTGATCCATAGCAAGCCAAGAGAGGCCGCTGACGATGTTGATAGCCGCATATTGAAAATCCGAAACGAAGTATCAGCTGCTTTCTTTTTTTCTGCCCTCGGCTTTTCACAGCTCCATATAGCTATGGCCGTCTAACACGAGCTGTATGTGTCCGGATCGACGTAGTTTCTCGGTACTGGGGCAAGGAGCCAAGGTCGCCAAGTCGCCGCACCGGGCGCGCATGTAACTGGAAGAATTTCCCGAGAACGAGTGTTCAAGAGAGCTATCCAACAGTCCCTTGTCTTTGTTGGAGGTTCGAGTTCGGTGGTAGTGGGGACGACGTTGGAGATGCATCACAAGCGAGGTGGGAGGAAACAACGTTATCAACCTTCCCACCCCTTCCTCTCCAAGGGGACCCGTTCGTTGCGTTTGCCCCATGGATCTTGACACATCAAGGATAACTGGTCTTTGCTTCAGATGCAAAAAATGACCACCCTGGCACTCTCCGGGAAAAGACGTCAAAGGGGGGTTCCGGGGCGGACAAAGCTCCCTCCCTGCTGTCTTCCCTACCCCCCTCACTTTCTTGCTGCTGCAGTGCTGCAAGAGCACCCTCCAGTCCAAGTGTTGCGAGGTTTTGTGGATGGGATGGAAATGGTCGAGGAAGCGGTGTGTGAGTATGTGCGCTATGTTCTGTGCGCTTACGAGCTGATTGGCCGTGTTTCTGACTTTCTGTCGATGTCCTCCCTCCATCACCCCCTAGCCTGAGTAGTCCTCCTCTGCTCCGCGCCTAGGGCTATACGAATATGTGATTGCAAGCTCAATGAGCAAAAGATCTGCCCAGACACTAGGTATCACGGTCATGTGGAGCTCCCCTGTCACTTATTTACCGGCATAAGCATATGTATAGACTCGACTTGGCAAATGTCCCCCAGCAGCTCTCGGCCTTTGAACCCGCGCCGCTGCATCACCAGTGGAAGATCTTAGAGTTCTGGCAGTAGATTCAAGCAACCATGGTGTCGGTTGTCATGTTTCACGGGACTAGGTCTGCAGGTCCATCCCGCCCTATCTCCTCAACCATTTAGCCGATCCGGAGAAGGTCCATCAAAGCGATCAGTGCGTCTTCCTCTCATTCTGTCTCTCCCGTCCACCTTTCGTCCACCTCTGCGTCTTGCTATCACACTCGCTCCGTCATCGATGTTACTACCCTTGACAAGCTGCAGGAACGCAGGGCCACAGAGTCCGTGTTATTGGAGGAGAAGGAAACGAAAAACGACCGTTCAGGTTCTAGCTGGTAGTCCATGCTGCTAGTGCCTCGGGCACACGGTGGCTCGGCCTATGGTTCCCCGCCACTTCGCGACCCTTGTCCCTAACCGGCTGCTGCTCCGGGATGTACGCTGTGATGTTTCACACAGCTCGAGTGTTTCGAAGCCGCCTTCGAGAAGGGCTGGCCAACAAACACAGCGCCCTCTCATTCGTTCCAATCAGCCACATTTGTTGCAGGAAAAGCTGCTACGTGAGGGAGGGAGGGGGAAAGTGTTTGGTCTGTGGTTCAGTGGTTGTCCCGTTCGAGTCTAAGCAGCCAAACTCTATTTAGACTCCGCCCATTCCTCTTTCACTCCCGCCCTTTCTCTGTGCTCCCTCATGTCTGTTCTCGAACTCTATGGGTCTCTTTCACCCTCTCAGATGTCGCTTCTGACGAGCATGTTGGGCCTAAGGTGATCCCAATGGTGCTTCGAGCTTGGTGTATTGATCTGTCTGCCTGCCTTCTCGAAACTTGGTTGACAGCAGACGAGCAACCTCCTCAATTTCCCCCGCCACGGCAGATATTGCTACTCGCCAGACTGAATCATTCGCATATCTTCTATTGGATACTGCCTATCAGGGATTCAGTCAGCTTTCATCTGGGACGGGAGCTAAATTGACTCATCTGTGGCAATCGAGCGAAATAGAACACCGTCAGTAAACGACCAGCAAAAGTTTCTCAGCGTACTCGGCCCTTCATCTCGTATTCTTTGTTTCTTCTAGAACCAGTCTTACACACACCACCGTGAAATCCTCTACGAACAGTCTGATCTCATCCTCTCAACAAGACACATCCTCCTCCCTCTCGAGTCTCCCGCCGGTAAGTGGGAGACCATCTGTATCCAAGCATTCTTTTGAGCCGAAGATTTGAATCTTCTGCTCGGAGGGACTACTAATCGGTATACATCTCCGTTCGGGCGAGATACGTTCCGCTGCGGGTTATGTGACGGAATCTCGAGCGCGAAATATCAGGCGAAATTTCTCAATGGCTGTCAAAAAGCATGATGTGATTGTAAGTTATGTCGAAACGATCGTATGTAGCATTGACAGCTGTGTGACGTGAGATCCAATCTGTCTATTGCGTGCAGATATGTGATTTTTCTGCCCTCCTGCAATCTTCGGCCCTTGAAATTGCTGCCTGTCTTTTCGCAACCTGTTTGGGCGCAGTATAAGACAGTCATCTTGAAGCTAGACGAGCAGTCTCAAGCTCGTAAATCCGAAAAGAGGAACCCATCATTGTACGAGAGCTACTCTGTTCAGCACTTTGCCTGCCGGAAGGCAAGTGACCCCAGCCTGCGGCAGGATTAGTGAAGCAAAAGCACAGCGCAGCCAGCAGACCAGTCGCCGCAGTCTAGGCTTGCACAAGAGATCGGACTTCGTCCCGCCCGGGTTGTTCCCTCGATTGCTGGCCACCACCTCGATGATGAAGATCTGTGCGTAAGGTCCAAGATTACTCTCAGTAACAAGGACATCCTTTGTGCTCTTATTCCTCGGAATAACTGGGCATAGAAGGAGACTTGAGGCGACAACCATTTAAGGTAGACCATGAAGATTTCATGCCCTTGAGACATTGTGCCTTATCTCCAGGTTCTCCACGCCTGGTCATGATCCTCAATGAGAATCTTCATGAGTATCCACAAGGGCCGGGTGCTCTCACTTACTGTGGTATGTGAGATGATAGTCACTCATGCCAGTCTCAAACCAGATTCCAGGGGCTGTACAGCCACATCTCGTGAATTTTAGCCTTTTCCCAATGTCTCCAAAGGACATGGGTCCTCGCGTTGACAACTCAAAGTGAGGTGATATTCAAAAGTAACTTGTAACGCTAATATCATGGGATTGGTTAAACTTCCCGGAATGCCTTTGATGACTAACAGCTGTTCAAAGCTTCACGCAGCCACATCAAAGTCGGCTACCACCCTTCTGTCAAGCCTGCGCAGCCTTCATGGCAGCGATACGGTGCTTGGTCCGCTCAACCACATTCTTCTCATCGTAGATACCGTTGACGCTGGGCGTATTGTTGACAGTCTGCGCCCACTTGTAGAAGCTGGGCGCCTTCTCCTCCAGCGATGTCAGGATGCTCTTAGGGATGAGCTCGTAGTTTGCAAACGAGAAGAGTCTCAGCGTGAACGAACCCGTGAGGACCTCGGCCAAAGTAACCTTGTCGCTGCCCCCAAAGTACGGCTTCGCGTCCTTCAGCAGCGGCTCAACCTCCTTGGCGATAACGTCAATAAACCCAGCCGCAATCTCATTCACCTCGGCTTCCGACTTTGCGAGCTGCAGTTTGAACAGCGACGAGTTGGCCTTGCTAAAGTACGTGTCGACGAAAAAGTTGATGCGTGCGCGGCGGAGGGCGGCGTCCTTGCTTCCCGCGGCGGGGACGAGGTGGGACGGGTGGGCGTCGGCGAGGAACTGGCTGACGATGGCGGACTCTGTAATGATTTCGCCGTCATAGGAGAGGGAAGGGACGAGGCCGCGCGGGTTGATGGCCAGGTACTCCTTTGTGCGGGGCACCGAGAGGTCGATGATTTCTTCCTCAAAGGGGAGGCCCAGTTCTGCGAGGGCGATGTGTGCACGGTGAGCCCCTGAAATTTTTTTGGGGGGTTAGCTGTCTGTGTATCTTGTCCTCTTTTCTTAAGGTAGGTAAATCTTAATTATTTTCGAGGGTGATGCGGTGGTTTGAGTCGTGAGACTTCATGAGGGGTTGGTATTATGTCTTCATGCTTAATTCTGCACGTGGCTCTCTGGGGTAGGTGGCTATGAGAAGAGGGGAAGAGGGGTTGAATACGAAGAGACGCAGAGGAAGAACGAGGATGAGGCTAGGGACTCATGTCACGTACATGGGCAGCCGTGGTTGGTGTACAACTTGATCTTGGGCGTGGCGGAAGACATTGTCAAGATTTGTTCTGATTCAAAGTGTCGATAAATTGGAGAGCTGCTAAACGTGTTGGGTGTCGGGAACTCGAGACTTGGCTTCTTGGCTTTCTAACTGAGAAGCTGTGGTTTGACTGGCGATGGTGAGGTTGGTGCGTATTTGAAGGAATCGAGTGTTGATAATTGATTACCAATGCAACAGTAGTAACACAATGAGGTCGGAAAGTTGCACCATTGAAAGACCGATGTCGTGATGCAACATGTCTCCCCCAGCGTCGAGAGAGGAGGGGGGAATAACCCCGCTCACTCGGTTGCTTGGCTCCAGTCCCCTTCTCTGAACTTCCGGCGGAGTTTACGGGGGAAGCAATCAAACATGGTTCACCCAGCTTAGAAATCAAGGGTCGGTGCTCGGCACGGATTTCACATCCGCAGATCTCTTCTCCCCGCTTCCTCACTGAGAGCCTCTCATTGCCTTTGCAATCATGCATTCACTGGATTCTGCAGTGATAGTGAGCGCAGTAGAACGTATCCGACTGGCCGATACAGATAAAGATGGCCCTCTTGCAGATGCTGGTTTATGTACTGTATCATAGATCATGATATCATCTGCCGTGTATTAGAGCATTGAAACTCCACACCTTCCGATGCGACGCAGACGAACCTCGTCCTTCAGTTCCCCATGCAAATAGGTCCCACTGGAAGAGCATCCGTGCGTCCGGAAATCAACATGAAGACCCTGAAGGTATTCCGATTCCGGTTCCTAGGGCTGAGACGAGGAGAGGTGGGGAGCTCTCTTCCGATGTGCCTTGGACAAGATCAATGTGAAGATCCCGCATGGCTGTTCAAAGTCCGAGACCATTGAGTTCCTTGGCAAGAATGAGTGAATACTTGCCGTCTGCGAGTGCGTCAGGGGAGGGGATCCTGATGGTCTAGATGCGTGCTGGCGAGCTCGGCAATCAATCGAAACAGCTCATGCCTGTCGGCCCATCCTCCTTGCGTACACTACGCAGACTACTGGATCGTCCAGTAACGGGAACCTGGATCGTGATCCCGGGAGTATGTTCCGGAGCATCCGATAAACCACGACCTTGGACGGATTGAGAACGATGCGTTCCTGTAACACTCGATTATCGCCAAGAGATATCTTTATCATTCCGTGCAGCCAACATGAGTTCGTAAGACGCATCGCCATCCCTCCAACTGAGCAACAACCGGGATAAGTAAACTTTTATTAGGTTCCTCTGCGAGACAGTAACCCGCAGACTTGGCAACAGCGGCCGTCTGAGACATTTCTATCGCTCATTAGACATAATGCAAAACTTTAGCTAATATTGTCCTGGATGACATTCTTCATAAGCTCGTGGTTGTGGGAGTAGTCAATCTCGACGTCGACGATGCAGACACCCTGATAACTCAACGCCTCCCTCATTACGGCATCCAGTTCCGACGAACGACTGACGCGCAATCCCTTGGCGCCGAATGCCTCGGCGTACTTCACAAAGTCGACCCCGCCCAAGTCGACGCCTGAGCTGCGGCCGTACTTGTCGACTTCTTGAAACTCCACCATGTTATACTTTCCATCATTCCAGATGAAGTGCGTGATGTTGCACCCCTGCTTGACGGCAGTCACTAGCTCTTGTCCGCTATAGAGAAATCCGCCGTCGCCGCTGATGCTTACGACCTTCTTGGAGCATGGCGGCTCCTGGACCAGAGAGGCTCCAATGGCCCATGGGAGAGCCACGCCGAGGGTCTGCTGAACGTTGGAAACAAGGAAGGACTTCGGGCTGTATGCGAAGTAAAAGCGTGAGAGCCAGATGTACATGCTGCCGACGTCCGATGCCAGAGTCGTCGACGGGGGCAGCAGGCCCTGCATGAGCTTAATGAAGTAGAGAGGGTGCACAGGACCGTCACCAGTCTGTCCCAGAGCCTGGGGACTCTGTTCCCAAGCGTGAAACTCTGTGAAGATGGCCTTTGCTATCTCGGACTCCTGCGGGCGGGAGACGTTTGCCAAAATGTCGCCCAGCGCCTTGACGTTGGCGGCGATGGCGCCTACGAGTTCGAGCTTCGGGTTGTAAAAGGCGCCGTAGTCGGCGGGAATCCAATCCAGGTGCAGAATCTCGAGGCTCTGGCTCTTGTGCCAGGCGTCGGCGTCGTACTCGGACTGATCGTAGCCCGCGACGATGACGAGATCGGCCTGGGAAAGAAGCTTGTCACCGGGTTGGTTGCGGAAGAGGCCGATGCGGCCGTAAAAGAGATGAGCGAGCTCCTGGCTGATTGAGCCTGCGGCCTGGAAAGTTTCGACGACGGGGATGGGGTGCTTGCGGAGGAAACTGTGGACAGCTTCGACGGCGTCTGGTGTTGCTGCCCTCGATCCGAGGAACAGGACTGGGAATTTTGCGTTTTGGATCATAGCCGCTGCCCTGCTCAGTGATGCAGACGGTGATGTGCCATACTGAGGCGGTATGAAGGCGCTCGAGGGCAGCGCAGGAATAGACGTCTTGGTTCCGACTGTCATGATATCAATGGGTAGGCTGATAGCTGTTGCACCCTGCGGGTACGCCGTAGCAGTTCTGAAGGCATCAAGCATAATCTCTGAGACTTGATCCGGGTGCACAGCGCCGGTGGTCTTCTTGGTGACGGGCTCGAGAAGTTGGACGCCTCTCAAGCTCTGATGTGTCTTCTTGGCAGCCTGCACCCGCTTAACATCGCCGACGATGGCAACAACGGGTGCACCCTCATCGTTGGCGGTCACGAGACCGGTGACAAGGTTGCTAGTTCCCGGGCCGGAGGTAGCGATACACACGCCGGGTCGGCCGGTGATCTTGCCGATCGCTCCGGCGATGAAAGCGGCATTCTGCTCGTGGCGGCAGACGACCAGCTGGATCTCGGGGCGGTCAATCAAGGCATTGAAGACGCTATCGATCTTGGCGCCCGGAACACCAAAGATGTGCTTGACGCCGGCGGCGACAAGAGAGTCGATCACGACATCTACTGTTTCTGAAGGCATTGAGTGACGGTGTGCTTGTTTGAGCGTGGTGTCAATTCAAGGAAGAGATTTGAATTCTGATGAATAATCCTGATTAGGATGAAAAGAAGTGAAGCATTAGGTGTGTGTTGGTCCAGTCCAGTTTAGTTGGGCTAGGAATGCTGAGGGTATAAGGTAGCCGCCTGTTTGCGTCAATTTCAGAGGGCCCTGCAAGAACGAGAAAATATCAAGTGGTCATGAGCAGAAACAAGAACTTCAGCTTCACGTTCACGATCACGATATCGGTCGGCGAGAAGCGGAGATGGAGAGAGCAAAAGGTGGAGATTGAAATGCCGCAAAGTTCCCTAGCGCTTGGCTTCCAATCGGCGAGATCTGACTTGTTGAGGAGCAAGAAGCACCAAAGTTCAAAGACCGAAGGAGCGAGGCGGTGATGCCGTGCGACTGACGTCAGCGCCTTCCCCAGGCAGTGGGACCAAAAGCGGCGCCTTCCATTTTCCACCTCATTGTGATGTCCTTGATGACTCAACCATCCAGCGCCAGGAAAGAGCCACACAATCGCAGCTTCCGTTCGCTGAAACTCAGGAAGGTCTCGCCCGCGCTTGTCCCGGAGCCGCCTTCCGTGCCCTTCCGGTGCCTCCGATCCGGCGGACGGGGAGGCAGGTGGGCGGGCAGGTGCGCTCCTTCTGCAGTCAGCAGTCAGCAATAGGGGGCCACTTTCGTGGCCAAACTCAATAGAAACCCCAAACTTTCGCTGCTCACTCACCACCGCACTCAACGTCTCACTTTCGTGACCACATCATCTCATTTAACAGCTGCAGCCTTACTTTATCCTATTTTTCGATACCCTGTGACTTCAATTCGACTTTCGCCGCAACAACAAGAATACTGTTAAACCATATCAGACACCATGGCAGTCAATGAAATATTCCAGTACTCCATCATCTCAGCCCTCATGGACGGCGTTGCTTCCAAGGGCCTGCCCGTCTCTGACCTCATCTCCCATGGAAACCAAGGTCTAGGAACGTTCCGCTACATGGTCGGCGAGATGATCATCCTCGACGGAAAGCTCTACCAAATGAAGTCGGACAACACCGTGACACCAATCGACACGAGCCCAGCCTCCGACGCAGTCGCCCCCTTCGCCATGGTCACCCGCTTCCAGCCCACGGCAACGATCAAGGCCGCTTTCAGCAACAAAAAGGAGCTCTTTAAGCACCTCTCCCAGGATTTCCCCGACTCGAAGAACTTTTTCCTCGCCATCAGGATCGAGGGTGTATTCAAGGGTATCACGGTGCGGACGGCCGGCGGCCAGAGCAAGCCCGGTGAGAGCCTGGTTGAGGTCGGCAAGCACCAGGCGTCGCATACGTTTGAGGAGCCGGTGAGGGGTACCGTCGTTGGCTTCAGGTCGCCAGAGTATACCATGGGCATCAGCGTCGCTGGTGACCACCTGCACTTCATCACTGAGGACCGGACTCAGGGTGGACACATTCTGTCTTTTGGTACGGACGGCGAGGTCGAGATTGGTGCCGCGCAGATTTCAAAGTGGCACGTCGAGCTGCCGACGAATGATCCAGAGTTCAATAAGGCCGCTCTGGAGGGCGACAAGGAGGGCATTGCTGCTGTGGAGGGTTAATAGTGGGCGTGGAGCAAGGTAGAAACATACGATAATCCTAATGATTGATAATCTCCTACCATGAACATTCTCGACATGGTTGCAATGCGAGAGGAGAAAAGAGAGAAGATACATGCAAGCAAATTCCGATTGGATTGGCAACTGGGTCATGGTCCACTTGTGAGAATCCTCCGAAGCAGGATACGCAACCTAAGCATTTAGGCAAGTCTCACTGGACACTCGACTGTGGGCTGCTTATGGATGCAAACTCACCAGTCACTTTTTTACAGGTCATCGTAGAACGAGATAGGTATGTTCTACTGAGCGATGTATGGATCTTCATCAGGGGGACAATATTTCAAGATCACGACAAGTCACCAGCACGGTCGAGCGGAAAGTTGAAAAATGACATATTAATTCATGTTCAAAGAAGGCAAATCCTTCTGTAGTACGATATACAGGTACCATCATCGGAGTGACCGTGATGACAACGCTATGCCACAAATGCAAATGTTCGCCATTCTATGGATGTCCCCGGGTAGTCCCAATGCCTTTATACCGATGCCAATTTGATGAGAAGTGTGTGAAAGATGAAGAGATCAACCAAGCCAAGCAACCACTTAGGAAGTGTAGCTGCAGCTGTTGGGGTCGGTAATCTGGACAGCGCGGACAACAACGCCAAGGCAGTCGGTGTTGCCGGCAGGGTTGGTGACACCAGAGGAAACCCAGACAGACCAGCTGCCCTCGATGCTGTTGGGGCAAGCCAGGAAGCTGGAACCGTCGAGGGTGAGGTCGCCGTACTGGTCAATCTTCCAGCCGGTGCGCTCGCCGTTGCGGGGCGCGGGCTGGGCGCCGGTGGTGTAGCCGAGCTTGCCCTGGCCCATGCCGGAGCGGTCGGCGTAGAGCTGCTGCGGGGTGGCGGAGGCGGCGTAGAGGTAGAGGCCGCCGTCGTCCTGGTTCAGGGTGAAGGTGGCCGAGTCGTCGTCCTCGGTGCTGTCGCAGGTGGCGTTCTGGTTGGGCAGCTGGAGGAAGATGGAGCTCTTGGCGGCCTGGAAGGTCGAGAAGTGCACCTCGCTGGCGGAGCGGAGGGCCATGAGCTGGAACTTTGCGTCGGCGGGCAGGCCGGGGGCGGTGCCGTTTGTGGTGCCGTTGTTCTGGCGGGTGATGAGCTGGGGGACCGCGGCGCCGGAGACGGCGGCGATGAGGGAGGTTGCAACGGCGAGGGTGTTGGTGAACTGCATTTTGATGGTTGTGTGTTTGAAGTGACTGTGGGTGTAAAGACTGATGTGGTCGGAGGATTACTTTGTGATTAAGATTGTTGGTTGTTGAGTGTGATGAGATAGAGTCTTTTGAATGTCGTTTGAGAGTGGGATCCGTCGGTCGTCTTATATCTCCGGTTGACCATCACAAAATGCTGGTTGCTGCGGTGCCACCATAAGGCTCCAGTAGTCCAGGGGGCCCCGTTTCGATGATCATCTCGTAATCATGGGGTGCAGAGAGCGAGGTCGCGTTGGTTGCGCCAGTCCAACCGGTGCCCAAAGTTGAGTGTGTGCACTGCCGGAGCGAAGATCTTCTCGTAATGCCGGCCAGGGATACATGCGGAGCCCGATTGACATCATGAGCCCTGCCTCTTGTGGTTTGCAGTGGAGTCGCGGACAAATACGAGAGGAGCCGCCTCGCAGGGGGAGGCGAGGGTAAGTGACATGGCATGGCACCCTCGGAGAGACTTGGCGATGCGGCATCCCGCCTCCTAGCGCTGCCGTCTGCGCCGTCCGCGAAACCCGTTGCCTCTGCCCCGAGGTTTTGGTCGACCTCGCATCCTCGGTCTCTGCACGTTTACCAACCAAGTGTGTGTGGATGGAGAAGTTGAAAGCGCCACAACCGGCGGCCTCGGGAGGACGGAGCCGGCCAAGGAGCAGGTGAGGATGCCGATTGGGTCGGTTCTCTATTTAGCACAGCCATTGTCATGGATGATGGATGAACCGGTGGTCCCTATTCGATACAAGAACAAAAAGATGGGGAAAGTAGAAGGGAGAAGAAAAGAGGCAGAGTTGAGAGCGGGAGGTTGGCGGTGGCTGGTTCTGCTGAATCGCTCACAAACTCAACCACAAAGCTGCGCCCCCCAGCCACTCAGAGTGCCAGGCCAATATCAGTCGTGTTATGCTGTAACCAGCACATACCACTCGGTGCCTTAACATAGGGCAGAGGTGGGCTGTGATGTCACAAACAAACGACCGACTGCCCCACGTCCCCTATTTTCAGACATTTTAGGCATTTTAGACAGGAGCCGTCTCTTTGGGAATTGTCTTGGCTTTCCTCATGGCGACATGGCTGAGGAGCTGCAAATAGTCTAACTCCCCGGGAGGCAAACGACTAGACGGTGTGGGCCAAGGGCCGTAACGTAGCATGTCACTCTTGCTCAAGGCAGAGCCTCCGGAGCTAGGGAAGCGAGAGGTAACCCGTTTCCCGACCGATGAACACATTTTACATAAACGAAACGGCCAACAAGGCAACCAGAGAAGAGAGAGAGAGGCGACAAAAAGTCAAGAGTCAAGGACGCTAAAAAGTCGGTCACTTGCTCCCAGTCAAGGGTCCATCAAAGTGAAACTGACGCCAGCCCAGCGTCGCTCTCGATAACGCCGATGAACCTTAACCTATTAATAGCCGAGTCACGGGCTGGCAAAGCCAGGTCGATCCGCTAAAATCTCTTTGGGTGCTAGGCGTGCTTTTCCGGAGAATATTCCACAGCTTCTTCCAGCAGCTGCTGCGTCAAGCGCTTGGCAGACGCTTAGCTGGGGGGCGAATTCACAGCGACTCGTGCGCTTCGTAGAGAAAAACACGGCCCATCGTCATTGGGATTCTTTCCATAGCGTTGGGCAAAACATTGACAGAGACAACAACGAACTTGTCTGCAAGCAAGACATTCTCGGTGTGTCGGTGCGACTCAACCCTGTCGCTGCCCTGGAGGCTGCTGGAGACTCGAGAGGCCTTTCAGTCCGATTCATGGGTCACTGCAATGGCCTGATGGGAAATCCATCGAAATGGCTCAAGGGCCGTGTTCGGACGATCTACTGCCCCAGAAGCTTTCAAGTTGGGACGAGACGTGGAGACGTTGTTCCCACCTTTATCCTGCATTTACCCAGTTATTCCAACCTTGATGCGTATTTTTATTTCTTTTCCACCTCCTGAGCCCCGGAAACTTGACAAGCGAAGCATTCGAGCCATATCGAGAATATTGGAGACTATTCTAGAACGGCACAACGGCATGGGCATGACCGAAGATTGTGTTCATCGAATCTACATAGACGGTGTTATATTCGTCCGGTGGTTATTTTTCCTGGTCTCCACTTGTGATCTACCTGTCCCCCCGGAACATGATCTTGATTAAGTAGTGTAGATGATCCATGACAGCACCAACAGCGTCTCCAAAAATATCCAGGCTTAACAGCACAGTGTGTCGATCACCAATCCAAATTGACCATGATGGACCAACGCAAGAAAAGAAAAAAAAAAGTGTCAAGCACTATGTTTAAATTCGCGCATGATATGGTCGATCATTTCTCGTGAAGGTAATGCTCGGCCGAGAAGAAGTTTCACAGGCTGCATGCAGCCCGCTGCCCAGTCGTAAGATAGGGATAGACACGGGGTAGGCAGAAGAAAACATGGTTGGGTGCAGGTGCACGAGGTGCTAGGGAATAAGGCTGGCGTGTTGCCAACGCCGAGGGCACATCTTGACTCAATCATTGGGACTCAATCGATTTTGTGTTGTTGATTGATGTTGCGATCATCCCGTCTCTCATGATTGTGTCATCAGAATTCGTGGTGAAAGTCCTCTCGAGGTTTTCTAACCATATCGGCGTGGACCTTCTTCGTTGCAGTCTAACTTTTCTGAAAATTGTGATATACCATCTACCGAGATGAATGCAAAAACATAACCGGGAACACAAACTGTCGTCTCGAGACGTCAGAAATGGTGCGGTTCTGATTTGTCGTTCGGTTGCCGTGTGCTGTGAGAAGTAGATTTTGAAAAGAAATTCAAGGACATTGAACTTCCGATCCATGCAGTGTAGGTACTCTATTGCTTCATGCACTTCGCCAGAAGACAGGCATTGCTTTCGTGAACATAATGGTTGCCATGCTGGCATGACCTGCGCGGGAAAAGCGTCCGAAGCCCCGGAGCATCCAATGCACCTTTCCTTCGCTTGATGAAACTAATCCACCTCCGTATTGCGCTGCAAATAGTCCTTGTGTAGAGACGGGATTACCGATGTCCTGGACTCCTGGTCGCTGACAGGTTTACAGAGCAGGCTTGCTGTCTGCATCTCATCTGGGCCCTGGTATGTCAGCTTCAAGCTCCTAAGGAGTAGGCGCGAGAAGCCCTCCAGGAAGGTGAGAGGGGCTAGGGAGCCTGACTACCGACACGAACATCGACACTGCTCCATAGCGGCGACGCAGAGTTTTTTTTCGTGTTCGGGAGACGGCGTCAATGGCCAAAGGTACGAAGCCTTATCGTGTAGACTACATGTACGGATACAACGGCCCTTCGTCTTCCACTCGATCTTGCTATCTCTCATCTGAGCATGTTTTCTTTTGGATATTAGATCTTGTTAGCTGAATTTCGCTGCAAATCACTTGATCATGAAAGTTGCAAAATTCTATTTCGAGGTCAAATATGTCAATTACATGGTGCTCACTTTCACCGTCAAATCGATAGGCACGATTGGAGACTTTGCTTTTTACTTCGGAAATCATCTCGCGCTCTCAGAAATGAAGGGAGTTATGCTACACTCTTTCCAAGATTTGAGTCCTGTGCAATCAAGCTCGATGGTTCCGGTTGATTCAAAGAAGAGTTTCATGGAGGTTCTTTTGCATGGAATGATCTTTCCTAAGATTACTCAACCATCATCATGATGCATATGTTGCTACAACGCGGAATTTTCCATTGCATTGTCGTGCTGGGAAAAAAAACCGTGTAGCAACAGTGGTACGTCAATCCGACTCGGTTCTCTCTCCGTTGCTTCACAATCAACTAACTTTGACGTGATGGACCTTTAGAGACAATCGACATGCGAACTGGTAGCTCCACGCAATTAATTAAACTTTATAGCAAGCTCAAATCGAACCTACGGGCTTAGAATCTCTACAAGGCGACAAAAGACCTTTTTTCGATTCCTCCACAGTCTGCAACCATGTCTGAACCTCGGGTAGACTGCTTTTTTTCTACACGAACATAAACACCAGATGCGCGGTTTTGCATACATGGACTTATAGCTCGATGAGCAAACTTACCATCATCTTCTTATTATCTATCCCGCTACATCCGCATGTCGAAAAAATCCTCTCGAGTATTACCGAGCAGCCAAATATGTCACGTGCTGGTGGAGGGCCAGACCGACAAGTTACAACGTATCTTTCATTTCGGAGACTCATTCGTACAAATTGGGGTTGCTTTCTTGAGATTCGCTCAAGCTCTAGGATGAAGATGATATTGATGTCCATGGTCGAAGGCTTCTGGCGTGTAAGACATCTCGACTTGTGCCACGAGGAAGTTGGCAAGCACCTCCAGACCTCAGAGTCCGGACTGGAATCAGGGCAGGAGGCGAGCAAAAACATTACACTAGCTCCGAATCCGCGGTGGTGGATAGAAGCATTCTCACGAGCAGCTGCGGAGGCCCATCTACAACTGGAAACATCGACTCGGCAGGATATTACATATACCGAGGCTAACCGGCAGGAACACCTCAAGAGCAAGGACGAGCTCTGAAAGGCTAGCAAGTCTTGAACTATTATAGGTAGCTCTGTGGCCTGGGCCTCGGCTTATCTTGCGGGGAACTGCGCCAGGTATTTGGCGGGGTGTGTTGGTGCTTGGTGGCTTGAGGAGCTAAGCTTTTGCGGAAAGCTGACGCTTCCAGGCTCTCTGAGACCAACCAGCGTCTGAAATTGTAAGGATTCGTCGGAGTGATTCCTCAACTATCTTTGAGTTTGATCACCCACAGCTCCTAACTTGTTGTAACAGACATAGATATCATTGCAGACAACGATGTGTCTTTCTGATGTAGATGTGGAGGTGCCGGACTCAGCATAGCATTGTAGATGGGAATGCTTTACCGAGACATGCAAGTCATCTGTACATGCACTACCTACAGGGCCCACAAATCTCGCTATGACATAGCTCTCGACCTGAGATGAGGGGAAAACCAAGGGGCGTTGAGGGAAGCTTGATCAAGTCTCAGTGCATGTGGATATGAGGGGTCAAGCTTACCTGTGTAATTCATCCTTCCATCACGTCCATAGACCTTTCCACTGGCCCCCAAAGCGCCCTCAACATGACTCAAGATCGCAAACCTCCAACCGTCAAGCTCGCGGAGTATCTCTTCACTCGCTTACACCAGCTCGGCATAGGTGCCATCCATGGTGTTCCGGGAGACTTCAACCTCTCGTTGCTCGACTATGTCGAACCCGCAGGGCTACTATGGGTCGGCAACGCCAACGAGCTGAATGCAGGATACGCCGCCGATGGGTATGCTCGTATCAAGGGCGTCGGGGCACTCATCACGACATCCGGCGTTGGCGAACTCTCGGCTATCAATGCTGTCGCCGGGGCGTATGCTGAACGCGCAGCCGTGGTTCACATTGTTGGCACGCCTTCTAGGGTCTTACAGGATAGCCGGACCCTGATGCACCACGGCTTCAACGATGGAAACTACAGACGGTTCGCGGAGATGCATTCTCACGTCACTGTTGCGCAAGCGAACCTTAGAGATGCATCGTCGGCACCGCGTCAGATAGACGAGGTACTGAGGCAGTGCCTGGCCCAGAGCCGTCCGGTCTACATTGAAATTCCTCAGGATCTGGTTGTCGTACCTGTTTCGGCCAATGGGCTAGATACACCGATTCAGCTGCCCGATGCTGTGCCAACATCGGCCGATGAGGCTGCTCTGACAGCAATCATGGAAAAGATTTACGCTGCGAAACATCCCATGATTCTCGTTGATGGAGAGACGAGGCCGTTGGGTATCGTCGAGCAGACCGAGGAGCTGGTGAAAGCCACAGGTTGGCCTACCTGGACTACTGCTTTCAGCAAGTCACTGGTGGACGAGAGTCTGTCAAACTACCACGGTATCTACTCGGGTAGATTCAGCGATCCCGCCGTCAAGACGTTTGTCGAGAAGGCGGACTTGATCCTGTGCTTTGGCCCTCACTTCAGCTCGACAAACACTTATGCTTTCTCAAGCATACCGAAGCCGGAGTTGACAATCCTCTTTAGCGACAACATCAAGGTGGCGGACCAAACATTCCGCGATGTCACCATTAGAGCGGTAGTCAGGTCCCTCCTCGAAAGACTCGACAAGTCCAAGATTCATCAATATGCTCCTTACCCAGAACTTCCCAAAGACCATGGCAAAGAGTTCTCAGAGGTGGCGAGCGAGGGGAAGATAACTCAGTCCAAATTTTGGCATCTCACGTCCAGTTTCGTGCGTCCAGGTGACATCATATTCGGGGAGACAGGAACGGCCGGTCATGGATCTCGAGTCTTTTCCTTACCGGCCCATACTAGAATGTTCCTCCCGACAACCTGGCTTTCCATCGGATACATGCTTCCTGCTGCGCAAGGCGCTGCCTTGGCGCAGCGAGAACTGGTCGAGTCGTCCAAATATCACGAGATTCAGGAAGCACGCACGATTCTTTTTATCGGCGACGGCAGTTTCCAAATGACCGTTCAGGAGATTTCGACCATAATACGCCACAAGCTAGAAGTGATCATCGTCCTTCTCAACAATGATGGATACACCATCGAACGATGTATACATGGGTTGCATCAGTCCTACAACGACGTTGCCCGCTGGCGCTACTTGCAGGCGCCAGGTTTCTTCGGAGGCAATCCAGAGACGTATACAGGCTCCGCAAAGACCTGGGGTGAGCTAGAGAAAGTGTTGAAGGATGACAATCTGAAGGACGGGAAGGGCTTGAGAATGGTGGAAGTTTTCATGGACTCTGATGACGCGCCGGAGGGCGCACTGCTTGACTTACTCCAGAAAGAGAAGAAGAGAATTGCAGATAGCCAATGATAGGTAGGGCAGGTAATAGATGATAAGCGTACTAGAAGAAACTTCCGATTGGCTTCCGACACGCGATTACTTTGAAGACGATGTAGACAGCAAGTCTAGAGAACACAGCCCTGCTTATTGAACTTTAATGCTGCTCTCCATGAGGGTTTCCAAGTATATAGCGACAAGTTGCCGCTCACATGGGGGCAAAACAGTAGAAAATGGAATGTGTATTATAGACGTCCACAATTTGGGCTTCGCGTGTTGCGGCTCTGTAGCATGCGTACTTCATTATCTGCGGTCTTTCTCGATGGATGCTTACCTAGTCGCCTTTAAAAATGGCTTGTTGAGCCTTTGAATCTATTATTACGGAATATACTTGATGCAAGTTCCTTTCCGAGCTTCCGATGACAAAATGCGGGGTGATCGGCAGTTGCGAAAGTGATACATTAAGACAGTGAAGCCGGCCCGTGTGGGAGCGTATCTCGGAACCGGAAGTGTTGCCTTCGAGGATGTTGACCACTTAAACAATGCGGAGAGATCGGATGAACAGTGATTTGCTAAAAAGGCGCCGATACAGCGCGATGCTGTCCATTTTGCCTCCGGCATCTGCGAATCCTTAGGCAACGGACAATTCAGTCGTCAAACCAGTGACCTCACCGAATACCTTACCTTTCTAACTCAGTAGGTAGAGGCGGTTGCATCGTCATTTCACAGCGAAAATGGCCATCATTTCGGAAACCGTAGCATTCGTTTCAGCTCATCTTCCAATTCTGATCGTTGCAATTGTGGCGATTCACCTGCTCCGAAATTTCACAACAAGAGGTGTTTCCAAGATACCGGGCCCATTCCTGGCCAAAATCACTGATATATGGAGGTTCATTGATGTGGCGCGCGGAAAGGCTCATGAGACACACATCAAGCTCCATGCGCAGTACGGACAGTACGTACGACTTGGACCGAACCTGGTCAGCGTCCAGAATCTAGAGGCCTTGAAGACAATCTATGGTGTGAATAAGGGATATCGTAAGGTAAGTTCGAAGTGTCTCGGAGAATTCGTGGCCTCTACTGAAAGACTCTTTCTAGACCGAGTTTTATGCGGTACAGCAGCAGCTAGCCAATGGCAAGCCGACGCAGACACTTTTTACAACCCTTGATGAAGACTTCCATGCGAAAATCAAAAGACCTATCTCGAGTCTTTATTCTATGAGTACTCTGACAGAGTTCGAGCCCTTCGTCGATAGCACGATAGAAAAGCTACTGGAGAAGTTGGACGAGTTTGCCCACGCTGGACGGGAGCTAGATCTCGCGACATGGCTCCAGTATTGTAGGTGTCACAGCCCAGTGAAGTGATTTCAACCCACGTAGCTGACACCAATGTGTCTCAATTTAGATGCTTTCGATGTGATTGGAGAGTTGACCTTTGGCAAGCCGCTCGGCTTTCTCGATCAGGGCCAAGATGTCGGCGACGTGATGCTTTCACTGGAAAAGATGGTTGACTACGCGGGAATGGTGAGCTTTGATGGAAAACAAGATGAGTAGTAAGTCGCTGACAGAGCGTATCTCTAGATTGGTCAAATACCTTGGTTGGATCATCTCTTCATCAAGAACCCGATCAAGCGCAAATTTGGTGGTGGGTCGACCGGAGCTGTCGCTCAATTCGCGCACCAGTGTCTCGAGGAGCGTCTCCATCGGCCCGAGGGAAAGATAGAAAACCCGTCCCACCGCGACTTCCTCGCTCGCTTCTTGGAAACCAAGAAAACGCACCCACAGGTTGTCGACGATCGTCAGGTCTTCTCGTGGACACTCAGCAATGTCAACGCTGGGTCTGACACGACAGCAATTTCACTGCGAGCGGTGCTCTATTATCTCCTCAAGAATCCCTGGACTTTGAACAAAGTTATGAAAGAGATCGTTGACGCCAGAGAAAACGGGAAGATGTCATTGCCCGTAACTTGGAAGGAGAGTCAAGAGCTGCCGTACCTAGATGCGGCTATCAAAGAAGCGCTCAGGCTTCATCCCGCAGTCGGCCTACTCCTTGAAAGAATAGTTCCGAAAGCCGGTATCCAGCTTCCTGATGGTCCATTCCTACCTGAGGGCACCGTTGTCGGCATCAACCCATGGGTCATGCATCGTCATCCTGCATTCGGCGATCATCTGGAGTCCTACGTGCCGGAGCGATGGCTTCAAGGCGAACACGAATCCATGGAAAGTTATGAAATTCGGAAGGCAGAGATGCAAGGAGCGACTTTCACGTTCGGTGCCGGACCACGTACGTGTATCGGCAAGAATATCAGCTTGCTTGAGATTTATAAAGCGATTCCGACTCTTCTCTATACTTACGATGTAAGAAAAACACCCAACACTGGTAGAGATCAGACTAACAGTTCCGCACCTATAGATCAGCTTGAGCTATCCAGACATGGAATGGGATACTGTGAACGCGTGGTTCGTGAGACAAAAGAACATCCATGTCAAGTTGACCAAGTCCGGCAGGAGTTAAGATTTGTGGATGCCAATCAATCCATGATTAGCCTGACCTATTGGCCCTTAATGGCATTGAACGTTGACTGAAATGGCTTGTAGTCTTCTGATTACAGATCATTGTAGTGCCGGTAACGTGACTAGGAGTTTGGACTTCCTAATGAGTCCATTACAGTCTCGTAATCTTTATCATGTTGTATGAGTAATCATGCACAGGAAAGAAAGTAACATCCCGCCGGTTTCTTTTGTGTTGCATCGTAGATCAGTCGCTTGCTTTTGCTCAGAGGCCCCGCCACAACAGCCGTGGACTGAACAGCGCGGTGGATAAAGTGGGTAATTACCGATGGGATAGCCAGGTTTCAACACAGGCACGAGTCTTGCTACGCAGTCTGCAGAAGGCACAGGAGTAGTCATTCACATCGACCTTTCATGTCCCATGGAGATGTCTGAGGCATTCTGCCACAATCAGGATCGATCTCTACGGCAGGTTCTCTTCACTGAGGATATACATCCCAGGGCCTCAGATCCACGCTTGTGGCTTCACCCGTTCGTTCAGCACCTCGAGCGCATACTTCATCATGACAAATAAGCGTAAGAAGACTGGGTGCCTGGGTTGCAGAAGTAGGAAAAAGAAGTGCGACGAAACCCGTCCCGACTGTCACTTCTGTGTTGCGAAACAGGTTGAATGTATCTGGCCCGACAATTGGCAAGAAGTCAAGACGGCGCCTGCACACAATGGTGGGTACAGCGGGCAATTTTGGCTACAGAATGATCTTGGAAGTTCTGACAAGCTGATTCTGAATAGCGATGGTGCCAAATACCTCAAGGAGGCGGCATAAGATCCAACACAGGGATCTGTCGACGGCCGATTCAGGTATTATCTATGAGCGCGTTGCCCATGGTCCCACGAGGGTGGCGGATGAGATTGTGTCGGAGTCTGTCAATCAGCATATCTCGTCAGTAACGGCAGCCGACGATCACTCTATTCTCGATGTCCCGTTGGTGAGCGGACCGTCGTCACTGGAAGGGAGATTGAATCCCACTTCCTCTGGGATTGCCTCTAAGTCCATGCCAGATAGCGCAACCCTCGCCGCCCTCATCAACATATCACCAACGATACAACATATTCCATTCATTTTGAACTCGACCCTGAAATCAGATACCGAAGATTTTCAGCTGCTGTTTCAGCACTTCGTCTTACAATCGATGCCATCTATAGCGCCTGATGACGTTGACTTGGACCTGTTTCTCAAGTACACTATGCCTTTAGTCCTCGCCGACGATCTGGTCATGCGAGCAGCCCTCGCCCTGAGCAGCGCAAAGTACATGATGCGAGACCCGACGAACAAAGCGCTGCATCTCTCAGGGCTATGCCACTCTAGAGTTATGGAGGCCATCAGGACTCGGATCACTATTTGCAAAGCTGGGCTGGACGAGCGGCCTGTGTTTCTATGCGCAGCCACCATACTTATGGCTGTGCTAGAGTTGACGCACGGCAGCACACGAAGTCACCATATAGACTTTGCCACTCATCTTATACTCAGCGTCCTTCCCTCTTCCGTTCCTCAGATTGATCGGACCCTTTACAGGTTCTTGCTCAGGGCGTGCATTTATATACGAGCCGAGACATGGGGGTGCGAGGGCCCCACAGGTCTGCCCTCGGACGTAGAGAAGCAGATGGCGAATATGTTCCAACTTGCCGCCAAGCTTGAAAGTATGGACAATGAGGGAGGAATAACAAGTCAGATTGGCCTACTCCAGACAGCCTTCGTCACAGGCCTGTTGGTTGTGCCGCAACTCGCGCGCCTTTCAGTATCTAGGGAATACCCTGAGGACGACATTCAACGCGCCGTAGAATTGGCAGCGCTCGAGTCGCAGATTATGTCGTGGCAACCTCCTCCTGGTTCCAAGGCGAGTGATAACGTCCGGAGAGTCTGGGGTCTATGGCGGGCAGGTCTCCTGGTACATCTTTACACATCCCCGGTGGCACAAGAAGTTTGCCATACGTGGTGGAGAGAAAAGAGCAACACTTGCATTAGCGAGTTCATTCAGAGACTCAAAGATACACCTCGGAGTCCCAGAGGCCTCTCAGTGCTCTCATGGCCGCTGATAATGGCAGGGTCGTTTGCTCAGATCACTTCGCACCAACAGTTGATTCGAGACACGTTGTCTTCTATCTCTGAGCGAACAGTTTCGAGATTACCAGTAAAACTAGCGGAACGACTTGAAAGGCCAAATTCTCGAACAGGTAGCCTAGTGGTATCGTAGATATGGCTTTTCCTGAGACGATGCTGTGGAGGCCAGTATGGCTCTCAGTCAGACAATGCAAAGAAGGCACCTGAATCTGTCGCAGAATCTGGGCATCGAGATGTGTAATAGGGTTCCTTCGTCCAGGCGTTATGGTGTACCCCTCTGGCCGCGCAAGTCGTTAATATATCAAGCTTAAATTTCACATGGTTTTCAGCATACTAAAGTGATGTGTGGCTGAGCCTCGCCTCCACTGCGGCTGGAGAAAAACCGGCAGGTTGACTAAGCCCAATAACTCATGCATTGCGGGTGGGGTTAAGGCCAATAACCCTCTCACTTGAAGTCGTGGTTTCAATGTCATCAACGCTGCTACACGAACACCATTTGATCAGGAAAGTAGAATTGAACCCAGCGTAACAATTATATAATTGTGCAAAATTGCCACAATTGAGTCTCTCCAATGATGAGTTCCCAAGGCAAAGAACCTCGGAGCCATCAGAGCTATTTGCCCTTGATCAACAAAGTCGACAAGTTGAGTGACTCAATCACCAAAATCTCCCTCAGGAATTGGATTGAATCTCTAACTGCCCTCCAGTGTTCCTCTGGAGTTTGACTTCAATACTCTCTACAAACTCTTTCTACCTTGTGATCCGAGGCCCCATGGCTTCATGGTTCAAAGCACGGTAGAGCGTCTTCCGTGGACCCCGGAGTTCCACGTCGACCACGACAAGCGCACAGTACACCTGCACGACTTCGTTATCAAAGATGACGAGGACCCCGGCAAGGCATGCACATCTGCCTTCCAGCGCGTCGTCGACGCCGCAATTACGTCTGACTCTTTCCCCTCACTGAATAAGCTCCACAGCGAGCATTTCAGGATCATCGGCGCGAATCACTTTGTCTCGATTGAGCGATTTCCTGCACCTCTGTTCGGCATCTCGTCCCGCGGGGCACATATGACGGCCTATATCAAAACGAGCGAAGGGATGAAGATCTGGGTACCGAGGCGGAGTGCACAGCTCTTCACTTTCCCGAACCTGCTGGATACCACTGTCGCAGGCGGCGTCAAGGCTGAAGACTCGCCCTTTGACTGCATCATCGCCGAGGCGACGGAGGAGGCGTCGCTGCCCGCGGACTTTGTCAAGGAGAATGCTCGAGCTGTTGGGGCGGTGACGTACTGCAGCTTGAACAAGCAGAGGGGAACCTTTTTCCCGACTGTTCTCTATGTCTACGATCTTGAGCTGCCCGAGTCAATCGAGCCTCAGCCGGGCGATGATGAGGTTTCCGGGTTTGAGCTGATGACGATTGACCAGGTCAAAGACGTCATGCTGGGTGAGCAGTTCAAGCCCAACTGCGTTCTGGTCATGCTGGACTTTTTCATTCGCCACAACATCATCACCTCTGAAAATAACGATGAGTATCTGGAGATTGTCACTAGGATGCGGCGGCATCTTCCGGTACCAACCAGTCCGGAACGAAGACGGTAGACAATAGATTGCGAGTTCGCCGAACCTTCAGCGAGCTGGGTTGTAAGGGATGTCTGGTTCAAACGGATGCTAGACTCGAATCATTGTAGATGATCCATTGGACTAGAATTCAAAGACTCTGGGTTGTTTGTGATGCTGATTGTCGGAAAAGTGGCCACACCCAGTACTTTAGATTTATTGCTTGCGAATGAACTTCATTGAACCTTCCTTGATGATATTTGCCCTTTCTGTTCCGAATACTTTGCGACTAAGCGCAGGTGTTTGTGAGCTAGATGAAGGAGCTGGACGGTTGCCTGCCTGATGTGTAGAAATCCCTGGAAGGTGGCTACCAAGCTAACTAAGGTGTATGTAATTGGTCCCTGAAAACAGCGTGTTTCTTAAGCTCGCCTAGAACGCGACTCTGTCGACAGTGACTGTTTGGTCAGATTAGTCTGCTTGTCTCTTCTATAACAACTGCCTCCGTACTGAGGCATTATCAGCATACACATATCTAGGTTGAACGAATCGTAACGGTGCCAAATGCTATCAATGAACTCATTGACGAGCAACAGAAGCTTTGGTATCGTAGCAAGTTGTCTTTGGCATACTCTCAATGCAGGGAGCTGAAATGATGCGGACGGCGGGTCCTCGACCCCTTAATTTCACTTCGTAGTCATTTACTTAGAGGATGAAATAGTACATGTATGGTCATATAGTTTATGTATCTTGTACTTGAGAGAGGACTTGAGGCAGGTTTCAGAACCGAGATGTGCTTTGCTTCAAAGTTTCTTGCAAAGTCTCGTGTTATACTCGATCTCTTCCCAATCTTCTGTACCAGGTGTCGCAATGGCGTAGAAGATACCATTGGGATCCCACTTCTTACGCAACTCAAGCAGCGTAGGGTAGACAGAGCCCCAGAAAGCGTCTTGCCAGTTGGGCTGGTAGGGATCAGCCTGACGACATGGTTAGTCAATCGTCGTCCTACTATGACTTAGTTCAGCAGGACTCACCTCGTTGACGTAGGTACATCCATCAGGACCAGCCTGTCTCAAGGCCTCATCCTGAATGTTAGTCAAGACGTCTTGTAGGTCAGCCTTCTGTTCAAGACTGGCGCCAATGGGTACTGGTATGACACTGATGATAAAGTTGGTCGCGTTTCTGAAGGCTGGATGTGTCGCACTGTTTGCTATCGGCCATGCATGACCAGCATTCCAACTGCCCAATGTTAGATTCACTCCAGAGGCGAAGGTCGGGGTACTCACAAATGTCCCACCATGAAGCCAGATAGGCCTTCTCGCGGGGTGGCAACAGTCTTGAAAGCATCGACGATCTGGTCGTTACGCTTCTCAACATCAGTGTGGCTGAACATCCACCCGCCAGTCAAGGCGTGGGTACCAGCCTGCTCGTCTAGGAAGAGGTCCGTGTAAAGAGCGAAAAATGACCCGAAGCCTTTGGTGGAAGACTCAAAGGGGACGTTGTTGGCCTTGAGCTCATCGAGCATAGGCTTGATAATTGCATCGAGTTCCCCTTGTGTCTTGCCAAACGCTACAAACGGTTGCACATTGAGCATCATCGAACCGAGCTCCCAGTAAACGTACAACCCACTGTCGACGAAATGATTGGACCATTTGTGGAACACGCGCACTCCCTCCCAGAAGGTCGTCTCGTTGACCCCGCTAGTCCCATTGATGTACAGAACACCGCCGGCTGCCTTTTCCTCGGGGTACGTCCGGAACGTCACCGAAGTCACAACGGCGTATGAAGAAGGCCCACCGCCCTTGAGGCCGAAGAAGAGATCCGCATTCTCGTTCGCGTTGGCGGTAACGTACTCGCCTTCGGCGGTGATGGCCTCGAACTCGAGTGCGTTATCGGCAGTCATGCCGTGAAGCGTCGTCAGAGGGCCGTGACCGCCACCAGCAACGAGACCTCCAGCGACGCCTACGGTGGGGCACTCGCCAGTGACGACGACGACGGGAGGGTCTTGGGCGTTGGCCGCCCTCAGTAGGGCGCGGCCTTGGACTCCGGCGCCGAGCGTGACAGCGCTGCCGGAGTAGTCACCCGGGCCGGTCCACTGCTTGGAAAAAGTGATGTCCTGGAAGCTGTGCGTATTGATTATGAGAGCGCCCCAGCCCGTACTGCGTCCGATGAAGTCGTGGCCTGTGTTACGGATGATGAGGCGCAGGTTGTTGTCCCTCGCAAAGTCGATACCGGCTTTGATGTGTTCCTTTTTGGTTGCCCCGATGACATAGACACCATAGTTGCCTAGCGTACAAGGCTCTTCGGGGTTTTCAGTAGGCTGGCATGTCGAGTTGGTGAAGTACTTCCACAAATTAAGACCGAGTTGATCAGTTCTTCGACGAGAATCAGCTTTTGAGCTCCGCTTTCTGTGCGACAAAAAATACGATAAAGACTTCACCTACGTCCATTGCTCATCCGTGTAGATAGCAGTAACCTCAGCACACTTTGCCGCATCGTATGTTTGGACTGTGCCGAGGGTACCGTTGAAGGTGTTGTGACAGACAGCTTCTGGAGGGATATGGGCATGCAGGTTTCCTTCGACCGTTGTGTTCAGCTGGCTCCAGTCATTGGACTTGGGCCAGCATGTGTCACCAAAGTAACATTTGCAGCCATACTGCTTTCCTTGCCACGTACGGGGCACCAGGTTGGCGGCGAAGACGCCTTGGGTGACTGCCGCCAGGCTGAGCAAGACTGTTGAAAATTGAACCATGGCGACGACTGCCTGAAGAATCCGAACGGCCTTGAGTAACGACGCAATGTCCGGAGAGTCAACGATTGGAAGAGCTCATATATAATCATCACAACTGACCGAGGATCCGACTTCTGACTACAACGTTGGGCCTTGGAGCCCCGCTTTCCCCCTCCTCCCGGTGCTCATCTTTCGGCTTCATCTCTGGCCCAACCTTCGGTCCAGGCTCAGGTTCTAGTACTGCCAAGGTGCAGGCTATTATGGAGAATACGACTCAATCTATCAACCTCCATTAGGTTGCATTGCTCAGCTCGCCCCCGCTAGGAACCAAATGAGACTTAAACCGCGTGAACTATACCCTCCTGCCATAGGTTCGCCCGGTTCGTCTGATGCCAAAGAGTGATGTGCATACACGTCGGGCCAAGGTTCAAGTTACATCAGTTCAAGTAGACCTACATGCATCAATTACCTTATCCATACTTGGTAACGATCCCATGTGTCATTCTACGGACATTGCAGTGTAGTCCTGCCGGAAACAACCAGCTGGGCATTTCCGGATGGAATGGCATTGGTAGTTGGCCAAGGAAGCGGACCAAGCATCCCAAGCTTCTTGAAGGATATGTTCCACATTATCACTATACACTAGACACATGGGAATCGGATGACGGGAAAGGCAAAGAAGGTTATCGTCACCCACCCAGCCCACAGCGGGAAAGGAGCGGTTCCCGAGGGCGGCGTCGGACGGCCCAGGGACCTGACAGGTTCACATAAGATACGGCCCTCAATTTGACGAATAACAGAGAGAATCTGTATTAGCGCTGACAGCTAAACTTGCATGACAGGGCGGGGGATTTTGCCGGCAGATGTAACCGAGTGGGATCTCCGAAAAACAATGGAGCTATACCCGAAGTGAGCCCAGGCCCGATGTACCGAGCGAGTTCAGAATCCCAGGGTCAGCTGTGATTTTGAATGAGTTCCTATGCGGACATAAGAAATTAAGTTGGAACTTGAGTGGACATAGTTTGACCCAAGTCTTATATCGTGAATTCTCCCTCCGGCTTGGTCTGTGGGCTGAGGTTGTATTAAAGCTGAGGCAGAGTTCTGTCAGCTATCTCTTGTCTGCAGGCTTAGCTATGAGACCTTTTTGGATCAAGCTGTTGAGGTCGCATTGGCGCGTCGTAACCTGAGAAAGCCAAGACCTTGGTAGCAGGGTTTCGGAGCGGACAACGATCTTTTTCCGAGAAGGAGGATTCTCGAGAGATTCTACGCAAGGTAGTGACCCACGCAAAGCTGTGATAAGCAAAGGCACTGTGCCGACTTGGCACAACGTGCCGCATCCGCAAGCCGAATGTGGGCATTGGGGCAGCAAAGGATTCTCGCGTATAGCTTTGGATTAAATGAAAGGCCATTGTTTTGACGAAAGCCACAATATCTCATCTCCTCGCCATCGATCATAGTTGAGTGAAAAGAAAGCTGCGTGTCCGCGAACAGCAACACACGGCTCAAGAGTCAACAGTCTGCCCAATGGGTTGTCCTTTCGCTCGCATGCGACAAGGAATTAAAAAAGCCACTTATGTTTGTCAACTTGCGTTTGTCGATCCACTTTTTCCAGCTTTAGAAGTTAGACGCAGTTTGATTCGCTGTTGGTCCAAAACGCGACGATTTCCCGTCCATTCAGCAACTATCTGAGCAGAGACATGGTCGCCGAGTGTCAGCACTAGCGATGTCTCTCCCGAAATGGGAATTCCCATAGAAGGTCTTTACTACCAAAGCTTATTCTCACGTCTTGGGTATCACAAATTATGCAAGCTTGCAGGGCGGTTAGTTGTTCTTTGGACTGCTTGTAAGCATTACATGTATGGTGCTAACTGCCTCTCTTTTCTACAGATAAAGTCGCGCTCGTGGAAATATGAATTAGTTGAACCCGTCCACCGATTCCCTCGAAAAATGATTTCAAACAAACCCAACTACCATTACCTCCTAATGATCTTAGCTGGCATCCCTTCCTTGGGATGAGCAGTGATCTGTGTTCCTGTCATCCACTGGAAACCTTTCTCCCCGAAAACTTCTGGCGCGTCCTCGGCAAATTGTGGCACAACTTCGAGCTCTCTCACGGTCAAAGCTAAGATGAGTCGCATCTCAACGAAAGCCAGCTCCTGGCCAATACAGTTTCTGGGACCCAGTTCAAATGGCCGGAACGCGCTCTTCACTGGGTGAAGAGGGTCGCCCTCTTTAACCAACCATCTCTCAGGGATGACTTTGTCGGGTTCTGGCCACAGTGCTTCCCATCTGTGCATCGCCTGCGATGCGACGAACATCATGAACCCGTCAGTCGGAAAACGCTCGCCTGTTTCCGGCTCGGTTATAAAGACATCGGGAGCTCCCTGTCGTACGGTCCCGACGGGTGGGTAGAGGCGGAGCGTTTCTTTCAGCACGGCGTTGGTGTAAGGCAGTTGGTTCAGCAAGGCAGGATTCTCAATAATGCGGGATGCTGCAGCGCTTGCATCGTTTCCAAGGACTTCGTCATGCTCGGATCGAACTTTGTCAAGAATAGCGGGATATTTGCTCATGAGATACCAGGCGAAGCAGAGAGCGCTAGCCGTGGTATCATGACCTGCAAGCAGGAAGATCTTGAGCTGAGAAACAGCGATGTCGATGAATTGTGAGTCGAGCTTCGCTTCGGCTTTGGGCCCACCCGCGGACATCTCTTTGATGTAGGAACTTATTGCTAGACTATTGACGGTTTTGGGGCCGGTACTGTTGCTTCTTTCTGATATGTTCTCTTTGAGCTGTCGCTCAATATGCGGCACGATTTCGCGCTTCATAACATAGTTGTAGTAAAGCATCTGAAATGGCCTCAAGGGATTAATAGACTTAAGGAGATTGGGCGGACCATTGTCTGGGATCAGCAAGCCGATCTGCTTCTGCAGAGCCGCGAAAACTGGTGAGTCTGTTGTTTGTGCATTGAGGCGAGTCCCCCTAGGTCAGAGACAGTCAGCTGAAGCAAACTTCTTAGAAAGCTCTCGAATCGGAACCCTCATGGGGGCGAGTGGAAGGACTTACAGAACCGCTCTGCCGATGACGTCTACAGTAGCCTTCATGACACCGTCTTCCAGAGCAACAGTGGCACCCGAATCAGCCAGAGTCTCGAAAGACTTTTTGAGTACTAATGCTTCTTCAACCATTGCAGGGACTAATGAGAGAATATTCCGCGCTGAGAAGCCTGGGTTGAACACGGCCCGCCATGTTTTCCATGTCTGGCCTTCCATATTGACGAGATCATCGCATCCAGTCAGTGGGTGAAACTCCTCTTTCATCATGGAGTGTTTTGGTAGGGACCGGTCCTGCGTAAATTGATCTGCAATCTTTGGGTGAAAGACGGCAATCATTGGCGGGCTGATGGGCCATGTATCTACGTAGACTAGTCCTTTCTTGCAGAGGTCCGGGTATTCTCTGAGCAGTAATAGCGGGAGCACTTGGCCATTGAGTCCCGGAGGCTGTTTTGCCATCAATTTTCCGACCAGCAAAAGGTGGCCGAAGAGGAACGAGTGAGGAAGAACATCCTGCAGCGCATCATCAATCAGCTGGGTTGATCAAAACAGACACTCGGAGCACATGGCTTTCCAGGTTGGCCACATACCACTCCATAATCCTTTGAGACGGCCCGCACTCTCGACCTGACTTGGACCAACCGGACAACGAATCTGGCAACGTAGAACGCTGCAATCGCGCCTAATGCTTGGACTAACAACACCGCATTCAACCCCATTCTCGACGATGCAAGATTTCGCTGAGGCAGTGATCGTGAAGAAGTATAGCAACTGGGGCTCAAAGTTGGCAAATGGATGATTTACGCACGAAGAGCGAAGTCGATTGCTAATGACGGGGTTTCTACTCGTGTACGCGGGGTTGCTTGTTGGACAGGTTGGATGGATGACATAATTAAGGGGTCACAAAGAATGAGGAGGAACGGCATCCACGGTCCAACCCAATTTGAGGTTAACTCCAATTTGTGGAGATTAGTTGCTACGGCGGCGGCGGGGAGAGACTCGGCTCGAGTCAAGCATCTGTCCAACTCAATTCTGCTTGGCAAAGGCAGGCCGGGTGACAACGAGTAAGATGATAAGCATTGTATTACTAAGGTAGCCATTAAAATGTTAGACGACATGGCATCGATCTCACATTGTCTAGGTATTTAAAGGACAGAACCACCATGGAAGTATGGGCTTGAAGATGAATAAGGCGTCGGCTTCAACTGCCGCTATTAAGTTTTCAAGGGTTCAGAATACGAATACGACTGGGAGATCCCGCATCTTCCGCATGTGCTATCACCATGAGCCATCAAGTTCATCCCAAACAACGAAAGGCAATCCGCAGTACGCATCTCCTTGGACCAACTTCTCGGTGCAACCCGCAATCTCAGTTCCGAGAGAGGGGTTGACCTCCAGGAAAAGAGTGATCGTCGTGCCACTGCTGAAGGCTATGGTGCTGCAGGTATCGTTGACAGCCGCAACATGCCACGAGCCACAGTACACAGTCGTGCCGTCTGCGACTGTTGCTCCCGCAGGCGGATCGATGATTTCTTCACTGTATCCCGGCGCGTTGGTAGGCGTGGTCGTATCCCCGCTGACGGTGTCGTTGCCAGCGTAGGCGCCGTCCGGCGGGGACATGCAAAGAACGTGGCCAAAGGTGGCGGCGCTGGCAATGTGTAGGTTTTCGCAGTTCTTGTCCACCCATCGATTGTACTTCTGAGTGTTGCCGAGCACCGGCGTAGCGGTTGTCATGGTGAGGTTGTACTCGATTGAGGCGCAGGTGTCACTGGGCTGGATGACCCATGTGAGAGTGCAGGGTGGCGGAATGCATAGCTTGGAGCCTGCTTCGATATTGAAGCAGTCGAATATCGTCTCTGGGTTCTCGAAGTAGAGTGTTGATGAAGAAACGCTGTTTGACTGGGCTATTGAGTCGCATGTGTCCCCCTCAACCGTAGTGTACCATTTGTCAGTCTGACAGTAAGTTACCGGGTCTTCAATGATGAGTGGTGTCTCGGGTATGGTCGTGTTGACACCAGCTTTACCGCACTCGGTGATCGTGTACTCATATTGGGATTGGATAAAGGAGTCGTACTTGGAGTACCGTGAACGTTGAGGGATGGCGTAGTGCTCCACCCAGCAGAAAGAGCAAAGCTCGTCCTTGGGCATCTCTTCAATGGTAGAGACGGTAGTGAAGCCGTCTATGACCTCACCGCAGTATTTGCCGCTGTCGGTATCCTTCAAACAAGTCTGGTTCCATCCATCCCAGATACGACCTCCGAGAAGAGTCGGCAGCGCATCGTTGACTTCGTATCCTGCGCAAGCGATGGAAACACTATCAAACCAAGTCTTCAGGCTCTTTCCACAAGACTCGGCGCACACGCTGTCGGTATCGTTGACGTTCCCGAGCCAGCTGCGAATACCAGGCCCTTGATAATCCTCAGTGCGGTTATCACATGCAATGATTTCTGTCAATGCACTGCTGCAGGTCTCTGGCAGGACGAGTCCGTAAAGCTGTTCCAGCATTCCGTTGGTCCATACACGATAACCTTCAAACTCGCGCTCACCTGCTACTTCAGTTGAGCCTTGAAGCCAGGCCAAGACGGAGGCCAAAAACCCGTTGACATTGTCTTTGGCATATGTCGGGACGCTGCCCAGAGGCGAGACCATCTCAACGATAGCTTTGGTACAGAGGTTGTAAATCCAGATGTCTTTGCTTTGCTGAACTTCCATAGCGCGCTCTTGGCAGTTCTCTGTGTCCAAACAGTCCTGACTGTAGTCGATGAACCAGCTGTAGAGCCCGGCACCGAGCATGTAGATGGATGAAGAGTCGATGATTCGGACTGCCCAAGAGACGGCGCATGTTGCGGAGGAAGAAGCTACACAGCCACTGAATGTCGGGTCGTTGGGGAACAAGCCAGTCGTGAACGGGGTGGGTGCTTTAGGGACGGGTTGAAAGTAGGGGGACTCCGTCTGGATCATTCCCATGACCACGTTCTTGGCGTTGGAGAACTGATACTGGTACAAGACATTGTGCTCTACCGAAGTGCCCCAGAGCCAAGCCTTTTCGCTTTCAACGAGGAGACCACGGCCGGCATAGATGTCGACTTGATCAAGAGTGATCTTGTCAAGGTCATGATCTGCAGTCCAGAGCCAAACGTTCTCGAGATAGGCTGTTGATTTGGGCTTCAAGTGCATCAGAAGAGAAGCAGCCTTGCACCTTGAGTTGACGATCCCGGAGTCCTTGGGGCAGTTTGCGGTGGATAGATCACTACCCGCTGCACCACCAATGCGGACGTGCGTATCTGTAAAGAATGGTTGTTAGAGCCCTAATGATCATGAATTGAAAAGGATCACAGAGAGTCGAGCCTACCCCACATGCCAGCAGATCCAGTACTCGATTCAGCCACATTCCATTCGATGGTGACGGCGCCCGCAGTTGGCCCCTTGACGGTAACCATCATGCTCGTGATTTCTACAATGCCAACATCTTCCACTTTGCCAACCTCAACCACGGCTCTTGGCTGGGTCTCATCGGAGAACTGTGTTTAAAGAGGATTAGTTAGCTCATTGGTACTTGGTGAAGGCGCATCTATTATAGACGGGCTTTTACTAACCTTGTCTCCCGTACCCATGATCTGGGGCCAAACCTGTCCGATGATGCGGGAGCCGACGGGTACGCGAAGAGTGTCCGTCACAAGGTAGACACCGTATGGGAAGAACACAACGGAAGAGGTATTCGCAGCACCCTGTAGGATTGAATTGAGCGCGCTCGTGTCGTCGGTCTTGCCATCGCCCTTGGCACCAAGTGTCTTGACATTCATGACCTTGCTAGAGAGAACATCCTGATACTTGGGCCGTCTTCTGGTGAAAAGATTTGGCTTCAGGTTGTCATAGGCATCGCCCAACAAGCCCTCGTTGCGCTCCATGACAGCGATGTGTTCGCCATTGACAAAGGATGTTTGCCCAGCACCCGTCGTAGCATTGGTAATGCGACCAAAACCCCAGCTATCGACAACGACAGAATTGCCGCCGTTGAGAAGGATATTTCCAGTCTCGTTGTCAGTGATTGCCGTTATAGTGTTAAAGAATCCAACATTCTGCAGCAAGAATGAGGTAGAGTTCTCGGCGTAGAGCGTTGTGACGATGCCCTTGGGGGTGTTTGCGATGATGGAGTCCACGAGAATGAGTGATCCCACTCCTTGTCCAGTCGACTTTGGACCTCCGGCCTAGGTTATTTCAGTCAGATTCCATCCCAAAATCAAGCAATGTCTAGGGCTTGTTTACACCACCGACGACGAGAAGCGCGGTCCCGCAACTTTCAAAGATGAAGTCCTGCATAGTCCAGGCCCAGTCCCAGTGGACTTGAACACCAACAACGGAGTTAACAAACACGAGGTGCGAAGTAGTGAACTGCTGGTTTCCGAAATATGCTCTGCCAATGAATCAATTTTTGCTGAGCATTATTTCCAAAAAGGCGTGAAGGCGTACCCAAAAGCACCTCCAACGAAGGTGAGATCAGCTAGGAAGCCACCTGATCCATTCTCCATGTAAACGCCCTACAGATCTGTGTGAGATATTTGTACTTCAGAACAATATTCTTTGAGACTGCAAGATCAACTCACCTGTTGGTTGTTGCCGGGAACATCTGACTCAAATTGCATATAGAACTCGATGTTCTCTAGCGATGTCGCTTGTGCGACTTGCCAGTGAATACCGCACATGTAAGTCCATGAAGATGCGGGCCTGATGTCGATCTTGAAGTTCTTGATACTTCGGAGGAAATTCGCAGTGTTCAAGTACCTGAGGTAGAGGACCGTTAATAATAGACAAGACTAGTGGCATGATAACTTTATATGTGCCATAGTTTCAACATATCACCCAGAGGGATTTCCACATACCACTCCTCGTCATCACTGATATAGACATCACTCTTGATGACACCTTGACCCACGAAACTTGACGCAGCCAGCAGAGTTGGTACATCGAGAGGCTACACATCGATGTCAGTAACTCATAAATGTTGACTATTGCAGGCAGTGATCTGCAATTTCCAATCTCAACTCACATTGCCGAGAAACTCTGTGTTGAAGTATTGGACGATCGGACTGCTGACCAGATACGTTCCTGGAGGGAAGTAAACGACAGCAGGATATATAGTGCTGGAGCCACAATCAGGACCGCATCTGACGCCGTCGCTAACGGCTTTGTTGATAGCATCTGTATCATCTGTCACGCCATCGCCTTTTGCGCCGTAATCTTTGACGTTTCGCCAAACCTACGAAGAGTTCAATCTTGTTAGCTGCTATGTTGTTTGTTTGCTAATCGACGATTCATCAACCGCACTCACTTTGTAGCCGCTTGGAGCGAAGGGACTGGCCCCGGATGAGCCCATGCTGATCATCCACCACTCCTCGGCTCGCTTGTTGATATTGTCATCTCCATACACAGAGAGTCGCCCTTCAGGAGTTCTGAGAGACTCTGGAGTATTGGTGTCATTTGTCTTGTGTGCATACTTCTCTCTTATGGCCTTGGCCACCTCGCTGTGGTTTCCCTTAGGAACTTGAGGCGTAGACTCTGCGAGAACTTTGGCAGCCTCGGCTAGCTCAGGAGAGATAGAGAAATTAGGGGCGGAGATCTCGGCACTGCTGTTGTCCTGGTTTTGACGCCTTCTCAGCGTAGTATCATTGCTGATCACGGCAGGCGCATCTAAAGCCGGGGCAAGTCTCGGTGTCTTGGAGCCAGAATGGAACTCATACTTGTTAAAGTGCGGATTCTCGACTCGAGCCTTATTGAGAAGCTTCAGAGCAGCGAGTGCTTCCTCTACAATATTCGCGGCACTGGAGTTTTTGTTGTCGGTGCGAGCATGAAGGTGAGCATGGTTGTGATGTGAATGCTGGTGGCCCGATACAGTTGTTGCAAGACATGCGAAAAGAGTGACTAAAAAGAGAAGGCTTCTCATCAAGACGCTGAGGCGACTCATAGTGCTTGAATTTGCAGCTTTGACGACCCTGGCGATTTCAACCCAACAAGGCATGCGTGTGAGAAAACCAGAATGTCACGAACTCAAGGTGATTCGAGTTATCATCTATACCAAGCGCTGTTCAGTGACACTCCGTCCTGTCATGGGTCTGATAAATGAATGTATCATGTCCGAAGTTCCCCGCCGTTGAATATGCACTTAGACCCTTACTTAACCAAAGTCCCAAACAGAATTGGGCTCCCCGCCATGATCCTAGGCTTGTGGAGTGGGAAGCAATCAGAATAAAATAATAAGCTTACGTGCTTGGCGAGGAGCACGGTCAGGACAAGGGTGTTCCTTTTTGTAAATTCATGATCGTTCTGGCCCTACAGTAGTGGCCTGAACTGGGTTGTGCAGTTTGGTCGCTATGCTCAACAATTAGTCTAGACATCCATCGTCCACACCTATCCCCTAATCAGTTCATTCCTCCGATTGATCACGTTCCTGCGTGAACGGAGATAGTCAAAATATCATAGTTTCCTGCAGGTCCTGATGGGTAATAAGCACTAAGGCAAGCGCTCCCGGAGTCCTCTCCGATGAAAGCTGGCGGGTTGCACAGCGGCCGCTAGGCAGCCGATTTGAGAGACAAAATATCCTTCACGGAGTCTTGACTCCCAGGAAGGTGGAAGACACACCGTCAAGGTTAGAAATTTCGACAATCATCAGGCGGCTAGGGGCCAAATCGAACGCGCATGGGGTGGCATCGCACTTGACCCGGTCTGCAGGGTTCGGCAATCTCTCCTCTTTGAGATCGGTCGGTCCGCTCCGGGATAGCCAAGCCGGCTCGCGAGGAAACAAGCTTATGTCTCGACTGAAGAAGAAAACCCTCCCTCGAATCAGAGAGCATAGCGAACTGATGCGTATGGAGCATATCACGGTTGACGGATCGCCATCCTGGATGATGGGACGCGCTATTCAGGGTCCTGAACCCTGATTTCTTCGGACTTTCACTTGCTCCCATCAATTTCGTAGAGTCTGACCAATAGCATACTTCATAAGCTGGCCCTTTGTTGCCGTTAGCTCTTCTATAATGACAATATCAAAGAGAGTGGGCACGCTACGTTCAGGCACCTGCATATTCAAGCATGGCTACAAACTCTCCTGGCTCACGATGAGTATCGCTTGAAAAAAATACCGCATCATCATGGACTATGCCTGGTGCACCTCGATTTCCATTCTAAGACTCATCCGTCAGCTAATCTCCGAATATTGAGTTTGGGTAACTCGGGACCGCGAGAATGGGCTGAGGAAGCTATTCCCAGTGGCGAAAACGGTCATGTCGCTGGATCCGATGCACTCCCACTCTCCCGCAGGCCCCTGAAGACTGCATATGAAGTTATCGAGTCTATGTCAGACAATCATGGGTATGAGATCTCATGGATCGGGGGGCTTGTTATCGTGAGAAATAGGATGCCCTCGAACGCTGAGGTATTACACTGGCCTACTTCCTGTTGAGGGTGTGCTTCTTCAGTTTTGCGCTCTGTCTCTCGTAGTTCCATACTCAACTTATCAGGTCTCGGCCGTCTCGATTGAGCAAGTTGGGCATCATGGTGTCTTCGAGGATTTTCTTCTCTCTGGTTCTACTGATCTTCTTTTCATGCCTACTCGCAGGCAGCAACGCTCAGGATGGTACCGAATGTAGCGCATCTCTACCATGCAAGGTTGGATGTTGTAGTAAATTCGGCTTCTGTGGTTTTGGAGCTGATTGTAAGCTCAAACACAAAGTCTCTCTATCTTCATCGGACTACTGAGTACTGACACACGGCTAAGACTGCAGCAAATCCGTCTGCACTAATAACTGTGACCGCAAAGCTGAGTGCGATCCTGGCGGCTTCGGCAAGGACTACGTCAACAAGACAACATGCCCGCTAAACGTGAGTACAGCCTCTTTGATAGCAAAAGGCTTTTGACTGACCATGTGCTTTATCAAAAGGTTTGCTGCTCAAAGCACGGCTTCTGCGGAACCACTGAAGAGTTCTGCGGTAACAAGAAGGTCAGCAGGCCTAGCTGTACCGTCGACAAGAGCAGCAAATTCAAGCGTGTCGTGGGATACTACGAGACATGGTCTGCCTCGCGATCTTGCAATCGCTTCTACCCAGAGCAAATCCCTCGTGGCGTATACTCTCATATCAATATCGCCTTTGCCAGCATCAACCCCAAGACCTTTGAGATCGTGCCCGCTAAGAAGGAAGACCTCGAGATGTACAAGCGAGTCTCTGCTCTCAAAGCCAAAGACCCCAACCTCAAAGTCATGATTGCTGTTGGCGGCTGGACATTTAATGACCCAGGCCCGACTGCGACGACTTTCTCTGATATTGCGAGGTCTGCTGGTGCCCAAAAGAAGTTCTTCGATTCCACGATCAAGATGTTGGAGACCTATGACTTGGTAAGTAAAGATACAATGCCAATATGATGCGTAGAGAATATCATTTTACTAATTTCTATGTTATCTTGCAGGACGGCATCGATCTTGATTGGGAATACCCCGAGGCCGACGATCGAAGCGGACGCCCTGAGGACTTTGCTAATTTTCCGAAATTCATGAAAAACTTGAAAGCCGCTTTGAAGAAATATGAAGTTAGCATTACACTCCCGGCCTCTTATTGTGAGTGAACATTGAACCCTGTCCGCATTTTAAACAATGTCTGACCATCTTCCTCAGGGTATCTTCAACATTTTGATCTGAAGGCTCTCTCTCCGCACGTGGACTTCTTCAATATGATGACCTATGACTTCCATGGTGTATGGGATAAGCCGAACGAATTGTGAGTATCTTTTCTTAAGGCATCATTTATCATCGGACCATGATTGCGCAGTGCAATGGCTAATGTGGGCTGTAACAGTGTTGGACCATACTTGAACAGCCACACGAACCTGACTGAGATCAAGGGGGGTCTTGATCTTCTCTGGCGCAACGGTGTCGACAAGGACAAAGTTACGCTAGGTCTCGCCTTCTACGGACGCGGCTTCATCGCCAGTAGTTCTTCCTGCATGTCCCCCGGTTGTACTTACGAGTCGGGAACGTACGCTCAAGCCTGCAGTGCCGAAGTTGGCGTGGCTCTGAACTCAGAGATTGACCAGCTCGTTTCCGAGCAGGGGGCCAAGGCAACACTGAACAAAGATGCTGCCGTCAAGATCGTCACCTGGGGCGGCAACAACTGGCTCACCTTTGACGATGAGGAGACTCTTCGCCTCAAAGCGGACTACGCTCGCAGCCTATGTCTCGGCGGTGTTATGGTTTGGGCCATCTCGCACGATACCAGGGCTGGAAAATATTCCATGGCTCTGTCTCGTGTCGCTCCTAGACTATTCACTTCTGAAATGGCTACGGAAGAGGACGATGGCTATGTCACCGATGTTGAGGAGCACAAACAATGTCGATGGACCAACTGCGACGAAAATTGCCCTTCAGACTGGACTCGTATGATGCGAAGTGGTCCAGGTGCAGGAAAGAACGAGTACATGGTCAATGGGGCAGGTTGCGGTGGTCGTGGAGAGCAGTGAGTTTGCCAAAATTCCACTGAAACGTTCGGGCTGACATTGCTTGATAGCAAATTATGCTGCCCTGCCGGTAACAAGCCAACCTGCGGATGGTACACACACAACAATGGCGACTGCGATAGTAAGTCTACTAATTTCCCCGTTAACGGTCAACTCACCTGACGCTCGTCTCTTAGGTGGCAAATCCTGCCCCAGTGGCTACAAGGAAATCGGCAGCAACAACGAGTACTGCCACTCCCAGGGTGGAGGCTTCTCACCGATCAGGAGTTACCAAGCAGCTTGTTGCTCAGTGGAAACCGACAACATGAAGCTATATTCTCAATGTGACTGGAGTGCAAAGGTTGCTTCGAGCACCTGGCCAAGTTGCGAAAAGGCTACCTGCGGTTCCGACGTTATCGCGTTCTCCGGTGACGGTAGTGGTGATGCAATGTGCTGGGGAGCCTGGTACAAGGGAGGCATGGAAGATTCAAAGAAGAACAAGTACTGCTGCGACCAGCCTGAAGAAGACAAAAAGTGGAAGGATTGTGAATGGCAAGGCATGACAGATGTAAGTCACCCTGTCCGGCTTTGGAGGCCAAGCATTGGGCGATAGCATATCATTCCCCGAGTGACGGAGGCTTTGAAAACTTTGTTAACGCCTAGCTAATTATCGAAACAGTGGACAGATGAAGACACGGGCTTGAAGTTCTGCAACCCATCATGCTCTGGTGGCCTTACCATGGTTGCCATGGAGCACACGGGATGCTCAGGCGGTGGTGCCCGGGCAAGGTGTTGCAAACCTGGTTGGACAACCTCAACCACTCGGTACGAAAACAGTGAAGACGAATACTTCGAGAGTTACATCAAGTGTGAGTAGTTTTTGGAGCGATTAGTGAACTGTTTGCTGATTGAAATTGCTTTCTACCAGTGTTTATGGCGGACCCTGTCTGCTCAAGTAACATCTTCTTCGGAAACCCCCTCAAGGCTCGAGATGAGCAATCTGTCTCATATTCGAATGGTCCGTTGAGCATCTGAACCTGTCCACGTATCCTTGTGTATATTACTAACAATAGCTTCTCTCTTCAGGCACGCTTGCCAGTCGTCAGATTTGGGGTATTGGCGACATCCAGAGCTTTGCGACAGAGCAGTACATGGAGAAGATGGTTTCGGAGCTCTTCATGGGAACACCGCGAGAGTCCACAAAGAGCATCTGGAACAACACGATGCTGTCGTACTCTGAGTTCAATAGTCTATCCTACGCCAACCTCCACGACTACCAGCAGGCTCAAGGGTACGACTACTATCTTCAGCTGGGCACGCAGTGGCCCCGATACGTCGTCTGCAACTTAGGAAGCATTAATGCTGCCATCAAAGGAGGCGATGGCGAGGGTGATGGTTCCTGCACCATTACTTGTGCGTGCACAAGAGATGACTGTTGCGACGAGGACGATGATATCTGCATCAACTGGAGCAAGGATGGCGAGACGACAGCTCTGCAGAAGAGAGGCGAAAAGAAGTCTTATCCTTGGATTGCTATCGATCCTGCCACGGGTGCTCAAGCGAGTTTGCCTTGGAACGCACCATCGGTATGTTGAAGTCCCGAGAGCCATGTTGCTTGGAATTTTCGTTCTTACTAAGATGTGTAACAGTATCCCTCTCCTGGTGACTTGAACGTGAACACGGAGAGAACCCATTTGGCCGATGCCTGGAGATACGACCCAAATTGTGCCAACTTCGATCCAGTTGTTATTGATCTCCTTCCCAACGGGCCAACGGGTACAATGATCAAGGGATATGAGAGTAAGTTGTGTTCATGCATATTGCAACTACACTAGCTGACTTCGGCCTTTCTTGCACTGCAGACGACCATCCTTTTGAACGCAAGATGCCTGCCATCTGGGGAGATGATGCGCTTCTTGGTCGGCTTGCCAACGGCGTTGGTGATTCCGAATTTATTGTGCCTTTTGACTTCTTCACTGTGTCGTTACAGCAGACCAATGCGGCAGGTCAAACGATTCAGAACATGTTGATGAATACGCTTGGCAGTAAGACGAATCGTGGGGTAATGACCTTGATGATCAAAGACGCGAATCTGCTCAAGGAGAAGGTAAGACTGTTGACCCATTTCCATGCTCTACGATGACTGATGGACGATTTCACAGCTGTGGACACTCAGGGACGATCTCGTTGCCCCCACGAAGATGGAGAACCTCGTATACGGGAACTGCCCGAAAGACGCGTTGGACCAGATCAGAAAGGTGAGATTTCCATCAAATCAATGAAGGCCAGCTACATAGACTTTTGACACTAATAATCATGTTTGGCGCAGGTCCTCTCCGTCTACCGTTACCATCTGCGTCCAGCGTTCCTTGTCAAGCTCAAAAAGGTCGTCAATGATTTCCGCGATCTACTACGGATTGCAGAGCAGCATTACGCAAGCACTCACGGTGGCGCCAGCCCGAACGCCGTAAACCATTTCGATGATTGGCTCAGGACCACTCTTGAGAGGATGAAGGAACTCACTGAGGAAGTTGGCAACCAATGGCTCCCTGAGTTGGCCCGCAACCCTGCCGTTACTGGTAATGCCGTCGACAACTCCATCCGCCAGAACTTGGTGAGAGCCTTCAGCAGCCTTCCGGATATTGACACCACGGGGTTCTTCCCTTGATTCTCCCACAAGGCGTGTTGTCTGCCCTGAAACCACTTTCATGCACTGTAGGAATTACTCTGGTCGTTGGCCTGTCACTCAGGAGAAAAGTGCCTCTCATTTGGCGAAAATGTACGTGGGACTGGATCGCAACTGGAGCATGTTTTGATTTGAATAATATATAAATTCATTCCTATACTCTTTATGGAGCATTTAGTGGCACCTTGGCACGTCCTATTCATCGACATGGTGGAATAAACTCTCGTCGGGCTGCCATTCAGCTTCATGAGACCTGCTACCGCTGAGTGTACCACTTCTCTCCAGACCCTTCAGGTATATCGACGCGATCGAAGGTCCACTCTTCGCTGGAAGATCTCTCAAGCTTTTCGAACCACGCATCCGCAAGGTCATGTGGGCTGAGCCTCATCCAGCCGTCGTAGTTATCGTCATCTTCCGTGCCGCTGAACCGCCGCACTGCTCGGGAGTCGACGAGCCAAACGTAGACACCGGCCCAGATCTGGTTGCGGGCCTAATACGTTGTGAGCTCATTGAATTTTAACGGAAGCATTGAACAGATACGACTTACCCTTCTCTCTGCGCGAGGCACGAGTTCCGTCGATGGCAGGTCGTCGGGCAGGGCAGCGAGAGATCGCATGGAGGCCTCGTCGATGACAATAAAGTCACAGAATCTTGGGCTATCTCCTAGACCCGAGCCGATCTCACCAATCGCACTGCGACGCCAATCCTCAAATACCTGCGTGAGCGTCTGGATGGTCTCTTGACTGGCAGTGGAAAGGTCAGGAAATTTGAGCTTCTCGGATTCCTTATCCTCCACAACCTCTAGAAGGAACCGGCGTGCAAGTTCCTCGTTCACTTCGCCGTCAGGCTTGTTCGTCACGAGACGGTTAGCGTGGATGAAGTACTTGGTAACCCATCGGTTGAGTTTCTCCATCGCAATCGGCCAGAGTGTGTCGGAGTCTTCTGAGTATGCGGTGCGCAGGACTGTCCGACTAAGTCAGCCGCCAGCGTCATCGACAATTGAGAAGCCCAAAAGATGGGCATGGAGGTTGGGAGCACTTACCCGTATAACCCCAGGATCCCGCAGCGTATGTGATGCCCGACTGTTCGCACCTGAACATGGACGTGAACAGCTCCTCCACCCTTACCATGGCTTGGCCATCCTTGTCGCGATTCTCCCTTCCTCCGCGATACTTATAAAACTTGGGTTCTGGGGGAGGGAAAGTCTGTTGGATTGACATCTCGATAAGTTGAGCGTCGATGGGTGACGACAAGTTTCCTTCGGATGAGTTTTGTGCGAATTCAAGTCGTCGATGTAAGTGAGCCGACGTGACGGGTATGAGATGGGCATGAGATGTTTGGGAGTGGTTCGGATGAATGAGTTTGGCCGTCACGAATAAGTCTGGAATATGCAATTGAAGGGGCAGAACCGGAACCCTTGTTCTCCAATGTCAGACTGCCATCAGGAAATGGTCTCTCATTCACCTAAATAAGCGCCGGCGATGAATACCTCTTCAAGACAATATCCATGCAGTCACACTCCCAGTAATAGCTAACAGACATGGAGTGATACTAGGGCTCATTCGCACGCCCAGCGACTGTTGACTTTGCACCTCTTCTGTAAATTGACCCACGACGTTGCCCCTCGGCCAGTATTCGCACACAAGATACCACTGGCCGTCGCCACATAACTTGCGCCCGCATCCCACATCCGTCGTGTCCTTCCAGACAAGTTGCGTAAAATGACCTGTCTCCTCGTCAAATTCGCCTTTCTTGAAGTTGTAGTCGTCGCGCTCTTCTCCCCACGCCTCAACGCTCGCCGTCGCGTTGGGGTATCCCTTGGCCAGGTTCTCGCCGTAGGGACCGCCTGAGTGCTCAAAGTCGCAGCTGTCGCCCGACATGTCGTCAAGGTAGTCGGTCGCGAAGTCGGCGAGTGTTTCGTTCCATGTTACGGAGGACGCATTGTGCTCGCCGCGATAGAAGTTTGTGCTGTTGAGGACGGCCGAGGTGAAAGTGTTGTCTGATGTCCACTGTGGCTCTGCCGTTGGACTCGGGGGCGCTTCAGTGATTGTTGTCACTACTGTCTGGGCGCAGACTAGTGTGGAGAGAAGGGCGAGAGTGAATGCTATTGTGAGATACATTACTCCAAATGAGTGAGTCTCAGTGTGATATTATCAGTGCGGTTGATTTTCACTCAGGTATGCGCATTAACCATGTAAGATGTGATGACGCTTAAATCAAGTAGGATACTACTCACTTACTCCGAATTCCTCAGGTGGACATCTCGTGATGATTATAAAGGTCCATCATTAGGTGTACTCTCGAAGAGACATCATGACATGGCTGGCTTATTGGACACGGAAGCTGCAGAACCAGGTTTGCGCCCCATGGCCCTGGGTTTCCAGCCAGTTATCAAGCCTGTCGGCGCGTGGGATGACGCAGTCTGGCCAACTTTGGGGCATTCCATGGCCACCCTGAACTGCAGGGTGCTGACAGCCACCTCTGGGCAAGCCAATGATGGATGTTCTTGGGAGCCCTTGGCAGCTTTAGAGCTTTTGAGCACATGTTCATCCGTGCTTTAGCGACGCCTGTGGCTGTGGCTCAGCCCACTGTGCTGATCTCTGACACCGAACCAGCCGGCCGGTCTTCATCTCCAGATTCTCAACTCCTTTCCCCGCGCTTCGTCCACGGGAGAGAAGCGAGAAGAACGTCAACGCGAGATTATGTTTTCGATCCGAGTGTTTTTGATGGGCTGGTCGAAGTATTGACTGAGAGAGAAGTTTCAAAAACCAGTCGTCATCTTTACCAGACGGCCTTGAAGAGTTGTAGTCTGATGGGCGCGTGGTCAGGGCCTGTAGATAGAATCTCACAGCGACTACCGCCTAGAAATGCGTCTAGTGCAGTGCTAATACTGCTGAATTCGCGATTAAGGGCAAGCAGCATGATCCAAGCGCGCCTTTCTCGGCTTACGGGGGAGAGGGAGGGTTGAAGTACCAGTAGTTATGACAAACGTCAGACACAGAACTGGCTCTGTTCTCATAGGCGAAATATGCGATGGATCGATTTGAAGCTCAGTAAGGTAAGTATCTTACTTGTGGCCGTGGTATTCAACTACCCCATGCCCAGACACAAAACACCACACGCCTGAGATTTTGAAGAGCGACGGGCCAAGTACAAAGTAACTTTAGTGTGGAGAGGGGAATCAACTGAAATGCCATCTATGAACCACCGGCTAACACGCTATGCTAAACTGAACAGAAATCTCGCCACTATTCTACGCGCAGCCTCCATTCTTGATGCTCTTCAAGGGATGCAGCCATTTGTAAGTGCCCTCAAACGGTTCCGTGGCTGAGATGAAGTCCAATACGCCAGCTTTCTGCGCATTCGGCGACACGATGAATGTGATGAAGAGTTGCTGGACAAAAGCCCACGACATGACATACCTCGACATAATCCAGTCCCACGTCGATGCCCACGCGTGCATCCTCGTCACACGCGCAGACTGCTCAAGATCTTGCTCCACGCGTTCCCGCCTTTCCTGTCTGTACGCCTCGAACTGTACCTCCAGCGCCGAGAAGTCGGGCGTCTTGCCGCCGGCTTCGTTCGCGGTCCCGGAGACGAACTTTTGGAGCCTGTTGCAGAGCGCCACCACGTCCTGCACGCCATTGTTGAAGCCCAGGCCAGCGTTGGGCGTGAACTTGTGTGCTGCGTCGCCTACAAGGACCACCCTTCCGTTCCAGCTCCAGTGCTCGCAGAGGCCCTCCTCCAGGCCCGCACCGCCAGAATTGAAGCGCTCCTTGTAGACATCCTTGACCTTTAGGGTATCTGTGATGGGCCACTCTGCAAACCTCCCAGCAAACGCATCCAATTGCTCGTCGGTGAAAGAGATACGTTCCGTCGTGGGCTCGGGGAGCTTCTCGTACAAGAAAATCCAGCCCCTATCCTTGCCAGTAATGTACATGACCGAGTTGTCGGTCCCCGACGTCTCGTAGCTCTGGCCGGTCTCTGTCGGGCGCGGGAACGAGGCCCACATGCACTGGTACAGCGTCTTGAAGGGCTTTACGGCGTCCCACGTCTTCTCGCGGGAAGCGTCCTCGGCAACAGCGAGTTTGCGCATCTGTCGGCGTGTTGCGGAGTGTACGCCATCGGCACCAATTACAACGGAGCCGTCGTAGGAAGAACCATCTTCACAAGTGACAGTCACTCCCGTATCCGTGGAGACGATGCCGGCGAGCTTTTTGCCGGTCAAATATTTTGTCTTGGCAGCTTCTGGTAGACCGTCGTAGAGGGCCTCGATAAGGTGAGCTCTGTGGAATGCGACGGGTTCTACGCCGTGGCTAGAGGATGAAGAAGAGTTTGTTAGCGAGCACGCGATTTGGCTTACATGGACATGTGAAGTGGGGGGAATAGGGGGTTTGATAAGAGACGACGAAAGAACCGAGGGAAAGGACTTACTGCGCTTTCAGAATAGCCAGTGTTTCTGCATGCTTGAATGCGTGTCCGTCGACAGTAAATCCCTTGTTTTCGTACAGCTTGCCGCCAATTTCCATAAGGCTATCAAGGATGCCAAACTGATGGAAAACGCGCAGGCTCTGTGCGCCTAGGACGAGACTTGCGCCGAGATCCTCGACGATATTTGTCCTGCGTTCGAGGACGACGAAGTCGATTCCGGCGTGGTGAAGCGCATGCGCGGCGGTGATACCGCTAGGTCCACCACCAATGATGATGACTTTGAATGGTCCGCTTGACATATTGAATGAAGTGTGAGTGCAATGAAGTCCTTGGGTGCTGCGAAATCAACTCAAGAAACGGCCTTGGGTTCATGGCCGGTGATATATACCACAAGAGGCCCGTCTCCACCGACACGGTGCCGGGTCTCCGCCCTCTATGGTTGTCCGCCTAAGTTCCCTGGTGCTGGTGCGTCCATCTGGTGGCTGGCCATCGTAACGGACCTTGTATGAGGTTCCATTTGTTATCGACGTAGGATCGGGTGCTAGGTCTCTTGGGGTCAAACTCTGGCCCGTTCCCGTCCCATGTCGACAAGGACTTCACTGGTTCGCAGCGTGGATCGAGTGAAGGAACCAACTGGCAGTTCCACCCACGTTCCATTCTGGGCAAAATAACGCAGAGTAAACGCATCTGCTGTTCTACTCCGTCAGCAATTTGCCCACTTGCAGTGGTAACAAGTCCGCCGATGCGCCGGCTGTAGACAGTGTAGAGGCGGAGTCGGCGAATGTCCACCTCGGAGACTTACTTCACTCTAGTGATTACTCACAAGGAAATCATGTCTTCAGAGCAAAATTGAGGGATAATGGTACGCTACCATGCATGATTATCCAAGCCAGAACCCTTCGATGTGCCGGGCAAAACCCATCTGAGCACCCGGAGATCCCACCTAAAGACCCCGTTCAAGTTCCGAAACACAGCAGATGCTACGTCACGCAAGAAAAAGGCAATCGAAGGCAATGCTCAAAATCCGATTTGCAGTTTCTATCTGAATAGCCCATGAATCATGGGTTTAGGAACGTTGAACATGGCGGACTTCGCAGCAACAACGGCAACTTTTTGCGAAAGTTGCATCCACAGATCTCGGTCGGACCTTACGATTTCCGACGGTCCGATAGTCAGCATGTTGTACGGAGGAAGAAAAGCACCGTGCTGCCGTACCATCCCGTTGGTGTCGAGGTCTTGGGGCTCGACTTAACGGACCAAGAGAAGATGGTTCAAGATCTAATAGGCTATGTCGTGTCATTGAGATGATTAAGTCTATCATAATATGAAGCTGACCTCTCCTCAGAGGCTCAGCAACCAGAATTCAGACTCTTTTTTGCGCGTGCACGGGGCCACCGATATGCGCCAAATGGGGGTGGGTTCAGAACGATTCAAGTGTCAGCAGCATCATCACACCGGCCATGTACTTCAGGTCAACAGTAAGACGATGGACGCTAACGCAATTGGCTATTCTCTTCATGATACTTCTACTTGTATCTTTTCGAGACTTGCAGTTCACTTACACTTAGAACAGGGATAACAGAAGTTTTCTAAGTCTTCTGACTAGACCACACGGTAATTATGCCTGAGTTATCGCCGCGTGCTAGTCTTTAGAGTACCTGCATAGCCAGTGCTTTATCAAGCTCAAAAAACTACGAATACTCGAAATCTCTCGATAAATAAAGTCCATTTTGGTCACCATATCATCAGAAAGAATGTATTTCCGCTGCCATACGCTCCAGCTTGCCAAGCCTGCTTGATTGTCCTAGTTGCAATCTGGGAGCCCGGGCGTTCTAGGTAATTTGCGGTATTGCTCAACACCGTGCTACTGAATAGCTCAGGGTAAATGATGCATCTAGATGATCACGAATGAGGAGGTTTGGGGGCTGGGACATATCATGAGCAAGTATTTCATGGGCGAAAATGTGACGTCTAGGGTCTCTACCCACGGAAAGACGGCATGGAGAGTCACTCCCGGTCAGCCGATATGTCAGACTGAAGTGGATGGCACAACTCGGTCAGGTTAGCGTTTAGAGTATTGATCCTGAGCTGGCGGGACCTGCCGAATAAGGGTGCACAGCCTGCCATATCAAGCCATTTTCTTCAACGATCATTGTCAGCCTGCTGCCTGGAGTCCGAGATCACGAAACTGGGGCCTTTCCGATCTAAGCCGTCATCGTAGCGAGATGCCACCCATTATTCTACACTTTTTCGTAGTACAATGACATTGCAAAATTGAAAACAGAGACATTTCTCTCCCTGTTGCTCATCCAGACCGGTCTGTTGTTCTCGTGACAGGTTCGCCATGGTGTATGCCAAGTCGAAAGTCTTAGACAACCAGGCGAGGGATGCAGAGACCGGGGTAGATCGCCAAATTCCCAGACCGGTTTGCCTTGCTTGGCATAAGTGGTCTTGCGTATAAGAAGAGTCGATTAGAATATCCCGTAAATGAGAACTCCTCGGCGCGGCATTGACTATCAACTCTAGCACCGCTCCATTTTAAACAACACTTGACACCATGAAGCTTCTCTCATCATTTGCATGCCTTCTAGGTACGGCAGCTGCCGCGGTCGACATTCTGTTGCCGCTTTATATCTACCCTATCAACGATGTACAGAAGCCTTACGATGGCACTGTAGACTGGCAAGCAGCTATTGCTGCCATCGACGCCCACCCGGACTTGACCTTCAACGTCATCATCAATCCCAACAGCGGCCCTCCCTTTGCCTTTGAGGACGGCATCAAGATTGACTGGGCGCAGTGGATTGGCCAAATCAACAACCGTCCCAACACTGTGACCTTGGGCTACATCTCGACCCTCGGTACAGTACAAGCCCAGCCCCAAGATATCGCCGTCGTCAAGCAGGGGGTCGATACCTACGCCGCATGGGATAAAACCAACGGCTGGGACGGCAACTCTTGGGATATTCACATGGACGGTATCTTCTTCGATGAGGTCAACACCGCTCCCGCCCAGCTTCAGTACTACACTGATATTACCAACTATGCCAAGTCTGCTACTGGCGTGGTGGTCTTGAACCCGGGTGTCGCCGTCAACCCCGCCAGCTCCTCGCTCTACACCGTGGCCGATGCAATCCTGTCGCTGGAGACATGCTACACGGCCGATCCCGATGCGCCGCAAGACCGGTGTCCGAGAAATACATACACGCCATTCACGCCCGCGTCGTTAAGCACACTACCGACGGATGCGGCACAGAGAGCCAAGTCTGCTGTCCTGGTGCACGACTTTTATGACGATTGGCAGCCTTACCAACCCGCTCCTGTGGCGACTCTCCAGGCAGATATCAATGCTATTGTTGCACAGGGTGTGCACAGCTTGTATATCACGCAGTGGGGATATAATGAGAGCTTCACACGGGAGCCGGCCAGTGTTAAGACTGTCTCAAATCTGCTGGCTCTAGCTCAGGGTTTAGGATCTGGCGTGCCCCTGTGATTGAGGTCTGTCGTAGCCTTGGAAACAATAGTTGGCTCATCCATCCCGTTGTCAGACTCGCGCCCATAGAACTTTGGTCAAATAACAGGCGGTGTTTCAGAAACTCACTCACAAGTCTACTATGCTTTCAAGTCTTGGTGCGAAAAGAGATATCAGCTCTTTTCTAGCTATAGTCTTTCAACGTATATTGGCTAAGACTACCTCTCAAGATCCGCTCTTGTCGTCTGGCCAAACGCATGACTTGTGTCAAATGTGATAGCCCGGACTCATCAAGTCCCTCTGTTCAGCCACGCTATGATGATGATGATGCGTTGAACCTCTTCACCACCAACTCATAGTCCTCTACCGCCTTGCCTTCCCGAAGCATAAAGTCCTGGGACAAAACACCCGAGCTGGGCGTCGTAAAGTCCAGGCGGTATAATGATTGAAATCCATACTTCTCGTAGATCCCCTTTGCCAGAGGCACAGCCTCCAAGAATGCCAACCTTCTTTCCTCGTCGGCCCTCTCGACGCCCCATCTTAGGAGTGGGCTGGCCGCGCCTTTCCCTTGGTGCTCTGTCCGGCAAATGAGAAGCTCAAGGTACCAGTGTCTGACCTCGCCCATGATCTCGGCATGCTTCCTTCCAATTGAACCAAAGAAGTGGTTCGCAAACTCTGGATTACCCTCTTTCGGCCAGACATCCACTGGAGGCGGCGGCTCGACGTTTGTCTCGTTGGGTCCCGCTGGGCGAACCCACTTTGCGCAGGCGATGGGTAGGTCGGGGTCCTCGTAGTCTGGATCAGTGATAATGAGCCATTGGAATCGAGGTTCGCTCATCTCTTCCGCAAAGGATTTGGCGAGATAGTCGCGGACTTGAGTGGTTGCAGGGAAGCATGTTATGGCTACCGGATTGTCGTGGAAGGCCGAGAGGTAGATGGACGCGAGGGCCGGGCCGTCTGCCAGGGTAGCGGGGCGTAGTTTGACGGGCATATTAGGGAAGGAGCGAATGGCAGTCGCTGGTCATAAACTGCTTCTCTGGCCGGGAAGCCTTGCGAATTGCTGTGTAAATGGTTTTTGTCAATAGCCTAAATGTCTTCAAGTTGTGCTAAAGAAGGAAAACCCATACTTTGTTTCCTCCTCTTTGAACTTTCGCACAGTTGTTCCAAAGGGCCCGGCGCAATCAATTACCTCTTTGGGTATCGCGCTGGCGGCTTGGATGGCCGTTTCGGTGGCTAATACTTATACTTCTGCTTTGTGAGGAGAGCATATGCCCTTGCATAACTTTGTCTTATGTCTTTCATAATCACTCGGCCTATTCACCGTGCACTAAAAAGAGTCAGCAAGTGCGGGGGCCTGCATCCTGCCTTCAACTCGCATGCACAACCACAACAAAAGCAAAAGCAATACCCTCACGACAGAGATGAGATTTGAACTCATGCGGCCGAAGCCATATGATTGCGAGTTTAATTCGAGTCATACCCATTAACCACTCTGGCACTCTGCCCTTGTTGGATGCAGGGATGGAAAAGAGCGCAGGCTATGTTGACTGGCAGCTCAGTGGTGGTGTGGTGGAGGTTGCGGAGAAGTCGGCAATCCTCGGGGTGGGGTGACAACTTGCGAGTACCGCGATGTGAAACGGCATTGCCTGAAAGGGATTTCTAGCACTCGATATGTTGATTTGGACTGAAGTTGATGGTCCCAGGTCTTTGGTAGCAACCTATGACTTGTGAGGCGAAAGTGTGAACTTTAGAGGAACTTTCAACGCAGGTGCCATGAGGATAGCGTTCGTTTGTACTTTAACTTTGTGAGACACTGCTCTTAGCTTGCTGTAATATCCTTTGAACTGCAAAAGCTTCCGCATACACAGAAGGACGACACAAAGATAAGTGAGGGGTTGCGCCTTGCCGAACGTCCACCCCGGCCTCTCGACTTCGGAAGGAGCAGTCGGGCCCCGATTACGGGCAAGCTTGCCCTCGCTACAGAAACATCTTGTTTCCCCATAATTACATGTACGGTCTCTTCATCTAAACAAACTCAAAAGAAACAGCTCTCATATCAACCATCACTACATGCATGCAAGCTCTCCCAAACTAATGCAAACATAACCCGAGTAGTTCCACGCCTGCCTCAAGTGGTATGGGCTAGTGGGTCGTAAGCTGCGGAAAGTTCGGAACACTAAATCCAAGCTTAAAATTGATGGACTGATCGGCCTGATCGGCCCAAATGTCCTAGGCACGACATCGGTAAGAACAGCACTGCTAATTAATACTAGCATCCCACCGGGATGGAGATAGCTCAGGGCTGACCCCAGGCACCTCAGAGCTATGCATTCTAAACCATTCTTCATTTCTTCTATTGCGTGGTGAGTGCTACGGTCTTTAGATAGGCGAGTTTGATAGGGCGGAGATACCCCAGCATGCCAAAGGGACGGTTACATGGCTTTCTGAATGGTGTCATTGCCACCTGCAGCACTCCGTCTTGGCGAGACTACGCAGCCTATGAGGCGTCAAGCAGTGCGGAGTTGCAGAAATCGCTCGACGGATAGTAGAGGCATAGGCGAAACCGAATAGAAGAACTTTAGCACTGCAGCGATGGATGTTCTTGGTGACGTTGACAAATAGTGCCAAGAATTTGCGACATCTTTTCGACCTGCCTATTTCATATCAAAAGACTAGGCTCATCAATTGTCCGTCTGACAACATTCAAACCCCGGAGAGGGGTTCATACTTAGTATCAGACCCGAGCACCGAACTGCTAAATAATGGCCTTATTCGAACGGCATTTTCGCCATGGCTTGGCTTCTGCAGATCGTGCAGGATGCTGGCCGATGGGAGCATGGACGAGATGCAAGTGACCTGCAAGCACGCAGCGGTGAAATTCATTTGCTGGGACTTTTGTGACATTCGGGCAATATGGCTACGCTTGGCTTGAAAGATAAAAGGACGGACCACGTTCTTGGTGGTATAAATACTGACGACAGTCCTTCCACTTGCGGAATAAACTTCTCGCCTTGGAGTACACCTAACGCCCATATCTCTGGGGCGGGAGCTTCTTCTTGTATTGGTAGTGAACCGGTCGCCAACATGAAGTCCAACGCGTTGATTCTCGCCATTGGCGCCTTTTCTGGCGTCTCTGTTGCCAGAGAGCTGGAGCCCAGTGCCGAGTTGTCAGCCTGGTACGATACTGGCGCGGCTCACCAAGAGAGCATGGAGCACAAGATTGTAGGTAACCTAACCCTTTGAACTACAAGCATAAGCAAGTCTGACAAAAGCCAGGCTCAATGGGAACAAGCCGAGGCCGAGGGCAAATTCGATTCGACTCAGTGGACCGGACGCGTCAAAGACTATCTCGCATGCAAGGACGGCAAGGTAGAGCTTGTCAAGGGCGACCCTCTTCAGACCTTCCGATGCAAGGATGTAAGTCAATCATTGGGATCAGGATCGACATATGTTCGTCCTGGATGCCAGAGAGCTTTGCTAACAAATCAAAGCTCGACCTCTATGACTTTCAACCTCACGCAGCGTTTGGCAACTCTACTGGTCGAGGTTCTGGATCGTGGGGATGGACGGCCCCGAATGGCCGGGAATTCTCCGCGATCGGACAGCTCGATGGCACCGCCTTTGCCGAAGTCTCGAAGCAGGGCAAGCTGATCTACCTCGGAAAACTGCCGTACTTCTCCGAGCCAAGTAGATGGCGTGAGATCAAGGCCTACAAGAACTATCTCGTCGTCGGTAGCGAGGCGCCAGGCCATGGAATCCAATTCTTTGACTTGCGCAAGGTATGAGGGACCAGCCGCTCATCTCAAATACAGCATATAAGTGAGCTATATACTAATACCACTTCAGCTCCTCGACATCGACCCCAAGAACCCCGTTGTCTTCTCCAATGAAAAGGATTTGACAGCTCATTGGACCGAAGCTCTCCCCCTAGGTCGCAGTCATAACGTCGTTGTCAACGAGGAAAAGGGATATGCCGTTGCCGTCGGTGCCCAGCCGCGTCGCAACCTTCCCTGCGACTCTGGCCTGCAGTTCCTCGATCTCGCCGATATCAACAACCCTCTCTACCTGGGCTGCGCGGCTGGTGATGGCTATGTTCATGACGCGCAGTGCATTGTGTACCGCGGACCTGATGTCAAGTACTGGGGCCGCGATATCTGCTACGGCTACAACGAAGATACTCTGACTATGTGAGTGACCGAGTGCAGACTTTGCGATACGTTCTGTCTGACCAGTCTTGAAGCTACGATGTGACCGAGAAGAACAGCACCAACATCATCTCTCGTACCACTTACGAGGGTGCGACTTATACCCACCAGGGCTGGGTTATTGACCCCAACTGGCAGGATTTCTTGGTGTTGGACGACGAGATTGACGAGCGAAATAAGACTGGCCCGGCGGCTGACGGTTTCCCTGTGACATACTTCTGGGATATTAGATCCCTTGAGAAGCCCAAGAACTCTGGTATTTTCAAGGGCACCGTCCGCAGTGTCGATCACAACCAATTCATCCACCGCGGCCTGGCGTACCAGAGCAACTATGGTGCTGGGCTTCGCATCCTGGACATTTCATCCATTCGATGGGATCCCACAGCCAAGAACGTCAAAGAGATTGCCTACTTTGATATCTTCCCAGAAGATGACAATGAGCCTGGTGGTGGAGCAAACAACTACACGGGTACTTGGAGCCATTACCCGTACTTCAAGAGTGGTTACATCGTCATCAACACTATTGAGCGCGGTGTCTGGGTTGTGAAACGATCCAACCCTTGGTGGTGGCCGTGGTAAGGGGCAAAATGCAATGTCTATTGAAATATGGTCTATCCTGGTGCCACGAGTATCTCGCCCAAACAACAATTTATCTTCTTGTACATAGTTATAAAACTGCAATATTTTGTTAGAAACCTGAATTTTCTCAAGCCGGATTCTAGTTTCACTCAGCGCTGCGTTTCCGAATTGCGTCAATCGAAGCTCAAACAAGTTGACGCGCCCTTCAATGGTACATCCTCAAGACAATCAACCAGGTTCCAAACGCGATATTTTCCTCGCCCATCGTGAATTCACATTTTGGCCAATTGATTGGGTGGTGTAATCTGGAGAACCGCTGCTCAGGGATTGAATGGCTGACGCTCAATCTGGGCAGAAACTCCACCAAGCATTACGTCGCTACACACAGGCCTTGCCTGCAGGCCAAGACTGGTGAGGCAGAATATCCGGGAACGACGTGCCGTCTACTTGGCGTGACACGGCACTGCCTTGACTCCCGACATCATCGCTCAGAGTCTTTTGAAGGGGCAAATGGTACCACTGAGAGCAAACACCGACGACGCGTGGACACCGATTTGAATTAAGTTCATACTTGGATTGCCGAGTCCCGAATTAAGCTTCTTTCATTTTACATTCATCCATACTTCGTTTTTGCCTTTTTCTCTCTAGCTTTTCGACCTGCTTTTAGCGTTCAAACATTGGGCACGAATGCCTCGTTCCCAGCCTCGGACAGACGATGGCGCCCAGCAAATCAAAGATCATGACAATTTGAATAGACATGAAGATTGCGAGCTTGCCCAAAGAGATGGTTGGCATCATGGCCTTTGTGGATGCTGTGCATCCTGCGAGCTTTGCCTTCTGAGCACCTTCGTGCCATGTCTACGTATGCCACCCTCTCATCCTGACAGTCATTGGTTTGCTGACAGATCTTGAAAGTCCTCGGGCAGACTTCTCATCGAATCAAGGAACCTTCGATGGAAAATTATAGACATATCAACCGTGACTGTCTATTAATGATGGGAGTCACATATCTTACCGGCTTTGGTTGGATGTAAGTCGGTTGAGTCAAGACATCCCAACCTTTCATCTGCAAATCACTGACACTTCATTTCAGGTATGTGATGAAGAAGCGCTTTGAGATCCGCAAGCGTTATGGCATCAAAGGCACCGATGCGAGAGACTGCTGCGCATCCTACTGGTGTCTTTCATCAGCTTTGGTTCAGCATGAGAGAGAAGTGCTTGCCCGGCAGGCTGTCAGGAGTGATCCCATCACTGAGGGCTATCAGACTCAACCTGCCATGGAATTGCCTTCCAGACATCATCCGCCCACTACATAAAGTTTGAGTGGAATTGCGGTTTTCCGGGGCCAATAAACCGGTCACGATGCCGAGGTATTCGTAGTCTTGGCCTCAACGGACGTCGGCACGTACATCTGCGGATAAACATCGAGAGCTGGAAGTATCTCCGTGCCAGCAACGAGAATTGGCAAGTTTACAGTGTCAATTTCTATCACAATTCAACTGACAAGGGGATTGTCTCGTATTTTGTCTCGCGGGCTGTCCTTATGCCGTTGTCGGGATCAGCTGATAACTTGATAGCCGGGGTCAACTCCGAACGTCACACAAGTAACTATCTGAGATTAATACACCTCAGCTCAATTTTTTGACCGACGTATGTCTTACCGAATAAACACAAACTCTTGAGTATACCTGAGAATGTTTGGCTTCTGGCCCAATGGAGTGATCATGAACAATTTCTTCCGACCCACGTCCCGAAAACTCATGAAGCAGTGGCACTGGATCGCATCATTGAACTCATATTGTCTTATCAAGAACGACGACAACAGCCGATCGCGGTTTCCTCGCAGCACATGAACAAGTTGACGTCGTTCTCGGTGGTGCCGGAATGATGGCGGTGATGCTTTGAGTCAATGACCTAGTTCAGCCCCATACTCGTATCAGGGAGTGGGTGGTCAAGGCACTCTAAACAAAGTTAATTCTGCTCCTTCATATAAAAAACGCGCTGAAAGTGTCGATCAGTCTTCAACTACACGCTGAGTAAGGAGATCTACCGCATTTTTGATGACGGTCTTGAGTCAACATCAACAAAGTCCGATCTCTCCGTAGATACTGTGATAGACTCACCTAATGCGATTTGGTTTCTCGATTGCACAATGCGATCGAGTACATAGTTTAAGGAGTTCCCGGCCATAGATTTGGTGCTTCTGGTGATTCAAGACATTTAGCTCTACTCACCTATACACTCATTTGTCCTTTTTTAGCTTCAAGCTGTTGTTATCGACAATGGCGACTCGCCTGTTCCTCTCCTTAGGTCTTTTGAGCACCGCCGTGCTTGCCTCCTCTCCGGAAACTGCCATCGCAGCGCGCGCTTTTGACTGCTCTCCGGGGTCGGAGACAGGACTGAAGCCTGAGTGCTGGGCTCAGTTGAACGTATCAGACTACATCACCAAGTGGCTGGCTGAGAACGGCACCAAGGCCGACTGCGACAACCTGGGATTCGCCCAGTGTTTCTTGGCTTTCAACGGCTATGGTGGTCGAACTTGTGACACACTCACTCGCGACACGTGTGCAGCTTTCGAAACTGCCGGTGTCGATGCCGCCTACTCTTCACCGCAGCAATTCTACACCCTTTGGAACATCTACGCCATTTCTCAATTCTTCAACCAGTTCTCGGAGGCTCTTTGGAATGGCCACACCCTCGCTGCGGATACGATCGGGGACATTGTTGCTACCGTTTCCCCATCTACCGATCCTCAAGTCCCGAGCAACTTGTTGTGGACTTCAATCTCTGGCGGATTCTGGATGGCCGCTGTTGGCGCCTTTGCTAATCCCCTCCTGGCCGGCGTCGCCACAGGCATGGCTGTTGTCACAGGAATGAGCTCCTTCTTCATGTCCTCGGTGGCAGGCTCTTCCAATTCACGCTTCATCACGCTAGGTGAGATCGGGAGCAGCCTCGCTCAACTCATCATCGACTACCAAGGTAGCCTCGAGGGCGCCTTGAAGGAACTTCAGGGCAACAGTACCCTGTTCCTGGCCGCAACGGGGCCTGGTGGCTTCAGCCAGCGTGCTGTGACCAGCTTGAACCTCCAATCCACCGAGCTCTACCACGATCTGCAACTTTACATCCTTTCACTGTCTCTCAAGGCCAACGGAATCGTTTCCACTCGCTCGACTGGCGTCAATGCCCTCGACTACGCACCTGACACCAACGGCGCCGTCTCATGCCCTGGCCTCGGTCCAGCGGGCAACTGCTACCAATTCTGGATCGACCCAGACACGGGCGACTCGTACGCGCTGCACAACCCGAAGGACTGGAAGAATGACTACGTCGATGTGCTCAACAAGATCCACGACAAGAACTGGGCGAACTTGAGCGAGATCTTCAAGGTGGAGGATTGCCAGGGCAAAGACCCGAGCTTTGACGGAAAGACCAAGGTGATTTGCCTGGCGTCGCACGGATTCTGCGAGTGGGACTACGTCGATCAAGACACCGTCACCAAGTCCAGAACGGCGAACAAGCAATTTACTAACTGTGATAACGATAAATCGTGGGGTACTCTTTGTGACTGGATGAACGGTGGTCTTGTGATGCCCGAGGCTTACCTGGGACCTCTCTTCAAGTTCCAGGAGCCTGCGTGGTGCAGAGAGCACTAATTTCAAGGTTGACCTCCTAATTTGGTACACAATACCCGTATTTCTTGGTAGTACTCACCTCTACATATAGTTGACTTCGATCATGGCAACATTTAGTTCAAAGTTCATGCATTGTTAAACAGCGCAGTATTGTGTGCAGCAACTCAAGAACATACTGCCGGACTTATTCACGACTTAACTACGATAAAAATGCATGTAGTGATATCTATGGTAGAATTATCTCCAGACTTCCAGAGTTGATGTTTGAGCTCAATTTGAATGGAGCACGTGTTGGAGGGATGGAATGATCGCCACGAGACAGTGGGGGATCGTGGGGAACCGTACCTGGACAGGGATAGCGGAATTGCCGCCACGTAGATTAAAGATTTCGCTTTCGGATTGAGGGCTCTCACATTAGCATTCATATAGTCTTGGGGTCAGCATTACGCGGAAATAACATTCGACGCGTCCGATTTGATACCATGATTTGATGTTGAGGACATCCTAACTCCCGCATCTGATGTTGCCACAAACAGTATTGGCTGTAATTAAGACGCAGGCTATCTATATACTACGCGGGAGAGATTTACGCCTGTCCTCACTACTTGAATTCTGGTACAGAAGTCAGCAAGACCGTATTATACGAAGATTCAGTATTGATTGTATAGGACTGTGCATGTCGAAGGGGGAATTGGGTGTTTCCATGGGATTCTCCCAAGTAAAGTAGCATGGAAATAGTAGTCGGTAAATTGAAAGGACCGGTTGAGTGGTGGGCTTCACCAGTCCACCAAACGATCTTCTCACTTCGTGGAATATGTCCGATTTACCTTTCTTACATGTATAGTGCCTTCCAATGTCCCTCGTCTTGGGCCATTTGAAGTTGCTAAAGTGACATGTGCCTTACCTTGTAGATGCATGTGGTCTTTTGAAGCTAGTGGAAAACTTTCAAGTTTTTGAATATGATACTGTTTAAAATGCCTCTCATCCATGAGCCTCTTGCTTGCGTCTGAGCCAGACAAACTCGGATAAACTCAAGGTATGTCGATTCGGTCTTTACAAATCATAGCTGTGCGTGTCGAAAGCTACTACCTTTCCCGGCTCCGTGATTGTTCCATTGACCGGAGACGCAAGAGATCCCCCAGTAACAACATACAAGACTCCCTTGTCCTTGACATTCCGTCCGAAAGCAGTGGCAGTCCCTCCAGCGACAGTCAGTTCCGTCTCTGAGCCGGCCACGACGGTGCCCTTCCCCTCGGGTGTGATGTAAACAAGTTTATTATCAATGTTGGTCGCGGCCCAGATCCCGCCCTTCTTGTCAAAAGCAAAGTCGTCGAGAAACACAGCGGTGGTGTTCACATTGGCAATCTGGTCGATGGTGGCCTTTGCCGCAACTCTCCCCGAGCGATCAAGTTTGACCCTGAAGACCTTTCTCAGGGAACTGTGGCTCCAGTACAAATAGTCTCCACGAATTCGCACACCGTTAACTCCAATGGCTGGCACCGCGTCAGCTGCAGGCTCAAGATCTTGACCGCCTAGGATGGTCTCATATTTCTTGGCTTTGACATCGAGTCTGTACACTTTGCCAAGCGCGGACTCGGCAATGAGAACAATGTTGCGGTCCCACGGCAGAGCGACTACGCCATTCAGGAAGGCGGCCTCTGGGACGTTGACGATCTTGCTTGCCGTGGTCTTCTTGTCTGCGATGCTGACCTCCCATGCCGAAAAGGTACCGGGAACGCTGACACCGATGCCTGAGAAGTTGCCGCCTACCACCACGAATGTGTCGGGGCAAGTCTCGGTGATGCCGAGAAGGCCATTCAAGTCTGAGAACCGGTGGACGAGCTCTGTGGATGGCGACTTCTCCCACGGTTTGGCGACTTGGTAGAGTTCGGGAGAAGTAAGGAGAGGTAAAAGAAGGTTGCCATTCCTGCGAACGGCAATGTTTTCGATCCAGTTGGGCTTGGTTGGGAATTGGTACACAATGCGTGAGGGTAGGCTCTGACCTACAGCCAGAGCAATATAGAGAAGTGACGATGCAATTGAGGCCCTCATATTTGCTATGGGTTATGACGGGTTGTCTCTTAAGGCAATATGCCACGAAGTCTCAAAGTAATGGAGTGAATGAGCTCTTGATGCGGCAATGGTATGGGGCTCGTTGCAATTAAATACGATGGCCGGGCTTGCAGATTCTTTCTCAGGTTTGATTGAATCGATGCGTTGGCTTACAAACTTCCTGCATCTTACACAGGGTTCTCATTAGCTCCGGACTTGTCGTCTTACTGAGATCGTGCAGGCGGAACACCGCTTTACATGGTATCTACGTCCGACGTGGCCCATAATGTTCTTCCCAAGTTCCCATAGCAAAGCCAAGAGGTGCAGTAGCATGCGCAAGCGATTGGTGATCGTTCACATCTAGCCCGCAGAAGTTGTCGGCTAGAAGGATAGCGCAATCGCTTGGGAAGCTGACGTTGGAGTAGGGTCTCAGCTGGGATCTTAGGTACATGTTAGAACAAGCACCAATGCATAAGCAAAGCACTAGAGTCATGCGTAGATAAATCCGCGGAAATATTACCAATCGATAACATTAATGATCAGATCTGACTCTATTGAAGTAGTTGGAGTCTCAGCCGTTCTAAGAGTTACTTGACTTTATAGCTTGGTCAGTCCCACGGAGACGCTGTAGCTTGTGCGGTTCTCCTCGACGATTAGTCTGCCCTATTTCTTTACTCCTAGTACCCGCAAACGAGCACTGTCCGGCAGGTTGGTCCACCGCAAACTCAAGGGTTTCTCCATTAATTAGTGCCTAGCTCTGCTAAGTAGATACTAATCAAGTACTTGGAACAGGTAGTGACTTTGCAATCGGCCAGTCATACTGTCGTAAGTGTAAGTTCATCGATGTAAACGGATGATGTCACGTGGATATCGGTATTGGTTCTGAACAATTGTTGGAAGACACTGGTGGCGTTCGGGGGCTGATGCTAATTCGACATCATGCACTGGCTCGCCAGCCCACAATCCCTGGATCTCAGCGCTCTACCCCAACCGAATATTGTAACAAGGTTTGATTTCCAGAGGAAAGACGTCGAGACTTAGAATTCGAAGAAGAACCGGCGCTGGAAATCCATTGAGGGTTCTTGAGAAAGACTTAGCTGCGACATCGGATCCAGGCGTGCGGCTTGCATCGGGAGAGGGCCGATGTTATTTGGGACGACGCCCTTCGTTTGTCACTAGCGCATGGGGCCCTCTGGGAGTCATCCTTAAGGTCCAGGTTGAACGTCACATATAAACTTCACATACTGAGGTATACTGAGTGCTACTCTCATCATCCATACGTGAAGCTGATCACCAAATAAGACATCATACTGCCCAACATGAGTAACGAACTCGCCCAAGAGCTGAAGCAGCTGCATGTCCCCGCATCACCAGTCATCTTCACCAACATCTGGGACCTAGCCTCCCTCAACGCAATCATCTCGCTAAACACCACTGACTCCAAGCCCGTAAAAGCCATTGCAACCGCATCATGGACCATCGCAGCAACAGTGGGCGTGAAAGATGAGGATCTCAAGTTAGAGCAAAACATGGCCGCGATAGGCCAACTCGCGCCCGCCGCCAAAGCCGCTGGCCTCCCTCTCTCCGTCGACCTCCAAGACGGCTACGGAGACCTAATCGACGAGGTCGTAACGGAAGTGGTCAAGCTAGGCGCTAGTGGTGCCAACATTGAAGACAGCATCCCCTCCGCCGGATTCGAGAAGGGCATCGAGGGGTCCCTCTATGGCGTAGAAACGCAGGTCGCTCGCCTCAAGAGAGCCTTGGAGGCGGCTCGCGAGGCCGGGTGTCCCGATTTTATCCTCAACGCTCGGTGTGATGTGTTCCGCCTCGAGCCGTATTGCGCGGATGACGACGAGAGTGCTCTGACAGAGGCCGTGAAGCGGGGCCGGGCTTACTTGGAGGCCGGGGCGACGACTGTGTTTTTCTGGGGCGGTTCCGGACGCGGGCTGCGGTCATCGGAGGTTCAGGTGCTTGTGAAAGAGCTCGGTGGGCGGGTTGCTGTCAAGCTTGGGGATCGGGCGGACTCGCTATCGACAAAGGAGCTGGGCGAAATTGGTGTCGCTAGGATCAGTGTCGGACCAAGTTTGTACCTTGTAGCGATGAACGCGGTGAAGGAGTCGGCGAAAAGGATCTTGGACGGAGGGAAACTGGCTGCTTGAGAGCTTTTACCGTCGAAGAAAGCTTGAAGGATGTCACAGGATACAAACAACGCGGACAAAACCGAGCGGCGTCGAACTGGATGTGTCATTCAACCAGGTTTGCTACGTGGCGCACCTTTTTTATGAATCAAAAGTCTTTGAACCGCTCCAAGAATAACTATGTTTTTGGGGAGGACTCGAAACAGTCCTGCTCCAGTCAATATGTACAGATCTTTTAATTGGCCTCCAGAGGCCTCATTTACATCTTCTATGTGATCAAATATCCCGTCTAATTGATGGCAGCAGGGGGCTGCTGGCCAGGCAGAGGAATACTTTGCGGGTGAGCAGTGAACATGCCCTCGGGGTCGTACACGGCCTTGATCTCCTGCAACTTGGCGTAGTTCTTGCCGTACAGGCGCTCGCTCCACTGATCAACGGTGAGAGCGGTGTCGCGGTAGTTTACGAAGCCACGCAGGGGCACGCCCTCGGCGGCGAGTTGGTCCTTGAAGGGCTGGAAGCCGTTCTGCATGTAGCTCAGGCCGTCGGCGGGGAACTGGGTCAAGTTGGTGGCGAGACGGCCCTCCCAGCGGATGAGCCACAAGCTGTTGGCGTGGGCGAAGGAGGTGTCGTCGTCCTTGAGGGCCTTTGTGGGCTTGCCGCCCCAGAGGTCGATGAAGCCGAACTTTGTGAGGTCGGCGCGGTTGAAGGCCACGGTGGTGAAGTTGTAGAGGGCGGTGGCGGAGGCCTTTGTGAAGGGCTGGTCCTCGCGGAGGACGAGGGCCTGGAGGTAAAAGTTACGAGGGGGGAAGGTGTCAACGGGGACGTCGATGGAGGGGGTGGCGACGTTCTCGACGGCCCAGAAGTCCTGGACAGTGCGGGTGAGCTGAGTACCGTTGGGGAGCTTGGCCATGAGGGGCTCGAGGAGCTTGTCAAAGTCCTCGGGGTTGCCCCAGTAGAAGCCGGAGCCGGTGTAGGGAGGGGCGGTCAGGGACCAGCGCATGGTGAGCTCGTCGGGCCACTGGCCAGAGAGGTAGTGCTCCTGGATGGCGAGGAGTGAGTCAACGCCGGCGGAGAGGGAGCTGTCGGTGAGGGTGATGGTGTAGTTGATAGCCTGCTGGTAGGTGGGCTTCCAGGTCTTGGTGGTGAGGCTCAGGATAATACCATAGGAGCTGCCGGCACCTTGCAGGGCCCAGAACAGCTCGGGGTTCTCGGTGCGAGAGGTCTCGACAATGGTGCCATTGTAGAGCATGTAGGTGGCGCCCTCGAGGTAGTCCATGGGGGTTCCGAGCATGCGGGATAGGGAGCCGAAGCCGCCTCCGATGGAAGAGCCGATCAGGCCGACCATGTTGGCGCGGACATGAGGGAAACGGGCGCCGTGCTCCTTCCAAAGCTGGCTGACAACAGGGCTCACAAGAGAGCCGCCGCCGTAGGTAAGCAGACCGGTGGTCTCATCATACTTGGTCTCCTGGAAGTGTGTCATGTTGATGGTGAGCCCGGCGTTGGGTAGACTGTACGAGCCATAGCAATGACCGCCATCACGGGCCGCAACCAGAACCTTTGCCTCCCGGGCACAGGCGAGGGCTGCGGCGACCTCATCGGTGGTGCGCGGCCAGGCGACACCGGCCGGAGTGGGGGCGATGCGGCGCTGCCACGGGAGGATGTCGGTCGGGAACGAGGCGTTAGTCTCGGGGAATGATGTGAGAAGGCCGGCCGTTTCTAGGCAAGTCTCTAGACCCTGGGCCTGGGCGCACGAAGCGAGGGATGCCGTCGCAAAAGCGGCGATACTGAAAAGACGGACCATGGTGAATGAATGCAGCAAGAAAAGGAGAGACTGAAGTTGGAACAGCAGAGCTTGGAAGCTTCAAAAGAACATCACTTGGTGAAGCTCATGCATCTAGGGCTTTGCTTTATATCTCATCTCTTCGGTTCCCCCTAATTCCCAGCGTTCTATCATGATTTCTTGGCATCGTCTCTTTGCACCACGTCGTCGGGCAGTTTTACCGCAAGTTGTAACGGAGGCATCCGCTCGCGTCGAGCTCGGGAGCACCGGAGACCGGATGAACTGCTGTGGTGGTATTGGTAAAGGGGTTCAGCAGGACAACGCTCGCCCGTAGAGTGGCTCATCTTGCCAACTGCAATAAAGTTGCAGAAACCTTTTTAGATTGTTTCCCAGCTTTTCTACAGGTAGAGTTCGGCTTGGAATCAGGGATGACCCGCGTCACCGGGCTTGTGGAGAGGACGTTGTTGGGCGCTTGAGTCATTGACTTTCGGGAGGGACTGAGCAGCATCATGAATTTCTGCTCGCAATGAGGGGCTTGCGGTTAACATACACAGTGAAATAGAAATTCCCGCCAAATTGATGCCTCACTATCATCGGTACCGCATGCAGAAATACAGCGGACGTCGAACACGTTCTGTGCTGTGTGGCGCACTTTCGGCCAAGTTTGTCAGGTACGCCCGGACACGGAACTGGGTCAAAAGTCGTTCCCCGGCAGCTCAAATATGGGCGCACTGCTACGGAGAATCGCGGTGCCAAGACAGACTATCCCCTGGGACATATTGCAAGATGGAGTCGTAAGTTTCTGGGGATGAGAGAAATGAAATTTCGCACCATACACAATACCGCGATTCGCCGAATCCTCTCCCCAAGCGTGTTACATTTATTTGGTTTGCAGAGCATGACTTGGAACTTTGGCCGTTTGGATGAAGGTAAGTGCCAAGACAACTCTGTAAGATGAACTTGGACAACTCGATACGCGTATTGAACACTACACAAGGGACCTTGCTTTTGCGATTGAACGCTGGCTAGCAATAAGGGCGGCTCACAGGTGATTTCCAGCGCGTCATTGACTCTCGGAGCGTTGACTCTCGGATCATGCGGCGACTCCACATCCCAGAGCGCGGCTAACATAGTCGTGTAAATCGCTTGGCCAATCACATAACGGTCAATTCTGAACAAGGTTGTATAGTGTAGCGGTTATCACTCCAGATTTTGATTATATCAAAACTTCTGGTAACCCCGGTTCGAACCCGGGTACGACCTTGCATTTTTGCTTTTTGTCATCTTCTTTGATTCTTACAAAGTTCTGATGCTAATCAAGGTGTTCTAAATGTTTGTGAAGCAGTATTCTGTAGTTTTGCGTCAGTATGATTTTACTCAGATGGTTGTTAACGAACTTGTCCGTCCTCTAATCATACTTTACATTCATCTGCAAAGCTTGACGGTATCATCGCATACTTTCATTGGTTATTTCACCGAGGTAACTTCGACTTTCATTCCCACCAGTAACTTTAATCATTCGAGAGGCCTGCTCAAGCATCTGATAGGCTGCACCTCCTCCCGCCGTCTTTTTGTTGATGTTCCCATCGAATGTCAATCGTCACCTTATCGTGCTCTGGACAACTTAAGACCTAGCGTGTGCGATCGGAGCAGGCATGTCGAGCTTCTTTCGGTCTCTGCGACACGACTTGCCGGAGCATCCCTGCATTCACCTCGCACAGAGGTCATCCAACAACCAACATACATACGGGATGGCACTTCATTCCCGGCTGGCATTAATGCATCACAATCTTGACTCGGGTGAGTGATAGAGTTGTGGGTGATGCGCCGGCGACCAACCTAAAGGCACTGACGTCGATACCGACGGCTCGGAGCCGATGTGTGACAGCCTGTCTTGCCCGGCAAGGCACATTTGTCAATAGCTCGTATAGTTGCAGCCGATGCTGTGTTGACCCGTTGAACGCGGGGGATGATGTTTGGAAATATGCATGTTTCCTACTACCCCTGGAGACTCTTGAGGGTAAGTACCAACTGACAAGTGTTCTAGAGGTCAAGTCAGTTCTGAGGGTAAGCTTAAAGACGGCTTTATGTGCATCTCGGATCTTCGACGATCTGTGAGTTACCTTCGTGAGCATATTTCACCTCATACATGTGTCCTCGTTGATATCAATTTTACTTCTGGTTGAAGCAAGCTCGGGACTTTGCTTCACATCCGGCATGACGCGCTTCAAGACCTCAAAACCCAAGTTCAAGCCAGAACACGACAGATCAGAAAGCAAGCACCCACCAAGTTTCTCCCAGCGTCTTCAACAAGGACTTGGGTCCCTCGGTCTCGCAACAGTAGGCGGCGGCACGGTTTTGGTACTCGCGATCCTCGGCTTTCTCCTCTTCCTATGGACCGGCGAAGGCTCGCAAGACGGCAGGACAGCCGCGACCCTATGGCGATGGATCATGCTTAACCAGCACATTACGCAGGCTATCACTTTGTCAACAGTCTTGCTACGAATAGCAGTCACAGCACAGGCTTCCATCTACACAAGCCTTCTTGCCGGCGTGGTTCTAGAAAAGCATGGTGTTCCTCTCTTTCGAGTTGCTGAGATTTCCATCATCCGGTGTACGAATGATGGGCCGTTCCAGCTGACTTGGCTACTCATGACGTCTGCACGAAAAGCATATGTGCCGACCGGATTAGCAATCTTGCTATTGCTGACGACGTTGTTTATACAATTCTCATCGACTCTCCTGGTGTCCGATTTGGATATGGACGATCTTGTGGGTGATGCCAAAGCAAGGATACTGAATGTGCATATGAGTCGCGATGTTATCTCGCTGAATCGGCAGATGAATAACTGGATTAGTCGCCCGACCGCATATGTGCCATTTGGCGAGGCGCCTTCACGGGCAAACACGACGACAGGTGATCGGTCGAGCTTCAGCGATACTGGCATCATAAGAAGAACTTTTTTACCCCTCTCAACATTACAAATGTCTACGCTACGCCAATATACCGGCGGTGCCTACGGCTTCGAGTCGCGCTTTGTATGTCTCCGTCCGTCGGTGGCCGCCTTCCTCTCCGTGACGGCTCCCGCACCAGGCACGAGCACTATCCCTTTCTTTCTGAATGTAGCGGGTAGTTTATCATATGAGAGCATGTTCCGCGAGGCAGGTCTATCACCGCCGAGAAACTGCGAGAACGGGAACTGTTTTCCGTCAGGTTTCAACTGCTCGCTGCCTCAGTTCCAATACACTGAAACGCAGGCACGACAGGGCTTCACCAACAGCTTGTGCATCCCCAATGGCACAGCCGCACGACCAAGTGCCCAGAATCACACCATCTCAGAGGATCCCATCATGGCGTACTCTCAGGTCTTCCTATTCTTCAGAAATAACGGCACCCACGATCTATGGAAAGGACCGGGAAATCGCGTTCTGGCGGGGACATTCGATTTGAATAATGTTACTTCTACTGATGGCGAATGGCTCACATACAATCGTCCCATCGGGGGAAGTCTTCCAACAGGAGAAAGAATCGAGACGGGCGTGTTGAGGTTGGATATGTCGCTCTGCTTCCAGCAGTTGGCCTTCAACTTTGCGGAAGTTGAGGTTTCCAGCAACAAGGACCTGAAGGAGTCGCAAGTCACCTGGACTCCGGAGACCAAGGCCTGGAACACGAAGAAAATTCAGAAACTCATGGGCATCGGATCCCACAGCAAGAGCACCAACAGCCGCGGGATCTTCTCAGTGGACTCAACACAAAACACCCGCCACCTGAACGCAACGCAATACCTGACCAACAAACTCATCAACGACTTATATAGTTCGCCGCGAACATTCAACTTTTCTCTCTTCATGGATCCTCAAGGCAGCGGGAATTCCCCCATCAAGCCGCACGTGGAGTACCAGGCCATCTTTGCCGACATTCTCAACGTCACCAATCGTCCTGGCGTAGCGATGCAGTCTACCTTGACAGCCCTCTCGGGTTCCATTATCAACGAGGCGCTTCCGCAGTTCGACGTTCAGGCCAACGCCATCCTGACTTCGTCGGTGCGCGTGATGACTCCCAAGAGCCTGCGCGGCCTGCTCATCATCTTCGGCGTCATGGCTCTGAACATGTCGTGTGGTCTTGCCGTGGTGCTCGTTTTTATGGTGCAGAGTCGGTACTCTAGCCAAGGGAATTATTGGCAGGGTGTGGCGCAAATTGTGTCTGATGAGACAGCGTGGATTCTGGAGGGTGCTACTGACGCGAGTGATGGCCATGTCGAGGATGAGGTAAGAGGTTCGAATCACCTCGTCTGTATTAGTCGTTCAGATAGAAGTGGACGGGTGCGTGTGGCTCCCGTTCATTCTGTCTAGGGTACATCAATGTGAGAGTCATCTCAAACATACATACATAAGTAAATTGGATCAGTCTATTCATCTGAGAGGAAGGGGCTTTTAGTCACAGCGTCGCTAATGATGCACCAGATTATGCCCTGACCCTGGACCTTGTCTACAACCTCGCCGTTCTTGCGATATAGTACAATAGACTCAATTGGCTCATTGATGAATACCTAGGTCTAGACAGCTTCATGATGTGGACAGGAGCAACATTTAACCAAGTGAATCACGGAAACACTTGAAAGTTCATGTATGTCAAGCACATATAGATATAGGGCCAACTTGCTGATAATATTCAGATATCTGCCCGTATTCTCATAGACTCTTCAAATCATTTCCCATTCACCTCTCCCCCTTTTTTGTACCCTCTTCGTCGTGGCACAACCTTATTAGAGCCATCCCGCGTTGACTGCATTACTTCTCAATAAGCAAAAGGATTTGAGGCTTAGTAGAACCTGATCCCAGTATTAGAAGTTGTAATGAGTGTGCATCTACTCGTCATCGTTGATGTCGATGACGGTCTTCTTCCACTGGCGGGCAGGAATCTTGCGCTTGAACATGATGTCGATCTCGCGGAAGGAACGGCCCTTCATCTCAGGCAAGAAGAAGAAAGCGACGACGAAGCAGACGAAACCAGTGGCACCCCAGACGTAACCACACTTGCCGCCCAAGTTGACACCCTATTGCGTGTGTTAGTAAATGTGAACCTTCCTTACAAGGTAAGAGTGAGAGCTTACGGTAGAGTTAAGCATGTAGGTGGCAAGGAAAATGCAGGGAATGTTGACGACGTAGTAAGCGGCACGGCCGATACCAGTGGTCAAAGGACGAAGGCGAATGGAAGATGTCTCGGCGATGATGACCCACGAGGCGGGGGCAGGTCCGAGAGTGAAACCGACGGAGACAATGAGACCCAAAGAGGCCATCGCCAAGGAGGCAGCGGTAGACTTGCCGACGGAGCCAGCAATACCGAGGGCAATGAGGAAGGCAACGTTGATGAGCGAACCCCAGACGTAGATAGTGCGGCGGCCGAGGTAGGTCGTGAGAATCCAGGAAAGCATAACGAATACGGTCTGGAGAGCGGAGGTGATGAGACCGAGGGCGAAGGCAAGCTGGGAGCCAATACCGGCCTCTGCTTATGTGTTAGCCTCCATATGAATTGAAAAGGGAAGAAGAGTTGGAAACTTACGTCTGAAGAAGTAAACAGCCTGGTTGGCGATGAGGTTACCAGTAAGGTTCTGGGCGGCGTAGACACCACAGACGATAAGGGTGCGGTATCTGTCGGTGCCCTTGAAAAGCTCGGCGTAGCTGGGGTCCTTGACGTCCTTCTCAAGCTCAATGGTACGGCGCATCATGGCGACGGACTCCTCAATGTTGGCAACGGCAGATGAGCGACCAAGACGACGGACCGAAACCGCAGCCTCCTCGAGACGTCCCTTGCGAACCAACCACCAAGGAGACTCGGGGGCAAGGAACAGAAGGATGGCAAGGGGAGTGGGGAACATCCACTGAAGGGCGATAGGGACTCTGTACGCGCTGGGGTCTCTCTTGCTCTCGTAGACGTAGCAGACACCACCGACGATAATGGCACCGATAGCCCAGAACATCTGAAGCATCTGAGTGGCGGGGGCTCTCAGGCGCATGGGCACAATCTCAGAGCAGTAGGCGGGCGCGTTGGCGATGAAGATACCCCAGGGGATACCCTCGAGAAGCTGGCTGACAAACATGACGGCGAGCGAGTTGGCGAAGTAGAAGACGAAGATGAAGGCGTTAAGGAACATGAGGCCGGAGATAGTGGCCCAGCGGTATCCGATGCGACTGGTGATGGGACCGGCGATGCAGACACCGATGATGGCGCCGAGAGGACCACCCATCTGAAGGGCGGATTGCCACGATGCCTCGATCTGCTTGCCGTCGTCCGCTTCGACACCGAATGTGTCCTTGAACTCGTCCATGGCGACAAAAGCACCCATCAAGAAGACGCAGTAGGATTCCATGATCTGGCAAACCATTGTGATTAGTTACCGGTCGTCACATTTGTGTGTAATAGACTTGAGGTAGCTAAAGTGACTTACAATCGTGGTAGACATGATGAAAGCCCAGAGGGAGGCCATGGGGTAGGCCTTGACGGCCTCGATGACTCCCATGTTGTGCTCAGCCTGTTCAGCCTCGATGGCATCGGCCTTGTAGGAGGCGGGCGATGCCTTCTCGTCGAGGTCGGCGACATGGTCGATGTCGCCGTAGGCCTCGACCTTTGCCGGGTCGGACTTGGAGTCGAGTGTGGTGCTCATGTTTGCAGACTCTCTTTGAAACCTCACCGAGAATTTGGAGTTGGAGGTTTGTTTGGCCGGGTTGCTTGGTGAGGAGGAGGAGGGGGACGGGGGAACGCGAGCAAGCAAGAACAGAGAAGAGACGAAAGCCAAGAGAGAGAGGGTGGTACTGGGCAGGCTGTTTAATAAAGGTCTTGTCTTACTCCCCAGTTCTCGTTTTCTTACATGTCCAATGGAACATTGTCTTAAGAGTTAACCCCAGTCGGGTGTCATTACGCTAGCGCAACTTGAACCAACGCGAACGTATGAAAAAAAGGTGGACGGGGATCTGAATCCCACAGGGAATCCTCACAAGCGCAATCTGGGCATATTGGGGTTCCCCAAACGTCCTCAACCCCGCCCCCCGCATTGGTCCATAGACCCGTTCCCACATGAGCCTGGGGAATGGGGAAGAAGGGCGGGTGACACTCTGGGGGATCGAATATCGGCTGATGATGAACCGAGCCCGGTCAGATATTCTCCTATGCGCCGACGCGCTCCAATAGGGGTGGGAGGTTGCTCAAGGTTTTTGGAGAAACGGCGCAGTTGGACCAGTTAGGGACACTAGTCAGGGTCCGGCAAACTTATCCCATCGGCCCTTTCACCAACGGGGGCCTTGTCATAAACTCGGGGCTCTTTTCGCTCTTGGGGTTAGTTTCCTGACTTCCCCAGTACGCCGCGTTGCTTAACTTGCTTGGCTCCTTGGATGGACGCGGCTCCTTAGCTCCCCATGTGACCGCGGCGGCCACTTACTGAAACGGCGAGTTGTTAAACTAAGTAGTTTCTCGACCTCTTCCACCCTCCATCATCGGCTCTCATTAGGGCGCGTCGTAGCACACCCGTTGGACCGCCGAGATGGGGAAAGGCGTAGCCGCCTGTAGGAACGCCGCCGCACCGCGTCGCGAAATACGGGTTCAGCCGCCCCCCTCTTCGGTATCTCGGTCAACACTGAGCCGCTTCCCACCGAGCATTCATGCTGTTTTGTAGCCGCTGCAGTGCAGATGCAATGGACAGCAAATCTTAGGCCCAGTCCCCTCTATCTTCAACCTTCCCCAGTGATCTCCCTTCGCTTCTACAGCTGAACGTGTCAACGTGGTCTCAGACCATGGTCCATGTCAGCAACCAAGCGCTAGTTCTCCGCGAAATTAGCGTCCAATGCAGTCAAAATGCACACCCGTTCCACCCAGCTGCGAGATCCGTCTCCACGGGTCCGGGGCAGAGACAAAGACCCAATAGCTTAATCAGGTCTCCTCAAAAGACACGAGGCGGACGAACCAGCCTGGCATTTGGAAGGCGCCCGGCCTTCGAGCTGAGGCGCCTTGCGCGCTCGAGGTTCCCGGGAAACCGGCAAGGGTTACTTCACGTTGATACCAACCGAGCCAATAGTGGCCGAGGTGTCACCCAACTTGGCGATATTATTAATTCTGCAAAAGTCAGAGGGCCAATGGAAACCCAAGCAGAGAGGCTGGAACGCGTTTGCGGACATCGCCTTGCGGACCATCGTGCCCTTTCGGGCGATACCAGCAACGTGGCACCAAGGATGATCAAGACATCGATGAAAGTCATGCCATAGTCGCGCTAAACCACGGTGATTTCAGCTTCATGTTGATGAACTTCTTGTTGGGAACTCCACAAAGGTCTGGAATTGGCTCGGTTGCAGGGCGCGCCCGTTCACGGATAGCCGCGATAATTTGGCTGGATGGCTTCTAGAAAATGAGTCGAGTATAGCTCAAACCAACACTGCGGTTCGCGCTGATCATCCATTCCCTTGGAATTCCTTCCACAAGTATCGATCTAGCCGCTACTATTGATCTATGGTGGTAAAGATGGACTGTGTACAGGCACGAGGACGGGCAACTTCATGCCTGGAGATTTCAATTCTGATAAGAGAGGGTGAGCCATGTGGAGAAGAGTCAGCTTTCAATGCGGGATCTCAGCCGATCATGATGGAGAAGACTTTGAAGCACAGTGAAATCACGTGCAGTTGTTACGCGTATGTTTGATGTTGCATTTGGCCGAAAAGAAGATGGTGATTCACTTGAACCTGAATGGTCCCGTGACGAGGTTTCTCCTGCAATCTGTGTAACAGCGTTCTACCCCTCTTTCAGCTCACAACAGCATATGTCAGATAGACATTACATGCCCGCTTGATTGGCATGTTTTCTCCGTGAGGTGTCATGTGAGATGCCGAGATCCGCATTGTTGGTCACGGTGCACCAATTGTCCTGCAGGACGGCAATTTTGGTGCAAAGACCACGTTGTCAGTCTCTCACCGGGGTATTCCAAAGAGCCAATGTATCCGTACGTTAGCTCACATCAACTTTAGGTTTGAACGTCGCGTAAACTAAATGATGCTGTGACTGGTGGGGTTGGATCGTGGGGATACACGCTAGGTTAGACATATTCCAGATATGGGGTTGACCCGATGAAAAAGATTATGTTAATATTTCGGCTGCCTCCACGATACCGAAAAGACATCGGTCCCCCGGGTCTGGGACCGTCTGGCCAACTTTGGTTTTCTCCAGTCTTCACGCTAACGTAATTATCTTTGAGTTCCTGGGGCCCGCAAGAAAATTTATCGCTGCCAGGGTTCTTAGCGTCGATATATCCACAACCCACAGCCCACAACTCAAAACATCGTGAACTTGTGAAGCGACTTCGGCTCGTGATCATATCCATACTAGCACGTGCACTCTTCCACCTGCAATCTTAGGACTAGTGAGGCCAGGATCTGAGCATCCACCTCCAAATCCTCGGGTCTCCGAGGATCTACATCACGGAAGGGTGGCCGAGTTGGTTATGGCGCCAGGTTAAGGTCAGCTTAACATCTATTTCCTGGTGGGGCAACCCGCGCGAGTTCGAGTCTCGTCCCTTTCATTTTGATGTCTATGTGCATGAGCAGTCTTTTTGGTTGCATGAGACCAGTTGATAAGTCACTAAGTGGTGGTTAAGGTGCCTCACAGGTGGTCTAGAAATTTTCCTGATTGATGTAAACACTGATCATGAATTCGATCGAAGGTGTCGGTATTTGTAATCCCATCTCTTTTTTCTCAAACGCTAGATTGTTGCCTCGTTCTCCATAGGTAAGAAGCTGGACTCGGATAACCCGCAGTGGAAAGGCGAGCTACTCGTATCATGAAATCTCTTCACTCAGGACCTGACTCTACTGGCTTCTGTCCAACCCAAGAATAATACGTGCCATACGCATGCACATTCGGATCTTTGATCGAATTCCGGACTGATGCGAGAAATACCTCGATCTCTGTCCGCTCCATCCCCAGAGCTGCCAAAGGCTTGCTCGCAGCAGCGCCCAAGAAATCCTCCGTTACTGAGCGCATGTAATACCCGACTAGCCGCAGTGTCTTGTTGAGAGGCCAACGGCCGACTGGCACTTTGTACGATTTGAGTTGGACATTGACGAAGCCGGCATCCTTCATGAGGGCGCCGATGCGCGGGGCGACTTGAATGTCAATCTTCATCTGGTGCATGGCGTCGCGTATCTTGGACCAAAATTCCAGCAGGGGCCAGTCTTCGGGCATAGTACCGTCATCGCATTTGACGTTGGCGCTGAAGTCTTGTGTTTCAACATAGGCCCCAGGCTTGAGATTGCTACAAAGTGAATTTGATAAGTGCCATGTTATACATGAGTAGAGTCACTGGTGTGCAGAGTATCAGGATTCAGACTCACTCAAAGACTCGTTTGAGAAGCTTTGGGAGGTCGTGCACGAGAGATGCCAAGTTTCGCATATGGATGAGATCGAAATTGTCCCCGGACTAGGTAGTATTGGTCACTCCCAGTTAGAGTCCCTCTCGATGGGAAGATCTCATTCCACGGTAGAGCACTTACCAGCCACTCATCTTCCACATCATCCACGAAGAAGTGTACATTAGAAGGCACCCTACGAACCAGATTAGAATATTGTTGCGATAAAACGACCGAATGGATGTACCAGGTTGGCTGGATTGGAGACAAGTCCACGCCGGTAACTTCGGCTGAAGGGTACAGATCTCCGACTTCAGATTCTCAACCGTCATGTTCTATTCTCATATGTAGCTGCTTGGAGTGAGTGTCACACACCTTCCATGGCCCACATGCCTGTGAAGACAAAGTATTCAGCATTCGAGTGTGATGCTGACCGAATCTCGCTTGTGACAGGGTCTTGAAGATAACTTACCAGTGCCCGTGCCTAGATCAATAATCTTGCTGGGTGAGTCGCCGATCGGTGCATGAAACAGCTTGCCATCAGTGAGCTCCATGACCATCGCGTGCTTCATATCTTCGCGATTCTGCTCAATATCATCGTTGGGGATAGGGTATCTTCCATCCCGAAAAGAGTGATAGCTTGGAGGTTCAATTTGATAAGTCTCTGAACAAATGCAGGTAATAAACTCGACATCCACAGTTCTGCTTGCGAAACGTACCGTCTGCCATTCTCATAGGAATGCTTCAGGACCGACGAGGTGATGGAAGTCGAGCCCGATGAGGAAGCATCCCACTCGCTTGGCTGGAACCCATCGTCGCTCACATCGCCACCAGCTTCAATAATATCTGGTGCTTGCTCTGGAGATTGCGCTGGATGCCCGTCTTGCGGCACTTGCTCAGGACTGGCACTCATTGGATGCTGGTGATTGGGTCCGTTGATTTGAGTGGTACTGTCGTGTTACTCGTGTTTGCAAGTAGTTGCCGTCGACTGAGAGTCCGAAACCAGACTAATTATGCGGTCTTTGCCGTTATCGTACGCCTACTGACAGCCAAGCGGGGAAAGCGTGAGATCTCGGTCCTCCGGCAAGAAGTGGCGTAACTAGGGCCCAATGGTGGCTTGCGGAACGGGCGTTGCAGTAGCTCCATGCTTGGAGATATACCGCTTCATGATTGGTACGCATGGATCCAGTTGGAGGGCAGATGTCCCATTTCTGGAATGGCCCTCATTAGCGTTCTTCTTCTCACTGAAAAGTCCATTGAGATCCGCCCGGGCGAATGCGTGAGCGTAGTGTTTTGACTCTTTGGAGCAGCCGAGAGACAAAGGACTTACCATTATCTAGCAGTTCATGCTTCACTATGAAGAAAAGTTGTCTCTCATTTCAAAGCTCAGATGTGTTTTGGAACTTGCTATCTCTCCCTCTGGTAATCCGTGCCCGTCTCTCTCCATCGAAAATTTGGAATTATTCCAAACTATCTATCTCGTTCAAGTTACCTCGCTCCATGTCCCTCTTGCACTCCGTTCTCTGGATCATCTTGGAGCCGCCGTGATAAGCTCCACCCGGCGCCGGCCGGTTCTAGGGCCATTCCATACCGCCGTGCCCGGCTCCCGGTCTACCCCGGCGAGAGAGTATGCGTGCCCACAGCATCATCACCGTAACGTTGTGTGTTACAAGGTGAGGTACGGAGTACTTATCGACAATTGAGTGCAATCATATTTATTAGCTTACATGTGACTGTGGTCAGTCCAACGCACAGCATCAACGCCAAAGGCCTTGCTTTCAAGCGAGCTCTGCTACTTCAGTCTGCCGTGGCTTGGCTGCATTAGTCAGTGAGATTCTGCACAGAATCGCATGCTGAACGGGTGCTCCCGACATGCCTGTCGTGTGTATTAGAACTTGGCCAAGATGCTCCGAGTCATTCGATGGGAGAAACCATGCCGCTAGAAGGAGCGCGCCCCAGCATCGCCAAGACGTAATCGGTATCTGCCGGTTCACGATCCTCCATCTCCATCGGCGATATTTACTCACGACGCGGTCGAAAACATCAAAGTCAGATCATGAAACTGGCTTCAGCCATAACGACATCCGTCCGGAGGCTTGGTGCAGTCTGTCTCAGTCAGTGATCTTTACCTCGACGCTCTGCGGATCGGTGGGCAACTATGACAAGAACCTTCGCGCCTACATCTTTACGGAGGACAATTGAGATTTTGACAATGAACTCTCAGCCGCAGATCGAACACCATAGAAATAGCAATATGGTGCTGTCGACGGATTAATTGTAGTCGACATTTTCCGTCCATATGCGGCCTGTCACTTCCATGAGAAAAAAAAGTTCGTAAGGTCGCTTCGTCTTATTTCGTTGCTTTCTATCCCTGAAAGAATTACAGCGAACATCTCTCAGCGACCAAGGTTAGCTGCCTGGTTATTGACATGGTTGACACGGAAGCGAATACGGCAGACGTTCTGCTCTTGCATGTTGACCGCAACATCCAAACACGCCCAGGATTTTCAAGATTCAAACAATAATGAGACACATATGCCAATCCGGGAATGGATCCCAAAAATACGTCTGTTGCCTACCCCCGCAGCGCTTAAACTTGAGTCGGTGACATTGGGAGACTGGGGGCGATGAAGCGGTTTCAGGCCCGATAGACCCAACAGCGCTCACGGGCCACGGCAGGTCAGTGTCTAGCGTATTTACTTTGTTTTTCTTAGCGGGCCTAGGGGGATATGTTATTAAGGTTAGCCTGCAGCAAACCCTCGCAGAGAGTACGATTTCAGCATCCAACATTAAGATGAGAGCAATTAAGCAGACAACTTAGTTCTTCAAATATTAAGATTAAGTATGACCGAAAACCTTCGGTAGAGTTCGTTTCCGTCCAATCAATGGAACGAGAGTTCATGCAATGACCACATGCCGCTTGACCTGTGAGCTGAGAGTCATGCCAGTGACACTTGTCATACCATCATTCCCGACGTCAAAGGAAGTTTTGCCACACGGGCGAAAAGATGGGATGAGTTCGATATCCGATGGGTAGAACCTCGGAAGAAGACGAGTCAATGAGGGTCCCGATCGAACTCCAAGACTTTTTTTTTGGTCGCGGTGTTTGGGATCACCAGGGGATCATCCAGCAGAATCTCTGCCTGGTTGATGAGCATCAAGACCCATTTTCAACTTTGCTCAAACGCCATGAACTAACGCCCGTCTTCAAACGATCCTCCTCTCTTTGGAGCATGGGGTCAAAGGAGGACGACGACAGAAGTGGGCACGGCCAAAGCTGCTGCCGTTCGAAAATTGGCCTCCAGCGTCTGAAAAATAAGCTTGGCAGTAAGATACAGGGGGTCGTGAAACTCTCCTTGAGGATGGTGGTGGAGTCAAATTCCTCGGAGCCTTGCCGCCGTCATGGGCACAATCTCTACTCTCTATGAGCTACCTCAGAGTCCGATAAAGAGACGATATGGAAAGATCCAGGACCCTGGCTCACATGCGCAGGTGCTTACCCTATGGTCTCGAAGTTCGGTAGACAACTCCGGCTTGGTTGGGCTGACGACCAGCTGCATCACTCCAGGCCCATCTCTCAAGCCCCCGGCCCTGTACCCACTTGCGTCGATGATACTGATCCTCACCTCCTTCACCAGTTCCAATCCGCCCCCCTCAACGTCCTCATGGAGCCTCACGAGGCTCAAAGTTGTAACGAGAAGCGCCCAGTCAGGGGCTTCCCTGTCGCTTCTCACCAGATCCGGCCGTAATGTGGCTTCCCGATCAGGCCTAGGAGATGCAGCCGCAACATCTTGGCAGCTTCATCGCACCCATGCGTCACGAACTTCAGACCTCCTTCAACGCGGAGTCGCCATCGATTCCACGATCCATCTTATCCATCACTGCGGAAAATCACCAAGAATGTTCGTGACGTTGACGTCTCAACCCGACCCGTCTCGAGCGCCCCATGTCATCCCATGTTGGCCTCCGCATGCAACCTAGTTTTGGCCCTGGTCTGAAGTTCTTTGCAACTGCGACAGCTGGGCACTCGAGCCCAGGGGTGATGTTTAGAGCATCATATTACGAGAACGACGACAAGGGGGAGAGAAGGATAGCGTAACATGGAGACGCAAACATGCCAATGCATCAATCCAATATCACCCATATCCTAATGTGAACGGATTAGCAGATCGTCTGAAATATTCTATAAAGATCAGCTCGATCTTCCTCTTAGTGCCGCTTCTTCTTTCCTCTCCTCATCACGCTCACAATCATTACAACCTTGTTTGTTCTTTCTTCTCTTCTACAACAGCTGTGCTGTCTTCTATCTCTTCCAACGCATCTTGATCACTCATTTCAATTCATCCGGGTCCGTGTCCCTCTTTTCGTCTTCCATAACATCGACTTCTTTCTTCAAGAACAATCTTTCGACTTGCAATATGAAGTTCTCTTCCGTCATCACTCTCGGCTTCGCTGCCCTCGCCACCGCAGCTCCTCTCGGCGCTCGCCAAGCCACCGTCTTTTCCACCCAGACCTTCAACGACCTCTCCATCAGCGGCGGCACTGCCGGTACCGCCAAGCAGGAGGCTCTCGACAAGCTCTCCGGTCTCCCCACCGACCTCAGCACCGTCGCCAAGGCTGACCTGGACTTCCTCAACAGCGTCAACTCCATTGCCAACGACGCCGAGAAGGAGGCCTTTAACCCCGCCATTGAGGCTGCCACCGGCGAGGAGGCCGACGCCCTCCAGCGCGGCAAGATCAAGAACAAGGTCCTCAAGCTCACTGCCACCATGCTGAAGCTTCAGGCTCAGGCAGCCCAGGGCGAGGATGTCGCCGATAAGATGGCCACCGAGCAGAAGAAGCTCAACAACAACATTGCCCAGGACGAGGCCGAGGCCGGCAACGCCTCCACCGCCCTCGACTTTAACGCCTCCACCGCATAATTGCCTTTAATCAGCGACAGTGGCTATGGGTGTGATATCCCATGAGACTTTCAGCGGAATTGGGGGAGAAGGGAAAAGAGTCGATGATCATGAAAGATTCACGGGACGAATAGGCGCTGCGTGCCGGCTCGGATGATTCGATCAAGTGCTGGCCATTTCTAATTATTGGGGATGTATCGGTACGTTTTAGTACACTCTAATAATATAAAAGAGATTAAAAAACACTCAAACCGCATTCCATCCGCTGTGAAATCGATCTTGATGTCTGGCCACATACAGCAGTTTCTTCCAGAATACAGACTACAGCCTACAGACCATACTTGAGAAAGAGCAAGTAGCTTCTCTGGGTCCTACAGTCTGCCAAGCCGCGATCAGCATTCTGTGACGGTTGTTGCATGGATACACGTCCTCCCGCGGTGCGACTCCAGTGTTATCGAATCACCATCACGGCCAGAATGGGATCCCTGAGACGCCTCTCTTAAAGCTTAGATGGCTTGGCGAAGGGCTCCAATTCTACATTCAAGACAGTTGTAAGGCGTGAAAAGGTGTAGTAGAAACCCTGACTGCGTTAGCACCCAGACCCAGCAACTTTTACCGGGAAACCAACCTGCAGCGTAATCATTTCCACGACTTCTCGGTCAGAAAACTCAGTCTTGGCTTTCGCCCATAGCTCATCCGCCACCTCTGGCCCGTCAATGACGGCCTCGATAAACAGGAGGAGCGTCTTCTCTCGCGGTGTGAATAAGTCTGCGAGAGATTCCAATTTCCCCTGAGCGGAGAAATATCCCTTCTGCCTCCCAGCCTGGGCAATCACTTCGCGCTGGGCGTCTGTGACACCCTCTTTGGCGGAGACTGTGCTGTGATGCGTCCACTCGTAGGTGGACCGGAACTTTGCTGTGCTGAGAAGAATCACCAATTCTCGATTCTTGGAGGATAACTCGAGGTCTTTGAAGTGAGCACCTGCGATTTTCGACCAGTGGTTGACGGTAGCCGGGCTATGGGCTAGAAGCTTGGAGATGTTGAGGGGAGTCCCCTTAATGTCGGGGTACGGAAGGCGTGCCATGGTTACTGTGATTATACTAGTTTGCCAAGTATGCTATTACCAACGACAAAGGTTTGAGAACAAGCAACTCCTCTCTTATGTGGAATCCATTTGCATTTGAACTGTCCTTGAAGTCTTGAGCTTGGGCTGAGATGCGGGGTGCCTTGGCAGCCCCTATTAATGGTTAGTCACCCGGCCTCGAGTTTGTACCTCGGCTCCGTGTGGGGCCGACCGCAGCGGAATTGGAACGGGCTAGCTGGTATAGTGGCTGCTTGTACACTCTTTTGATTATCACGAGAGCATCTGAACTGCTCTCAAGTATCTCTATTCTTCCATAAACCGTATCATACATCTTTCGCCTGCTTCGCCGTCCATCTTGCCTTCAAAACTTGTACAGACCCCTTTGGCTTTCTGTCCCGTGTGAAAACGCCCTTTTTATTTCCGTCGACCCGAGTAATACTCGACGTCGTCTGGAAATCCGCAAAGTTCCAAACGTGCTCTCCGACGACGTTCTCAACGCGATCAAATACTCGGTGGAACATTTCCAGAAATTTTCCTTGGTACTCCTCGCTCCAGGGAACGTCACATACGGCATGTAGCCCCGCCACAGCTTCGGCGCCGTACTCAGTCATGATCATGGGCTTGCCGTACTTGGCCTGCCATCCAAGCAAGTCCTTTTCCAGAACCTGCTCCGCCTCTTCCAGGTCACCCGTCTGAGAGTACCATCCGTAGTAGCGGTTCAAGCAAATGACGTCGAATAAGTCTGTCACGAGATCTTTCTCGAACGTCGCGAACCCCATGTTCGCGAAGCAGACCGGCCTAGTCGGGTCCAGTTCTCGCGTCAATGAGACCAGCGGCTCCATATACTCCCTCGCGCCGGGCTCCGCCGAGGCGGGCTCGTTGGTAACGGTCCACATCACCACCGACGGATGGTTCTTGTCCCGCGCCACGAGCTCTCTGATAGCCTGGTCATGCGCCGCTTGTGTCTTCTCGTTGCATGCATCGGGGGCGAAAGTGGGAGGCGCCTTGAGCCCGAAGACGCCGGCAATGATGCCGAGGTTGATACCAACCGCGGGAGTCTCGTTGATGACGACGATCCCGTGTCGGTCGGCGTAGTCGAGAACTTCTTCGGCGTAGGGGTAGTGAGCTGTCCGGAATGAGTTTGCTCCCATCCAGCGCATGAGGTGGAAGTCGTGAATCATGTAGGCCGGATCGAAGCCCTTGCCGCGAATCGGCGAGTCTTCATGCTTGCCGAAGCCGGTGAAGTAGAAGGGCTTGCCGTTGATAAGGAATTGATTCCCCTTGACCGAGATTGTGCGGATGCCAAAGGGGAGTTCATAAGTATCGATAACCTCGTCTTTGCTGGAGTCTGATAGGATTTCCACGCGAAGTTGGTACAGGTAAGCCGCGCCGGGTTGCCACAGATGAGCCGAGTTGATCGTCAGCTCATCTTTCGTCCCATTCGCTTGAGCCACGGTCAACCCCTCCTCGTCAAGAACAGAGATCTTGACCTTGTCATCCTCCACCGGCTGCGAAGTCTGAACTTTATACTGAACTTTGCCTGCTCCCGACTCCGAGACGTCCGTTACGACGGTGATGTCGCTGATGGACACCACTGGCTTTGAACATAAGTGCACCGATCGTGCAAGCCCAGAATAGTTGAAGAAATCATGCTGATAATTCTGCTTTCGCTTGCCGTTGGCGAGGGTCTGAATCTTGCCGGGAGGAATCGTCTCCCAGCTCAGCTCGTTGCTCACTGCCACAGTCAGACGAAACCTCTCGCCGGGTTTGATGATGCTAGTGATGTCTGCCTCGAAGGGGGTGTATCCGCCAGCATGATCAGCGACTAGCTTGTCATTGACGTAGACACGGCCGCGATGGGTTGCTGCGTCGAATCGCAGGAAATATCTTTGATCCTCGGGCGACCATCCGCGAGGCACTGTGACTTGGCGTTGATAGTACACCCACCCAACGTGACTGCGGATATTTTCATCTGCAAAGATGTCGTTGTAGCTGGCGGGTACGGGTACTTGAAGTTTTGGCGGCAGGAGCTTAGACCATGGTGCGTCTGCTTCAATGTCGGGTGATGATGCAATGGCAAAGTTCCAGATGCCGTCTAAAGAGACGACGTCTCGAGTCGAGTTGGCTTGTGGTTTGAGCATATTTCTTAATGGTAGTGAGACTTGGCGTTTTAGGTTAGGAATCGAATGTTGAGTGAATGCTATCATAAGTAAGCCGAGAGCAAGGCGTAAGTAATGTGGTGTTGCGTTTCGGCTTTTCCGAAGTGTCGGTGGTTGAGATTGCCGGAAGCCGACCGATGCCTCCAGCAACCGAATGTCCGCACGTTCGATACTCCGCAGATCCCACATAACGCGTAAGTTGTTCCGGGGATCAAGCTCTCACGCAAGAAGAGACAGGTCAGCCATCTTCGTGTCATAATTTCTTAGTTCTAGATTATTTTCTCTTTCACTCAGTTTGGTGGTAGCCTTCACACCCACCCCCCAATGTTGTGTCATCCGGCAAACTACACGTCAGCGCAGGATAAATTCGAATCCACAGGCATACATTGCTACTGAAGAAACTGGCTAGTTTCTCTCCAGGCATTGACGATGAACATCGTTGAAATGCCATCTTCTTGACTTGCGGGGTCCCCGGGAGTGTGGGGGACGGGCCTTGGCCGGCTAGAGCTGGCAGGGGCATGCGGGGATCATTTAGGGCACCAAGATGGTGTTCAGAAAGCACCTTACTAAGGTATGCTGACAGGCTGATTTTGACTCTCAACTCAACTTCGGGAAGTCGTGTTAGGTGTTTGCTTAGACCTCAATCCTGGATGCGCAGCTTGGGAAGAATGATTCTATGAGTGCCAGCGGCGGTAACTCTACAAAATCTTGATAACTGTTTGACCACAAATAACGGCTTTCAAAGCGCCACAAATTCCCTGTTGCTACCTTGGTAGCTCTGAGGTCACTGTTCTGTGATGTGGAAGAGTTGATGAGAGACACTGCTACTTCCACAGTCCAGCACAAGCCAAGCAATTTGCGACACATGCTTCAACAGCTTAAGAGCTCTCACCAAGAATACCCATACTCTCTAGAAGAAGCAAACATGACAACTGATACTGGATGATACCTCCCGGTCTGAATCAACTCCGCATGCCCAACAACTCAACTTAACCATCCCTGTCCACCGCAAACGTCAAGTACTATTACTCTCTGAGCATGCCGAAATAAACTTAGGATTTGAGACTGGCGGCTGCGAAATTCCCCAATTCTCAGCCATCAAATTGTTCTCCAAGCCGGCAGTTATAAAACGCCAATGCTCATAGCCCTCGTGCCATCGTCGACAAACACCAAACCGTCCCACTTCAGCGGTGGAAACCCACCAAACCCCCACCTAACTAGGATTGGACTTTGATAACGCTGCTCTCTCGCTGCTGACGACGACAAGGTCCTTCCAGCTCATTTCGAGCTTATCCCCGATGGCACAATTGGCTAGCGCGTCAGACTGTTAATCTGGAGGTTGGTGGTTCGAGCCCACCTCGGGGAGTTGCAGTGGTTAAAATCCACCAAGGACTTCTCTTTTGTCTTTTATGATGATGACGAAGGTGTTGGTGTGATTTTTGACTCGTTTGTCACTCTGCAGGCAGCTGTGCCGCATCTCGAACATCTATGCGGAGTAAGGTTGAAAACTTGAGACGACTCCCGGATCCCCGTCATACTTAATTGTCCATCATATCTCACCCCAAGTCTTGCTGACCGCCACTTTGCTTTTTCTGGTTCGTCAACCCATCGATACAAAGACAATCTAAGACATCATCCATCTGGTGGAGCGGCTGGTATCGCTAATGCTTTCGACTCGACCGGTCGACATGGGGCTGCAAGCCTCTCTCGCTTTAGAGCCCCCAGCAAGTAAAAACTCGCAAATTTCAATGTGAATCGCTTATGGATAGATACTGAGGCGTTCCAGGGCATCACTTCATCCACGTTGGTCCAACAAAATGATGCCAAGGAATGCAGTGAGCCATTTTCCTCCTAGCATTTCAGCCTCATGTCTATAAGTCGGCCAAACGCACAACGCCTCTCGAATGATTTATGTTCAGACAAAGACCTGTCACTCGCTGCTGGTCCCGACAACCCAAATCGCACAAGGAACGCAGGCACGCCACAGCACGCTAAGGCCACGCCAAAGTTCCCGAGGCAGAGGCTCGCGCTCAGCACAGCATGCTTTCTCGTCCGGGGCCTCGTCCACTGGACAAGAGAGAGCTTGTGTGCTTGTGTCAGTGTAAACCCTGCGGGGGACCACGATGATTTGTCCGGGGGTCATCCTTGCCCAGCATCGAATCTCTCGACCCGTCGCGCAACTCGCCCGCGAGTCGGTTGCCGTGTCGGGAAAGGCGTTCGCCAGGGGCCCAATCTGATGATACTCTAATTATTTGCCCTTCTGCCATGGTGGAGTAATCTGCTGCAATTGGTGACCCGAGAGCTACCTACCGCGGTCCAGACACCTGGGGTTCATCGTGGGGGCTTCGAAACGTACTTTGAAGGTCGGAGAACACCCACACTCCCACCAGATAACGGCCAAGAATTCATCCCGAACCCGCTGTTGCTATCTTCCTTGCACGGAAGCTTTGATTCTATAAAGGACGTGACGCCGGCTGAATCATTCGCGCTTGTTCGGATGCCAATAGAGAGGGCCTACGTCATTGCACTTGTGTCACTCTATAACCGCCCACATTCATCACAATGTTAGGGACCGCACTTCCAGGGCGGACACTGGGCGACCAGCATGGTACTGCAGCAGGATTCTCATTATCCGCATCGCATTTTGCCATATTTGCTGTAGCAGGTGTTGTCTTGTATCTCTTGTACAACTGGGCCCTGCCTAAGCCGATCGCCGGAATCCCCTACAATGTCGAAGCGACGAAGCGCTTACTGGGAGACATCCCATCCGTACTCGATGGAATCAAACGCACCGGCGAGTTCAACGCCTGGGTCAACGAGCAGGCGGACAAGTTCAAATCACCACTCTTTCAAGTCTTCGTCCGTCCACTCGGCAAGCCATTGTTGATCCTCTCCGACTTTCGGGAAGCCCAAGACATCCTCATGCGGCGAAAGGACTTTGACCGGTCGTCCCTCGATGCCGACCTCCTCGAGGGTGCGGGCCGCAACCACCACATCCACCTCAAGACCGGCGACGAGTGGAAGAGGCATCGCAGGCTCCTTCAGGACCTCATGTCGCCGCAGTTCCTCAACGAAGTAGCGGCGCCGACGGTCTATGCAGGGGTTTCCAGACTGATCCAGCTGTGGAACGACAAGGCGCGGATCGCAGAGGGCCGGCCATTCTCTGTGGAGCTGGATATCTACTACGGTTCCCTGGACGCCGTCATGACGTTTACGTTTGGCGGCAGCTTCCCTAGCAGCGCGCTGCGCCCAACGGCGGACCTCGTGAAGGGACTGGGTGCGGAGGATATCAGGCGTCTACGGGGTTCGAGTCTCAGTAGCGACGAAGCGCTGGAATTTCCAACGGAAGAATGCGACGAGAAGATTCGAGCGACGCTCGGTGTAGCGAACTCGCTAGAGTATCTCCAAGGTTCACCGATTCCAAGACTCAAGTGGTGGTTCGTTGAGAGACTTCCCTCATTACGTCGCGTCTTCCACGTCAAAAGAACCTATGTGCGCGAGGAGATCTACAAGGCTTCGAATAGACTGCAGGAAGTTGGTGATGAGGAGTCCAAGGTTCTATCCGTTGTTGAGCTTGTTGTCCTCCGGGAGAAGAAGCTGGCAGAGAGCGAGGGCAGGGCTCCGGATTTTTTCTCCGAGATCATGGTTGACGAGGTAGGTGCCAGACGTTTCGCAGGAAAACTAAAGCTCGAAAATGTGTTAACATCTATGCCAGATCTTTGGCGTAGTTGTCGCAGGACACGATACAACCAGCACAACTATGTGTTGGGGTATCAAACTCTTTGCGGATAACCCCCAGAAGCAGACCGACTTACGCGAAGCACTTCGAGCCACCTTCCCCGACGCCGTCGCCGAGCAACGCAGTCCTACCGTTAAGGAAATTGCAGGAAACACGAAGGTTCCGTATCTTGATGCCGCCGTGGAAGAAATTCTTCGATGCGGCGGCGCCACCCCGCTCGTCGACCGCGAAGCAACCTGCGATACCGAGCTGCTAGGACACCACATCCCCAAGGGCACAGTCGTGATGTGCCTGAACAAGGGCCACAGCATGATGAAGCCAGCATTCAACGTCGAAGAGTCAAATCGCAGCCAGAGCAGTCAGAGTGCGAAGGTCAGGGCTTGGGATGACGATGATATCGGGCAATTCAAGCCGGAGCGTTGGCTCGTCAAATCATCCAATGTTCCCGGCGGGGTCGAGTTTGACCAGCAGGCAGGACCCCAGCTAGCCTTTGGGCTGGGAACTCGCGGCTGTTTTGGGAGAAGGCTGGCGTATCTGGAATTAAGAATCATTCTGGCGCAGATCGTGTGGAACTTTCAGCTTCTCCCGTGCCCGAGAGAATTGTCTGGCTATAGTGCCAGAGAGGGCCTGACATACAAGCCGAAGGATTGTTACGTGCGTCTACTAGCACTTGGAAACAAATAGAAGAAGGACTCTATATCATAATGATTGAAACCCTCCAGGCCTTTCTCTACAGGGCCCTTATTGAGGGAGACGAACAAGCCCAAGCTATCAGAGGGCCCTTCTCCACCTCTGGTTGTATTTCCGGCTCATGATGTTCCAAAAGCAATGAGCTACAGGCTATTGGGTGGCAGAAAGATGAATATGGTCAAGCGTATGACTTGGTAAGCATACTGCAGTAAAGTACTAGTTGGTTCTCATCAGATCTGTGTACTAATTGTATCAGATAGCCACCTTGCCTCTTCCCCTCCACTCCCCTCTTTTTTCCTTTCAGACAGATACTTTTTTTGAAGTGATGTGATTCCCCCGCCCTTCAACCCCTTCCCCTCCCTAAGCCATCTGGCACTCGGAGCAGCCGCTCCACCAAAGCCAATGGATGTTCACATCACTTACCTTACCAAGGGCTACAATTTCGTGCTCTTATACACTCAGAGTCATACATCATGCTTGATTTGCCCTTTAATGGATCCGCCTGGCCTCGTCAACCGCGCTTTCGAGCGGCCGAGAAGCGGCGGGACGGCGAAGACAGCGACCTACTTTCGATACCATACTACCTTGCGGAAGGAGGAGAAAGAGGAGAAGGTTTGTTATAGTCATTGCGGTCTTCATCGACGTCATCTCCGGGATCTTTCAGGGCCCTCGTCGCCTTGTTCTTTTTCTTCCGTATGTATGTGTAGAAGTAAGCCGCTACCGTAAAGACCGTGAGGATGAGCCAGACGAGGACGAAGACCCAAAAGTCTCTCGCGATGGCAATCTTGTGGGTCTTCTCGTTGAAGGAAAAGTAGTTGCTTCCGAATAATGACTGCGGGCGGGGGTATGTATGAGCATAACTGAGTCAACTTTGTTTACGTTGGAAACTACACTTACGCCGACGAAACTGCCTGGAAGATAGATGGCAGAAATGATGGTGACGATGCGTACGATGGCACTGTCGTCCACCGTGTTCTCGGTCAGGTCTTTTAGCTTGAGCGTCACGTCGCCCGTGTTCTTGATCTGAGTCTTCATCTCGTGGGTAAGGAGCTGCAGCTCCTGCTGATTATGCAGCGAGAGTGTATACGATGCCTACATGTAGGTGACGTAAAGGAAAAGAACGTTAGGAGCTTTCTGACTTGAAGTAGGCTGGATATTATGCTGGAGGAAGAGGATACTAACCAGCTCGACCGTGTTGTCTACTCTCTGGCGAAGCACGGCGGAACTGTCGATGTATCCACGGAGCATGGTCTCCATGGATCGTATTTCGGCGGCGGGGAACTTCCCGGTAGAGAGGATGCAGGCCGTAACCTCGAGATTGCTCTGGCAGCAGGCGCTGGCGAAGAGGGCGAGATCGTTGGTATTTCTCAGCTCGCGCACACTCTTGAAGGTTACCCAGACGTTGTGGTTCATCTTGGCATGGGGTACCATGGCTGTATTTAGCTGCGTGAGTAGATAAGTAGGTTAGAAGTGTCAGTCTCATCGGGGGATCTACCGAAACTCATGGCTTCACGCACTACTTTGGAGAATCTGTCACCTAGATGGCGGAGGTATGCCCGCCAGTTATCGAGGTAACAGGATAGGATATAATGGTGCAGCATCGCCGGCTGCGAGCAAAGGTCTCGCTTGAAGACATTCACCGTCGAGGCGCTCTTGTCGTCGTCGAGCTCCTCTGGGAATGTCTCCTCTTCTCCATCCTCTTCAATAAGATCCTGAAGTGTCTCTGCTAGCTCGCTCGCGGGCTGACAGTGTAGCAGTATGAAGAGGTCGAAGCCGGGCGTGTGTTGGTGGTAGACACCGACGTGCCGGAAGGACCACGCGTCGGGGCCGGACCGATCGTTCCGCTCCACGAAATTGAGCTTGTAGAGCAGCGTGTCTAAGATCATCAGGAGTTCTCAGAATTCTTCTTCGTTTAAGAGACAGAAAGGGAAGTAATAGGCGGGCGGGGAAGGCCTCACATGCGTCGTCGCCCTGAGGCACAAAGGTGCTATTGGCGCTGCCGGCCTCGGACTGGTGAGGCTCGTCGCCGAATGACAGGAGCACTCGTAGGAACTCAGCGCGCACTTTGTACCTATCGAATAGTCTGGCGGCTATTGACGAGGTGATGCGGAGCGGATTGATGGTTCTGGCCGACGATATGGAGCTAGATAACAGACGAAGATCAGCACGAAGCCCAATGAAAGCAATTCTGGGCCGGAGGTGACAGACATTATTCGTATGCCCGCGGTGGGCGTAGCATCGAGAACCCGATTGAGGTCATCCTCTTCCCTGACGATACTTGCGTGGAGTTTGTCTATAACCTTATTGTCAACCAACGCTGATTCTACGCACGCGTTGAGGAGGGGGGGCAATGAAGCATACTGTCGTTGTTGTCGTCAATATCCAGTACATCAAACAGCGTCTCCGAGTCTTTGGTGGCAAACGCCGTCACTGCTAGATCGTCCAGTTGGTTGCGGAGCCCAGCGAGGTTGAAGCCACTCTGCTGACGCGCAAAGTATGGATCCCAGCCGCTCATCATGCTCGTGAAGCTTTCGAATCCTTGAACCGAAACCGGTCAGTCCGTGAAGGGAACCAAGAGGACTCCAGACCGTCATATGGAAACCACTCGTAATGATGCGCATGAGGCATGGAGCAGAACTGGGCAAGGCTGGTCGATATTGTGCCTTGTGGTATGCCCGGGGCTGGGGCAGAAGTGTTTGCGGCTCGGCCCGGACCTCACAGCCTGATCTGTCTTTTTATGCCATGCAGTTGAGAAGCTAGACGGACCGGAATTTGGGGTAGGTGAGTTATTGAAGTAGTATGCGCGTAAGAAAAAACAGATTTGATCAGCCTCTCTGCTCCCAAAAATTCAAATTCTGACAACTTTCACCAGGAAACAATAAAACACAAATAGGAGGATTTCTCGGTGGGAGACGGACGGAACGAGACGGGAACAGGAGAGTAGAAAGCGTCTGAGCCTCTTGTGTGACGGATTCAGCCTCCGAAGTGTGGTATCACAGAGAGTAACACAGAGAGACAACAAGCCCCCGTGCCCCCCTTTATCCGAGGTAGGGAGAAAACATGCTTGGCTTACATTTCACCGTCACCTGACCAATCTTGTCCACACCCTCTTCATTTCGCTTCTCAGTTCAATTCGTCTATTTCACGAGGCTGCGGTGATGGCTGCCACATTGGATACACAACGCCGGACAAGCGCTTATCTTCGGCTCGAGGTGCCGCCTCCTGTCCGCCGCTCTCTCCGCCTCCGTTCCCTCTTTGCAGCCTCCCGAGCAGCATCGCGCCGGTCAGCAATCTGTGTGACAATCTCCCTGTTTGCAACTGTTAGTATCGGATCGGTAATCGGCCTCTGCCGTTGCGGCGACGCATGCCTTAGCTCGTTCTGCCCAGGATCAACACACGTCAGCCAGCATACCACCGATAGGAGGGAGAAGCGCAAGGGATTCTTCACCTCTTGAAGTTGCTCTGGACAGTCAAAGAACCAGCGGTCGTTCTCGTGCTGTACGAACAGTTGGATTACTGTATTCTCCCTAAAAGAGGTGAGTAAGATGAGAAGGAGGAAGACCTACTGCGATGCAAAAGTCAATATGATCCCCATATCTCTCCTGGAGCAGAACCAGTAATTCAGAGCCGAGAGTGACGTATCGTGATAGTCTCTGAGGTAGGACGTTGCGCACTAGCTCCATGGTCGAGCGTGGCAAGGATTCACTTCGCCGACGCAGTTGCCGTGATCCATGCGATGGGAGATAGAAAAAGAATGCTGATGGATGGGACGGAGCAGAGGATAAAGGAGGAGCCTCGTCGTGGATACCATGGAATCGCGAAGGAGAGGCTCACTTACAGCATTGGCCTTTTGTAATGGTGGAGAGATGTTGTACGACCTTTGAGAGCCTGGCCGGAGACTCGAGAGGTCAGTAGACACAAGAGACAGCGGCGCCAGTCAATGACATTGCGTAGTAAGTGGTGGACCAACCTGGAGGCCGGAAGGCTGGAAGCTGATGGGCTTTTCGATTCCTCCCGCCCACCCTCCACTACGCCCTAGGTTGCCTCTCAAAGAGAGAAGAACATAGGCGGCGAGCCAGTTCAGCTGAGCAAGCAGTCAGCAATGTGTGGAGGCAAACCTCATCCATAGTTAAGTGCTTGGGAGCTTCTATATCTCCCCTAAGAGTGTCTCCAACTCACGACCTGGTTCGGACAACGTTGCGTCTTTATAAACGAGGGCAAATGGACAACAAAACAGATGCCTTACGAAAAAGCGCGCGGAGGGAACGGCAGCTCCTCCGGATGTGCGACGGGCTACCTGCGCTCCAGACCCGTCCGAAGCCCGACCTAGATTCTCCCTTCCACCGCCCCTTCTTCCTCGCCTCCAGAGTTCGCAATCTCTGGGAACATCAGGGTAACTTGAGAGATGTCCTGTTTGACCTGAAACCGCAACAGTTGAGTTCCGTCTGGAAACACTCACTCTTGTTCGTCACCTTCCTGGTCTATATCGAGGTTCCGCCCCTGCTTTACGCGCACATCTCCAGCCTACTCTTCAAAGATGGTGATGACACAACACCACGGTACCGAGACACGGAGATGCCGTATAGTGAAGCCCATCTCGAAGTGCTGAGTCTATCTCGAGGCAAGACGGCTAGGTGGGAAGAGCAATATCTATTTTCCCCGGCCACGATCGTCCTCAACCCGCAGGCGGCGCCGGCAATACAAGTCATTCCCAACACGCTGACGCGGATTCCGTTCATGGAATGCGACCCAGGACAGGAGCATGGCGGATACGGCGATGTCAAGGTAGGCATCTTTATCACGGGCCTTGCCGGTTTTTTTCATCGGATTTAATACATACTAACATGTCATTCTTTGCGAAGTTCTTCAAGCTAGCGCCTGAATACGTCGTAGATGAAGATCCTAGCCCTCGAAGCTGGGTGCCGGTACGTACTTTAGCTCCATCCAAACCATCTTCTACATGTGCTCCATACGTTTTATATCGTAATATGAACAATCTCCATTCATGTCACTATATATGGATCAGAGGCATCAAAACATAGCGTTACATCGTCACTGACATCACGAATGTACAAGGAGCACCAGCGGCAACCTCTCGTCGTCGCCGTAAAGTCCTTCCACAACCGCGACGACGGCCTCGCCAAGGCAAATAACATGCGCCTCCTCCGTCAGGGTAAGGCCGGCGACCATAGCATCTCGCTCTGCAACGCGGTTGTCGAACATGGCGGGCGGCATGGCGACGGTGATGAAGCAAGATCGTACGACTTCGAAGAGCGGTTTCCGCACGCCAACACCCACGGCTGGGGCAACCCTGAGCTCGCCCGAGCACTGCTGCACCAGTGCGTCAAGCTCGCCGGCGCACTCCTGTTCCTTCACTCGGGCTTTTCCGCGCCATCGGAGGGCGGCGAACGGTGGGTGCGGTGCGCACACATGGATCTCAAGCCGGACAATATCATCATATTCGGCGGTGACGGCGCCGTGGGCCGCTGGAAGCTGTGCGACTTTGGCATCTCCGTGCTCAAGGACGAGGAAAGCGAGGGCCCCGCGGGGGAAGACTATCATAGTTCCCATTATAGCCAAATGACCTTCAACACCAACGCGCGGCGTGGACGAGGTCAGTACCAGGCTCCGGAGGTGCCTGAGTTCTGGGACCCGTACCTTGCGGAGAGCGCCCGGAGCGGCGGCACAGACACGGGCACAGGCACGGCCGCACTTGTGGGGCGTGTCGGCCGGTCCGCCGATATCTGGTCGTTTGGCTGCATCTTCGCCGAAGTCCTGGCCTTTGCTCTTGGCGGGCCGCGGAACGTCGAGGGCTTCCTCGCGGCGCGGAGGCAAGTCTTCAACAACATCAGGGATGGCAACTTTCACTCGCCGAGCAACAGCAACAGCACCAGCACCAGTACATCGTTGTCGAGCCACATGGTGCGGCCTCAGGTACTGCGATGGCTCGGCGAACAATGTGCCACGGCTGCATCGCCTATCTGGTCAAACTGCTGGGCCGGTCATGTTAGGCGGATCTTGCGCGTCGACCCGCGAGAGAGGCCAGACGCGCAGGCATTGGAGCGTCAAGTACACCACGTCTGGGATGACGCGCTGAAGTGCCCAAGAGAGGCGACATCCAAGTGCGAGACTTTTCAATATGAGCCCGAATCGGAAAACGTGCCGGAAAGGCCGCTCCCTCAAGAACTGACCGCGATCCCTAAAGCCTCCTCATCGCCTCCTCCTCCTCATCTACCATCTGCTCAGCCTCCCCCTCCGGCACCGGCAACGGCGACGGCGACCCCCTTCAACGTCTCTTTTGAGGTCCCTGTCAGCTCTAACCCCCATTTCACCGGCCGTGAGAAGATCATCGCCGAGATGGAGACCTTCTTCTCTGAGGATGACCGCTATGCTACGCAACAGAAGCGCCTTGTGCTGACGGGCCTCGGGGGCGTAGGCAAGACCCAGATTGCCACGGCGTTTGCCTACGATGCCTATAACGCCGGCCGCTACGCTACAGTCCTCTGGGTCTTTGCTGTAGACGAGCAGGAGGTCATCAAGTCGTTCACGCAGCTGGCCAAGACGCTGGGGCTCTTTCCCAAACTCAGCAAGTCTCTCGAAGACCGCGGGCAGCAGAACATGCCACCCATGGCGCTCGCGCTCCTGCAGTGGCTCTCGCGCGAGGAAGAGCAAAGGTCGTCCAGGTGGCTCCTCGTATTTGACAATGTCGATGATTTAGACAATCTTGACGTCTCGCGGTTCTTTCCCCGCGTGCCGTGGGGCCATATTCTCATCACGAGCCGCCGCAAGGAGGCCCGCCGACTAGATCGCCAGGTCGAGGTCGGCATGATGGACGAGACAGAGGCTGTGACCCTTCTCAAGAATTGCTCTGGCCGCCGCGGTGACGACGAAGAAGAAGCTGCGCGCCATGTCGCTTACAAGTTGGGATACCTCCCGCTGGCCCTCGATCAGGCCGGCGCCTACATTACGGGGCAGTCCATCGACTTTGCTGAGTACATGGATCTCTACCGCGTGAGCCACGACCAACTGCTTCGACACAAGCCACCGCGCGCCGTCTGGTCGTACGAGCAGACCGTCTTCACCACCTGGGAGATTTCCTTCCACGCAGTGGCCGCCAGAAACCCCGTCGCCGCGCGCCTCCTCGACCTGGCAGCCTTCTTCTACTCAGACGGTGCCCCCTTCGCGCTCATGTGCGAACTCGCCCAGGTCCGGGGCCCGGAGCTTCAACAACGGCTCCTCCTGCGAGACTTTGTCGATTTCGTCCAGACGTCGGCCGACTACGATCGTCTGGTCGGCCAAGCGCCCCCGGAGCTCATGGTCCCACGGCTGCAGGTGGTTGAGGCCATCGGCACCCTCGCGTCCTTCTCGTTGGTGGACCAGAAGACTATGTCAACTCATCCGCTTGTCCACTACTGGCTCAAGGAACGGCAATCGAGTGCGGACAGGATCAGGAGCGGCCGCGCAGCCATCTTCCTCGCCATGCGTGCCATCGTCAACGCCTACGACGCATCGCGCTTCGCCGAGGGCGAGACGTTGTACCCTTATCTCTTCATCTGCCTGGACAATCTCTATGACACGCCGGAGCTCCTCAGCGACACGGAGCTTCACAAGGTCGGCGCCTGCATGATCGCCCTCGACGCCTGGGTGCCCGTCTCCCTCAACCACGGCACGCTACACCGCGCCGACCGCTTCTACGACCTCGTCGCCGCCCACCGCGAGCACGCGGACTGGCGGATACCTGACGGATTGCTAGCGGTGCGCCGCGCCTTCCGGCTCATGAGCATGGGGCGGCGGAGGGAGTGCAGCGACCACTGCGCTCGCTACCTCGCCACATTCCAGCAGTGCTCGCGCTTGGACAAGATGTACGCCTCGTCCCTGGCGCAGACTTGTGCCCCCTGCTTCTTCCGCTTGGGAGACTACGACCGCGCCGAGCAGATATATGAGTACCTGGATGACTCGCTCGACGACTCGGGCGCCATGTTGGCTCGCAAACAGTTGGTTCTCGGCGCCATCAAGATCGACCGGGGCTTGCCGGACGAAGCCGCGGCCGTGCTCGAGGGCTGCGCTCGCGAGTTGCAAACGGGCATCGGCCAGCACCACTTTTTGCTTCGCGTGTGGCACCAGCTGATGGCTAGATCCCGCTTGGCACAGGGGTGGCCAGCCGAGGCCGAGGCTCAGGTGATGAAGGGGCTGGCGGTACGGATGAGGATGCTCGACGGCGGCAAGATGGAGTTTACCTTTAGTGACTACGAGCTCGCCGAGGTGTACGCCCAGGCTCTTCGGGCGCAGGGGCGCTTTGCTGAGGCGAAAGCCTGGATGGCCGAGCTGCTGGGAAAAACGGCGTCGGAGAAGCCGCGACCAGCCCGGAGCCTTGCGGAGCTGTCTCTGATCCTGATCGAGCTCGACGAGGCAACAGCCTTGTTTGGGGGTGGCCAAGAGGAGAGGCGAAGTATAGATGAGATGATGGCTAGGGCGGAGCGCAAGTTTGTCGAGGCTGCGGCCGTCTATGAGCTGGAATGGAATAGAGGGATGTGGTCGTTCAAGCACTTTCACCGGACGTTGGCGGAGTTTAGGGCGAGATTGGTACAAGAAGACTCTCAGTGTTGAGAAGGAAGCTCAATAGACGAAGTATTATTTCATTCCGTTTACCTTTATGCATCCGTCACGTCTTTGACGCGCTTAACATCGAGCGTCTTTCCACCGTAGGCCGCTACCAACTCGATGACCTTGTGGATGCCCTCAACCTCCTCCGGCTCCATGCCCACGCGCAGACAGGCCCTCAGATGCCAGTATGTCGGGTCCTGGAGATTCTGCGTCATGATCGCAGGGGTCACGACGAGCTCCGTCTCCTGTATATCGAGGATGCGATGGTCCGAGAGGAAAAGCCCATAAGACACGTTGACCGAGATCCATACTGGTGAGCGCGGTGTTAGAAATTCTGACAGCCAGATAATGTGAATATGTACTTCAAGGAAGGAACTCACGGATATCCTTATGGGCATGCAAAACCTCGACGGGGGCGCCCACCTCGCTCTTATACAGCACTTTGAGCACGGCCGCGGCGCGCTTCGAGGTCTCCGGCCCGATCTGCCAGTCCTCGCGCGAGCAGGACAGATCCGTGTCCTCGGGCCTCTCAACCTGCGAGACTGACGTGACGGCCTCGATAACGACGGGGATGCCGTTGATGATGATGCACTTGACCATGGCCTCACGCAGGCGGCGGATGAGGGCCTGGCGCTCGGCGGACGTCTGGTACTGGGGCTGGGCGACCAGGTGAGTGTAGAGGCTCCCGGCGAGCTTCTGCTGGCCTGATCCGATGAGCGAGGCGATCTGGATTATGAGTGAGTTGGCTGTCAGTCTTGGTCTTCCGATCAAACCTCGCTCGATGACGGTATGGGGTCGAATGAAGGGAAAGGTCTCATACTACGGTCAAGTACCATCCATGCTCGCGGAATCGAGGCGGGAAGCTGCCCTCAGCCTTTTCGAAGAGGTCTGTTAGAGCGGCCGGTGTAGTGGCCGTGGTGGGAGTGTTAGTCGGCGCGGTATTGGTGTTAGTTTCGTCCATCGTAGCTGGCCGAGCCGTTATAGTGCTAACATATCGTAATGACCTGGTCCGAGTCTGAATTGCCGCGAGGAGGGTCGTTGGTATTAAAATAGACCGGAATAGATAGCCATTTGGGGCTCCAGAATGGTGGGAACGAAGTAGAGGCCACCCCGCTACTCTGTCCGATCGGACAGTGCGAAGAAATCTCATTATTTGATACAGAGCCCGACTTCTAAGCTGTACGAGGACGGGATGTTGCTGGCGCGGGAGTTTGTTTTCTGTTTATCTTTCTGTGAAACTCTCAAGTCTCTAAAGGTGCTCCACGAGACCATTTAATCCGTCCAAAGTTTGCGGACTCTTCTCTGTATCACACGAAGCCCAACCCAAGGTAAGTTGTCCTGAGTACAGACTGCAGAGGAGGCAACGTCCTAAAGAATGAGAAAACAAGGCTGTGTGACTGTATGCATCAGCCCGGATAATGACGGGACCAGAAAGCAGGGACCGGGAACCCGGGCCGCCATCGGGACAACACTGTGCCTCACCGGTTGTCTTGAACGAACAAACGACTTGTGTGCGCATGGGCTTGCGCATAACTGGTATATCGCGGGTCTCACGCCGTCTCCTGTTTGATGGTGTGTTACTCAATTATCTCTGAAATGTCATTCGTCAACGTCCCTTCACCTTCGTGTCACCTCAGTGAAGAAGAGGGGGGATCAAGCAGGCTGGCCGTTTGAGAGTGAACAAGGCAAGGCTACCTACCTTAGCCATAATATACCTTTCACCGGCGGGAAACTTAAGACACCCGCATCACCGCTGTAGTTGCTTTTCATTCACTCGCGTGTAGTCGATTCCTTGATGTACTCGTGGCGTAGATTGACTTGTTGCCTACTATAGGGGACACGTTTGCGGCTGTGTCGGTTGTTTGCGCAGATGATGTGACGCTCAAAAGAACGAAAGTGTGCCGGCCTGTTCCCTTCAAACTGACCGATTTCATGACTCTTATCTTCAAGGGAGTGTTTTTGTTCACGCGAGTGTCCTGCAACAAGCTATGGCGACCACTATGGGTATCTTCAAGACAGGGAGAAAGTGAGGATGATCGTCTCCCGAGCTGACTTTCTAGGTAAGTATATTCCAGACTGAGGGGCTGGTAAGCAGCTTACTTACCTTATGTAAGACGCTGCTACGAGCTTCCGAGGCTTCCTGAGTATTCCTCCGTTCGAAGGGATACGTCCATCATCAATCAGCCTCATATCGAATGAGAGCACGACAGTATTGACCGAAACGCGAAGGTAACTCCCGCTTCTCTCGCTAATGTACTCGTTGCCGTCGAGGCACTCGCCTCAGTCTTTTAGCTGGTATCCTACAGAATTTGACAAAAACCTCCTTACACCCAAAAACATCGCTACCTAAGCTCGAAGACCAGGAACCAGTCAAGCAATTGAGATGCTCTCTCTCTCTCTCTCTCTCTCTATATCCATCCCGCAGCCTACTCAGCTCGAAAACAGCCGGTTTTTCCATCTCACTTCCCCTATGCTCACCCCCCCAGTGATCTGCAGAATCCATTTCATACCATCCGAGCCTTCTAAAGAGACGGCTACCCACTCGCCTTCTATGGCGCAGCCGCCAGGCGCTCCACCTCCTTCATGAATTTGCTCACCTCGGGGTCCAGCGGCAGCGTCCTCCTCATCTTGGACTTGTTCCCGATGACCTTGAGACCGCCGAGCGATCGCGCGCGGCTGAGGGCCACGTACGTCTGCCTTCCATCCCAGACGTCCTGCAGGTTGACGCTGACGTGATCGAGCGACAGGCTTTGGCTCTTGTGGATGGTCATAGCCCAGCCTGGGACTAGGGGGATCTGCGTGCGCGCCGAGTACGACTTCAGGACCTTTTTGTGCCCGTCGACAGTGGACTCGAATGCTGTTTCGATGTCGTGCATGTTACAGTAGGGCAGGATGACGTGACTTTGGCCGTTTGCGAATATGATTTCAGGGACTGTGCGGTGGAGAAAGGGGTACGAAGGTTAGCGGTTCAAGACTACAACTTTCTGGGCTGAACAGCAACAAGGGAGAACTCACAACCCTTAGCGCCCAATGGGCCATTGATGTAGGCGTTGATTTGGCCGTCTCTCGCGCATGCGACTTGGTAGCCGTAGCTGTCTCCCTTGTAATTCTTCTTGTCGGGCATCTTAGGCTTGTCGCGTTCTTCCAGCTTCCTCACGAAGCGGACAAGCTTGCCCTGGCTGCCGTTGCAGAGACCATTCTCAACGTCGAGCTGCGGGTTATTTCCTAGCGCGTTAATCCGACTACCCTTGGAACGATGTGCGCTGTGGCGCGGCCAGAGGGGAGAGGGGAGGGGGAAGAACTCACGTTAGCCAGCAGCACGACCGGCATGCCGGCCCTTAGGGCCAGATTCTGATCGAATCGGTTCTTTTCGTTATTGTCGCCGAGGTCTCTTGGGTAGTCCAGGGCACGAAAGAGTTCTTTGTGGCTGGGAAGCTTTTCGAGCTCCCTGTCGTTGTGTTCCTTGGCTTTCTGCTTGTGGCTGAACAAGGCTATACCATTCCTGACTTGGCGGGGCTGCAGCAGGACGTTGAGATCGGCGTCAGTTGTGTGGCCAAGGCGGATGTTCTGGAGCATGGTGATAAATTGCTCGTCGGTTTGCCGATGGATCTTGGTTAGATGAATGTATCTATTTGCCCGGGGTATTAGGTCTGCGTCCTCCGTCCTGCCATCAAACGGATCATGATACTCACCGGAAGTCACACTCTGCCCAGGTCCGCGAATTGAAAGCCCATTTCTGGGCATCCTGAAACTTAGGGTGATCATTGTCTCGAGGACAGAAGTGTAGGTTGCCTCTCTTGTCAAGATCCATGTTTCCACAAGGCGTCGAAATTCGACTCCGCTCATTATACTCCACCTCGACTGTGCAGTAGGTGAACGGTCGCACAGGTGGAAGCTGGCAGAAGTCCCCGACGGCGATGACCTGAATACCGCCGAACGGTCGCTTCACCGAATACACGGTCTGGTTTCTGCAGATCTTGTCGTCGCCGCGGGTGAACGACTCCCGTCGGAGCATGCCGATAACGTCGGAGAGCCGGTCGAGGAACTCGCTCTCGACCATGCTGATCTCGTCGATGATGAGGACATCGGTGCTCGTGATGCGGTCCCACACGGTTTCGCGACGCGCCTCTCCGATGAGAGTCCTAAGTGTCTTCGCCGGGGCGGTGGTGTCCCATCCAGCATAGGAATATGTTGTCCTGCCGTTGATGTTAGTGGCGGCCTGGCCCGTGGGCGCAACGAGGTAGACGGTCTTATTCTGGGCGCCGAAGGCCTTGTTAAGGGCCTTGACCAAGACCGATTTGCCGCAGCCGCCGGATCTGAGAGGGTCAGTCATGACCCGATTTTCTTTCTCCTTCAGTAGGGATGGACCTACCCCGTGATGAAGAGGCTGTGGCCCTGCATTGCCAGATCTAGGGCGTGCTGCTGTTCAGGGCACAGGGGAAATTCTGGGGCGGCCTTTGCGACTGCCGGGCCTTTCTCGCCTTTCGGGCGATCATTTTCGCGTTTGATGTACTCGTTCGTTTGATCTGAGTAACCCTTGAGAGGTAAAAACCCCTCCGATTCCCTCATTGCTTCTTCCTCGTCGTCAAAACCCGCCTCCCTTTTGATCGCGGCCTCACGGAAATCATCCTCTTCCTTCTTGATTGTTGCCTGATCGGAATCATTCTTTTCCTTCTTGATTGCCGTCTGGCGGGAATCATCCTCCTCCCTTTTGATCGCGGGCTCATAGAAATCATCCTTCTCCTCTTTGATTGCCGGCTGATCGGCATCATCCTCCACCTGAATAGGTGACTCGCGTGAACCATATTGGTGGTATTCCTCGCGTTTGGCGGCTTTAGGTCGATGAACGTCAAAATAAAAGCCAACTAAAGGCTCCGGTTTGGGCTCGTCCTGCTCCTCCCGGGGCCGCTTGACCGAGGCAGGCGCCGCCGCGGGTGCGGGCGCGGGTGCAGGCGCGGGTACAGTAGAGCGACTTTGATGTGCCGGGGGATAATTCATCAAGGAGCCAGCATCGATCTCGAGAGCAAGCCCAGATATGAGAAGGCTCATCTAATGTATGTCAGTCTCCTAGTTCACGAATATGAAGGTCTTCACTCACCGCCGTCTTGAAACTCGAAGCAGTAGTGTCTGGGTTGATTGCCGCGTGTTAGCATGGTGGTGGTGGGCTGACGGATAACGGACTACGCAGCCTAATTCCTGCGCGTACTTTTGTTCTGGCAGCCTTCGGTCTGTTTCTTGGTATCATCCCAGTTCGTGAAGATGCCGTATTTCCTGCCGTACGCCCCGGGTCCTCGCAGGTAGTAGACCACGTAGTATTTGCGGGCATGCCCTTTATTGAGCACGACTGGATTGCGCGAGTCGTTGATGTAGTTCTTCGCGGCCTGCCTCGCCTGCTTGGATGCAGGACGGGGGTTTCCGACCAGCTGATCCCGGGCCGGCTTGACTTTCACCATGGCTGTAAGTGTCGGCGGTGCGATGGTCGTCCGCGAAGCTCATCATGAGAATGGTAAGGTACGCGATAAGGGGAGGAGGGAAGTGCCGGAAGGAACGTTTCACAGACTCCATATCACGGCTTAGGTAAGCGAATACTGGTCGCACATTGGCCGTTGGGCCCCCATTAACCCATTTCATTTCTTCTCAAAATCTTTGCTTTTTTCAAGATTGCCCATGGCTTTGGAGGCATTTATTGTTCCTTGACGACTCATCTTTCGAGTACAAATAGCGGTATTCGCCCTCATCAGAATCAACGGTCATAATTGGTTGCAATTGAGGTAGTAGGAATGCATTACCCCAGGCACCTTAGGCAGTCGATGTCCAAGCAATCCAGGTTGTCAATACCCCAGCCAAAGCCACATAAAAAGCACCTGCTGTATAAGCAACACCCCAGTCTCGATATATAACTTGGGAAACAATAACAAAGAGACCAAAAATCACAGTGCTCCCGACCAGAAGTGTCACCGA